TATAGTCTAGTCGATATTCTAACTTATCTAGATAGTATATTAACTATAATAATAGTTATAGAAGATTTAGCTTTAATCGATAAAGAACTTAGAACTTAGAAATATAAACGACTAGAAAAAGATATAAAAGGAAGTAAGAAGAAAGAAAGTAAGAAGAAAAGAAGTAAGAGACGCCTACTTATACTTCTTAAAATCCCGCCGGATTAATCTTAAATTAGCTTCGAAGAGTAACGGCGAGTACTATTATATATATAAACTCTCTTTATTTACTATCTTAACGATCTTAATTTACTCTCGATTTATTTAGCTTTACTATTCTAGGCGTATATACTACTTCTATAGCTAAAGATAAAAGATATATACTCGCTTTATATATCTCGATCGATATCGAAGATATAGATACTATAGATACTTATTCTAACGATAGAACTATCTAGGAAATAAAGTATTTAGAATATAGAAATACTATTTTATTCTCTACTATAAGACTAATAAAGGTACTTAACGTTCTTTAACGACGAATAAGACTATTCGACGGTCTAGATAGAGAAGGATATAATAAAATAGATACTCTACGTACTAAGTATTATAAAGACGTCGAGGATTATCTTTCGGTCTCGACTAGCGTCGTACGCTATCGTATAACCCCTAGAAAGTATATAGTCTGACGAGGCCTTAGGCCCCGTTGAAATAGGACAAGTCCTCCGTGAAATCATAGACTTCGAGGAACTGAACTTCGTCTTTAGACCAACTTTCCATTTCTTGCAAACGTGTTGAAATGCCGTGACCCTCGCTTACGGCGATGTAATACTATGTCTGTTGACATTGGATGGGACACCATCACGTCAGGGCTCGAGGGAGCTGCTTTGGCCGAGAAGATTCGAGCGTTTGTGGACGAGAAGTTCCAACAAGTCGCTCTGCCTCGCTTCATTTCGGCAGTCCACGTCCATTCCTTCGATTTTGGCTCTGCCTGTCCGGAGATCGAGATCAAGGACATTTGCGACCCCCTGCCGGATTTCTATGATGACGAAGAAGAGGTAGAAGAAGACGAAGAAGACGAAAAAGACGTGGACAAGACTGATAGTCATGGACCTACTACCACATCTGTCGACCATCCTGTCACAACATCCTACGATAGCCCTACTATAGACGCGGTCGTTTCGTCACGACCGCTCATCAGGCCACATCTGGCGAATATCCTCGTTGGTCGAGACCCTGTTGAGCTTCGACACCATGCGGCTGCAAGGGATCTTGTGGGTGGAAGCGCCGACCCTTCTGCGACCCCGTTCCCCCGATGCACCACCCCAGGTATTCCTGGAGGGACTTCTAACCTAAGCTACTTTCACTTTCCCGCCACGGGGCTGTCGGGAACGCACACTCCACTAGCTGCAGTGGCTAGTGGCACACAGTTCAGTCCTCGGCCATGGGCGTATGACACGGGTTCGACGCCTTTCCCGCCGCAGGAGACTCAACGGGCATCACCCGCGAACAAAAGTACCGGACGCGACCTTGCTGTGCAGGATGATCCTTCTACGCGACCATCCACTGCGAACAGCATCTCGTCCCCGCGTGAGTCAGTGTCTGGCTTCTCATCACCTCGGTTACAACACAGTGCGCATGATAAGGACAAGGATGAATCTGCAGTTGAGGATGACCGTTCACGTTCACTATCCCCATCAAAACTTCAAGGCAGGCAGCCAACAGACCTCCAAGTGGTGGCAAGGGTCAAATATTCCGGGGATGTGCGCATGACGCTAACCGCGGAGATTTTGCTCGACTATCCCATGCCTAGCTTTGTGGGTATCCCGGTCAAGTTGGCCATCACCGGAATGTCATTTGACGGCGTCGCCGTGGTAGCATGGGTGCAGAGGAAGATGCACTTTTGCTTTCTTGATGCCGGGGATGCTACTGCTCTGGTCGGAGAGAGCTTGGGAACCGATCAACATGACCCAAAAAGTGGCAAGGATGGTCCACGAAGCTCTTTCTCCGGCCCGCTCCGGGAGATCCAAGTGGAAAGTGAAATTGGCCGACAAGAAGACGGCAAACAAGCACTAAAGAATGTTGGCAAGGTTGAAAAGTTCGTGCTTGAGCAGGTTCGCAAGATCTTCGAGGAGGAGTTTGTCTTTCCCAGCTATTGGACCTTTTTGGTCTGACCTTCCTCTTTGTCAGAGGCTTCTACCAGACATGCTCGGACGTCAAGTTTCCTCGAGGCGTAGAATTCCCTGACATTCATTCGGCCTGGATCAAGGGCGATGCCTCTTACACTCAACCAGCACAGCAGTATCATTTCGGCAACGATAATCCAATGTCTAGGATGTCATACGGCAAGTTTGAGAGAATCCTAGGGTTTCTTATCAGACGGCCACGTCAGCCGCTACTTGTCGCTACGAATTATGAATAAGCGATGCGGTTGAGAGGCTCTTCCAAGAATCAGGCGCCTAAATCTTGATCATACGCGCCATCCTTCGGTCAGGTACACAACCAATGGCAGGACCCAAGACCCTGGAAATCTGGTACGACCAGCCTCGGTTCGTGTCGTGCCACGATCTTGTTTGCGCCGGGGCCAGGCATGCTGCCGAGTAACATGCTTCAGAGACCCTGGAACCGAAAACCATCATTTGACATCACGATTGTTTTCACACTGCACAAGGTAGAATCAGAAGACGTATTGGAGTGTGATGGCTTTCTTCATTCTCGACGTATCAGAACTGAAACCAGAACGACAACATGTTGGAAAACGGGTTCAGAATGACGTCGCGACTTGGCGGGGAAAACAACATAAAGAACCGTCGCAAGTCGTCTCCAATGCCCAGTTTCGTCTCTCCAGAACCCCCGTATCAACGCATAGAGTTTTGAAACCTTGTTCTTTGGCTAGCCCAGCTTGTGCTCAATATGAAGCGACTCAGTCGGTTTATTCAGCGGGTCAATTCGCGGTCTGGCTCGCGCTCGCCCGCGCCGGCTCCCGCTCAACATCCGGCCCCTCAACCAGCGGTCGCACCGCAGCCCCAGGCTCCTCCTGCTCAACAACCAATCGTGAATATTGCTTCGACTGGAGCAACTCTGAATATTGCGTTACAGAACCAGACTACATCCAACACGGTTTATGCGTACATCACCGGTCAAGCACTAGATAACAACAATGCCATTTTCCTACTTCAAGCTGACGGGAGGACCCCTTATTATCCCTCATCGCCTGCTTCAGTTGGCAGCAGCATTGGTGCGAACTGTGCTATCCCGCTAGGAGCCCCCGGAAACACTGTGACTGTGACAATCCCGCACATTGCCGGCGGGAGGATCTGGTTCTCGATCGATGCTCCCTTGACGTTCCTCCTCAACCCGGGGCCAGCACTGGTCGAACCGTCGGTCACCAACCCCTCGGACCCAAACATCAACATCAACTGGGGATTTGCGGAATTCACATTCAACACCGACCAACTCTACGCCAATATCAGCTATGTTGACTTTGTCGGCCCGCCTGTAGCGCTGACGCTGACGACTCAGGGCGGTGCCACGCAGCATGTGTCGGGGATGCCCAGTAACGGCCTCGACCAAGTCTGCAGCGGCCTACAGGCTCAACACGCCGCCGACGGCCAGGGCTGGGACCAACTGATTGTGACAAACGACGGGCGCAACCTCCGAGCTCTCTCGCCCAACCAGGGCATGGTGACCCACCCAAACCTGTTCGCTGGCTACTACGACAACTACGTGAACGAAGTCTGGTCTCGGTACTCGACCCAGCCACTGTTGGTCGATACACAGGCCTCGTATGGCACTGTGTCGGCTCAAGTGTCCTCATCGGGCGTCTTGACCGTTGGGGGGTCGCAGTTCAGCAAACCCTCGACGCGTGACATTTTCAGCTGCTCCACAGGACCATTCCAGACGGGCGCGAACGCCGAGACAAACGCAATCATCCCGCGTCTGGCGGCTGGGTTCAATCGATCGACCTTGCTCGTGTCAAACACCCTACCGGCCCCGCAGGACCTGTATTACAAGGACGCGGTTACCAACCACTACTCACGCATCGTACACCAAGCCAACCTCGATGGGAGGGGATATGCATTTCCTTACGACGACGTTCAGCCCTCAGGCGGCCCTGACCAGAGTGGTGAGGTTCATGCTGGCGATCCCCTGCTGTTCACCGTGACTGTCGGAGGGGGAAATGCCAGTGTGAACCCACCGAAGCGGGAGCTCTGATTCGGCGCACCGGATAGATTGCATGAGTGGACATCTTAGGGGGCTGATGAGCACGTCACTATGCACAGGATATATACATGGGATGGGCGGAGGACACCCTAGGTTCTGACGCATTTGCGTGATCAGGTTGCACCCATTCTTTGCGTTTTGATCATTACATGGTTGCGTCTTCGGGCATCCGGACAATCCTCAGTAAATGGTTGGATGACATAATGACTATGATGATAACGACCATGCGGCATCTATACGACGAATCGGATCTTCGGACAGGGTTTGAGAGCCTACTGACAGAGTCTGAATGGCTTTCCCCATCTGCGGCTCTCACTCTGGGCAAGACAGGACTGCGATGAGGGGATTTATTTTCCCTGTGGCTCTTGGCTGTTTTGTACGACTCGAGACGAGATATTGGCATATATAGGCGGGTATGGCTGGGTTTCTTTACATATAGACGACCGACTCGGAGGGGCGAGAGGAACATGAACCATGAATGGAAGGCTGGATATAATGTTACAGGCGGACATATACGAATTATTTGATATATAGTGGAGTAACAGACGCGACAGACATGTAGATTTCTTGACTTACAAACCTGTCGTTGGATTGGTGCTGCTTGGTCTCGCCTGGTCAGACCGCTATCTCACTCGAGTTTGGGCATGAGCCACAATACAGGAAGATGCATCATCCCCTGCTTGAGGTTGCCCGATGATTTTGCTCGGTTCTTAGTTTGCCCCCTCGCTTCCTTCCAGTCTGTATCAGCTACCCTCTTCTTTCACTTCTTTTCGCTGTTCTTTTCACTCGACCTGCATCTCTTCCTTTCCTCGCTGGTTCCCTTAATACACCATGTATCATGTGTGCCGTGAGCCCTATCATTCGTACCTGATGAAAAGTGATTGTAATGTAACGTAATATAATATAATGTAGTCACTCCCATCCATTCAATCACACCCGGATGGCCGCCTGACTTGCCCTCAGACCACCGACGACAGTGATTGACAAGATTGGGGAAATAATGTAGGATATCTATAACGGATATTCATTAGCGTTGCGTTGGTCCAGAACATCAATCAATGCACTGCTGGCCACTGATATCAGGCCATCCAAACCAATGGAATCAGGGATCGCAACAACAAGGAATCAGGATTCCAAACTCACCGTCAACAACTTTGCAATATTCATTTCATCCTCCTCGTCTCCGTCGCTGACCTGCACCAACGTGATCAGCTTCATGGCCGGCGGGCCCGTCGGCATCAACATCATGGCGAACCAGAGCATGGGGTCGGATCCGAGCAAGTTGGTCCGGGATGCAACGACATAGATCAGTGCGATCGAGGCGATTGGCCATACGACGAAGCGGATAATGAGAATGTAAGTGACCGTAAGCCACGGGAGGTGAGATTCGGGTTTGAACGGCTTTGTTTTCGATTTGCCTTTTGAGGCTGCCGGAGCATATGCAGATACGGACTCAGTACTGGGACCAGAGTTTGAGTTTGCTTCTGCATTCGTGTTTGTGTCGTTATGATTGCCGATCGAGGAATTGGAGGGAGTTGCATCATTCTCATCGCTGAATCGAACTCTGCCACCACCACCACCACTGCGACGACGGATGCCGTCATCGTCGCCCGACTGACTTACATCCGCATTCTCTTTCCTTCTCCGTTGCACCTCCTTCATCGAAGTATACAGCGATACACCAGCGACCAATACCGGCAGCGGGACAAACAAGCCGCCGATATTGTCGAGTGAGGAGGTGAGCCAGGCTGTGAAAATGCCGCCTTGTTCGGTATCGTTGAAAAACGCGCGGTGCAGCGGCGTGATCAGTCCAATGACGGTACCCAGAATAGCGCCCAACAGAGGCGCGTTGAAGAAATCCGAAATGAACAACAGCCACCATTTGGCAGTTGGGCCGAGACGCACCCATTGTCTGCGAGGCACGACGGACGGTCGACGACGGGTTTCGACCAGCTCAGTGGCGGACAGAATCGATGCCCGGCGCCGGTCTGACTGAATTGACGGCTTGCGGACAGAAGGGAAAAAGGAGTTCGGTTGGCCGAACGTGATGACCGAGGGTCGACGTTGGCTGTCTCGATCGAGAAGGGTGGTCAGCTCGTCTACAGATTGATGTTGCCGTCCAACATTGTCGTCGTCGACCTCACTGTTGATGTTGGCGTTCCCGGCGGCCGTGGTATCTGTTTCCTTCTCGTCGTCTTCATCGTCGTCATTTGGGTCCGGAGGATGCTCGGAATCGATCAGGCGCGGCCCAACTGCAAAGGTCAAACAGGAGGAAATGGTGGCAAAGACCAGAAAGTAGGACTTGGCCCGCTCGACGGCGGCCCGGGTCGTTTCGTCCGTCACTATCAAGGACCGCAGGATTCCTGTCTCGTCGAGCGCCGCGATCAGAAGTAGCGGGTAGCTCGTCGTGTTGTTAAACATCAGTGCCACGGTCGTCCAGTCCGGCATGCCCAGCCAGAGATGTGCCACAATACCCAGCACGAATGACACCAGGTGGCAGAGAATGGCCCAGATGAAGATGATGCCGTAGCGACTGGCTGACCCCGGGTGGAGCTCCGACCCGATCTTGACGATCAGCAGCGCTGGCAGGAACATGCGCACGCAAATTTTGGAGATGGCTTTGCTGTTGCTTTGGTTCAGAAGCTTCAAGTGGGCGGCCACCCCGCCGTAGAATATGACCAGGAGCACGCTGAGGCTTGCTTGGATGGCCGCCAGGAACGAGTCGAGAAGGCCCGTGGGAGCCATGGTTGGTTCAAATACTTGAAGGAACCCGATGACAATGGGAATTGAGAGAGTACTATACTGGACGTATGGACGACTGACTGAATTTGTAGTCTTCTAGGGGTATTAGAGCTGCTTAAGCTGGGGGTTAAGCAGGGCCTTTTGTTTGAGCGACGGAAAGGTATGTCGTTAGCTCTGATGAGCATGCATGGTGCTGGTGTGGTGTTGTATAGCTATCAGGATAACGTTTTGCGGTACAGTAAGTCAGTGTTTGAAATTGAACACCAGGAATCAACTACTTGACCGATATCTGCAGGCGCACAGGCCAAAAGCAATCCAACACGGCAGTGATAAAGAGGGGCTGGCAGCTCCCTGCCATTCTCAGTTCATCACAATATGTCTGAGGCTGATGGCGACGAGGCGCGTCCCTGGTTCAGAGGTCGATTCAACTAACCTGGTTTGGGAAGGAGATAAGTTCATGATCTTGCTGAATATGCGCCCGAGGAAATATCAACCGAAAGCCAGGGGCATTATTACAGTACTTGCCGATGTGTACTGGCAGAGATTCTCATCAGCCGCTTATTACAGGGGCAATGGCGTTATCCAATTCCAGGCGGAACTTGAATGGTGCGGGAGTCAAACAGATCTGCTCCCGGCCATATTGGATCTTGGATGCAGTGGGTGATGAAATCGTGGGTATTAGATTGCGACTAAAGTAGGCGATAAGGACGAATCGCCCGACCGCTTCCACAAAATGGCCAAAGTCAAAAGAACAAAAACTGCCGAGAACGTGAACGTGTTGGACGTTACGCCATCGGTGGTTGGTCAATTCGCAATCTCGGCAGACACTGTGTGCGGCTTAGTTTACTGCCACCGTAAAAGTGGTCGAGCGGCTCGTGGATGGCGCGATTCCATGCAGCTGGCACACCATAGTTAGATGGTACGTAGCTGGGATAGCCTTGAGATACAGTTTGAACTGGGGGCATTCAAGGTAGAAAAAAGACGGAAGTAAAAGTAAACGCTTGCTCGTTGTATTGAAGCTGATCTAAAAGTCTTGATGGTCGTTCTAATGCGTCTGCGTCATCTGCCGTCGACTCGACTGCTCAAGTCTTGTCCAGAACTCGCATCTATTTGGCTCCGTGAACAAACACACGCTCCTCAACAGGCTTGAATGTCTTGTCACCAGGCTGCCCAGCAGGGGTGCCAAAGACAAGCTGAGCCTTGAGGCTCCAGTGTCCGGGAACGTTCCATCTGGACGCAATCTTGTCGTCGATCAAGGGGTTGTAGTGCTGCAAGTTGGCACCGAAACCTTCCTTCTCAAGAGCAGTCCACACTAGGAAATACAGTGTTAGTACCATGGCATACGAATCGTAGGTCGGGCAAATCGTATACTTACAGACATACTGGTGCATAGCATTGGTGTGCTCGCTCCATTGAGGGAACTTGTCGGCATACAGCGGGTAAGTCTCCTGCAGCTTCAAGACGTCCTTGGGGTCTTCGTAGAACAGAATGGTGCCGTAGCCGGCCTTGAAGCCGTTCAGGCGCTGCTCGGATTGAGGCCAAGCTTCGGCCGGGGCGACCGCCTTGACGGCTGGCTTGACGATTTCCTCCCACAGGTGGGTGTGCTCGTCACCCAACAGCACAACAACTCTGGTGGATTGCGAGTTGAAGGAGCTGGGCACGTGCAGGATGGCCTCTTTGACAATCTCGTGGATTCGGGAGTCTGGCACGGGCGACTCGTGCTTCAGCGCATAGTAAGTGCGGCGGGACTTGACGGCATCAAGGAAGATGTTAGCCATTTTGGATGTGGTGGACGAGTAGAGACGGGTGTGAATTGGTGATGGTTTTGTTGTTGGTTTGGGAGAGCGTTTATGCAGGAGATTAGTCTTAGTCGATGGTAGCAGGCGTGATGTTGGTGAAACAGAGGTAGGAACGATCCGGGCGGTCGGATTTATATATCGAAGTGGGATGCCAGACACACGCATGGCGGGTCACTGTCACGTTTCTCGGCCGGGTCAATTGCTCGACAGGGGAATTTCCTGATCGACAGGAGAAACACACGTAGTGGAGGATGGTGCAACAAGTAGGAAACAAGACGCCAACTGGAAGGGAAGCGAATGGAGGAAACGGGTTCAAGTTCTGCTGGTGCTTTAGAATGGCATCGAAACATGCGACTTTGCTGAACAACGAGGCTGGAAGAATTCCGCGCGCGAGGCCGTGGATGACTGATGATGTGGTAAGCAGCACAGTCCTCGCTCCACTCAAAACCACAAAATCTACAATGTTGTAGAGCCTTCGTTGGGGCTGGTCGTGGTGTGATAGGCTGAGAGGGTTGAGCCACATGGTGGGGCAGCCGACAAGAGATAATCGGATGAGGCTGATCGTGGCTGATGTGGCTGCCAAGCTGGTGACGTGGCTGAAGCTCATAATTGCAAGCTACTAGTCAGGTGCTAGTAGGCTGCCAGAGGCTCCATCGACCACCGGGTATATCACCGGCAGCATCAACACTACGCTACCCCCTCTCCAAGGTACAGTATATGGATAGCTAACCCTTGCTCATGATGCGGTCTCTTATACAGTTGCGGAATACAAATGCCAGTTCCTCCCATGATCTACCCAGCCGCTCGTCTGAGGCTGCTATTGCAGTCAGTCTGGACGGATGTCGGCCTCCGTCCTCTTCATAGTTCTCCATGAGATCATGTTCAAGTTTTTGATGTCATCCCGCCATCATGACAAGATGCATCCAGCTTACTACCTTGGTACTTGGAGAACTTTGGCTACAATGTGCCTTCCGTGCATACCTCAAGGTAGTATCAAGATACCCTCCTAGCAGGCAAGTGGGCAGGCGCGAACAATGCAGCGGCAGGTGCAGCGGTCTGTCAAGGTAAGGTACATTTAGGTAGTACACGATTCCCCCTCCTCGCAGTTCCTTACCATTGCATGACATCCCATCATCTTCCATCTCCAAGTTCATTGCGAACGTCCCTTTGCAGCTGTACTACGTGCACCAACCGCATCAACCTGCACAATGCAATCACCAAATCGTCTACTCGCACTTCGCCGCCTGCCTGTGACGGTGGCCACACGTTCACCATGTTCCATCCGCATCCGCACCTTCACCTTCGCAACTCCCCTGCGAACGGGAGGCCCAACATCAGGCCCTTCCAATGACTTGCACAAGAACAAAGGTGAGATCTACCCCTCGAGCGAGGGAGCAAGCCAAAAACAGACGCAAGAGGGCGGGCCTCTGATCGAGACTCCACAATAACATTTTGCTATGGCCTAGTAGACGACAAATCCAAACCCATGCCGGAACACCCCGACAATGACGACACATTCGCCAACAAGGTCGAGACCAAGATCGGAGAGGCCAGCGATATCTCGGTGGACAAGAGCGACCCGGCGAAGATGGCCGATCAGGCGGAGAAAATGATGCCCGGTGGCGGCGGCAGTAACAGCAGCAGCAGTGATGACAATTTGGATCCGGATCCTCAGCAAAACAAGACTTTTGCCCAGGACAAATGAGTCCTAGAACCAGAGTCCAATAATGGCGGTCGCCAGAGTATGTACAACAGCAAAAACAAAAACGACAGTAGTGTGCATTCAGTGAGATGCAAAACAATTATATTGAATCTTGAAACTAAAAGGTTAAAAGCATGCCCGGTTTTCGTGAATGGCGTGCAACTTGCACCGGGTGCAGTGGGATGGGAAGCAATGCCTGGGAACGAGAACTTGAAGGTCCCCACAAAAAGCCCTCTCAGGCTGTAGGCCGGAAATGAAATGCCAGTGACAACTTGAAGGCTCCAATGCATGGTAGCATAATACCTAGCGAACACTCGGAGTATGGATGGAAACTGCAGAGTGACTACAGTAGCTGTAGCTCTCTCCATCCTACCACTTGAGATGATTGAGAAGAAAAAACACCAATATGTCAAACGACACTCGAGTTCTGTTCCTGAAGTTAAAGAGGAATCCACGAAACAGAATTGTCGAGCTTATCCAGGTATGGTACGATATGCAACTACTACTAGTACCAGTCGAATGGTTGGCCGAATCACAGAGTCGGAGCTGGAGTCATGTTATTCTTTTTATCCTACGACATGTTGCCGTTGATGGGTCGGGATCTCAGGGCAGAGAGATGTCCAGCTGGAGAGATGTCAAGGTGGAGAGATGTCAAAGCAGAGAGAGGTCAAGATAGTTATTGTTTGTACGCCTGATCTGATCCAAGATACCTTACTATTACAGCGGTCACCATTCAGCCGAGCCGCTCGCTGGCAGCAACCACAAGATTACCGGGTATCACGAGGTTTCTGAACTAAGTCAGCTTCAACGTCCTCAGAATAACATCCCTCAACACCCCCGGTGTTGAATGTCTGCTCGGCTCAAACTTTCTAGCTCGCCAAACTACAATCCCATCCGGCCGAACAAATACGGCGCCAGTATGTTCGACGCCGCGAAGAGATGCCCATTTGCCATCGATGTCTCGCCATAATGTATGCTCACTGGCACTCTCATCAGCACTCTCATCACCGGCAGGCCAGTCTTTAGGTCCATTCGACTCCGCAATTTCGACGAGGGTAACTAGGCCGTCGAGCCCGGAGCTGTGGTCAATCTGGTTCTGCCACAACTCTGGCGCCGAGGTGATGAATATGAATCCATCGTATCTGACCAGATCCCTCGTCGAGACCCTTTGTTTCATTTCATCCCTTTGCGATGGCTGGATCCGTTTCAGCCAGACATGAGGTAAATGATGCCCTGGGATAGTAGAGGGATGATACCGGAGCATGTCGAGATTTCCCTCTTCATCAAGCTGGCCATCATGGTTCGTCGCTTGACCTTCTCCGTCCAGGTCGAGACTAGGATAGAACCAGCCGATCTCCGCGCCGAGGGCGTGGAATTCGCCGTCCAGGATCTTCTGGGCTTGCTGGACGGCTTCGCGACGAGCCTGGCCTTCACCACCCTCTTCTGTGCTCGCAGGATCAAAAAATGAGTCCATCGCGGCAATATTGTCCGCTTCACTGTTCCCCGGAGAAAGACCTAATGCTCTGTCCATGACGAGCGAGTGAGCGCGTAAATTATGTAGTGATGTGGTCCGGACGCGTTGGCCGATGGGTCTGCGTTCGACGTCGTATGTGTCGAGAAGGGCGTCGAGATTGATGGGGTTCTCCAACTTTGCATTTGTGTTTGTGTTCGGGTTCTGTTTCCCAGTGGAACCATGTAAAGCCGGTGGAAGGCCGTTGATGGCAAAGTTCAACTTCCACACGAGGTTGTGCACGTCTTGAATCCCCGTGTTCAGACCTAATGCGCCCCACGGAGGAATTCGATGTGCAGCGTCTCCAACTAAGAACACCCGTCCTTGGGACGACTCTGGTCCTTTGCTCCGGTATTGTTTGGCGCAGAGCGCATTCACGTACCAATGGCTGATGGAGAGAAGCTCCGTCTGCTGCTTCAGTCCGGGGATCTGTAACGTGTCGTGCATGCGTTGCAGCATGGCATCTTCGTCGAAGCGTTTGGGGTCGGTGGGGTTCAAAGCACAGGCGAACAGCCATTCTTCGCTGGTCGGATCCAAAGGGTATGGGCCCAAATGGTACAAATACCCGCTGCCGATACTCCCTCCCAATTTGGGGTTGATGAACCAGGTGATGAAGTTTCGAATGTCTGGATGATGCTGCGATATCGGGGCGCGGACGTGTGCTGACACCATGTCGATGATGTCGCGCTCGCCTTCCCAGCCAATCCCAAGGTCATCGGTCAATCTGCGGCCACCGTCGGCGGCAATGCAGTATTTGACACGAATTGTCTCGCGTGACAGTTGACCCTTGCGCTGGTACGTGACAGCAACGTGGTCAATATGTTCTTCCACCTTGACGACTTCTGTATTGTACAAGATCCCATCAGGGTTGAGTTCCAACGCCCGTTTCTGCAGGATCGGTTCGAGTCGGATTTGTGGCAATGTGGTATACGAACAAGGAGAGACTTGGTCATATTCTTTCTGGTATATGCCTCCTCCCCAGGCGTTGCGGCTGACAATCTCTTTGCCATTAGGTCCGAAACTCGTATACCATGCCGTCTGGCCATCGATGGTTTTAGGTGCTCGCTGTTCGATGACATCCTTCTCGATTCCCATGAGGCGGAAGATTTCAAGGGTCCGATGGTTGTACCCACATGCTTTCGGATGGATCGACGTCGAAGGGTATCTTTCGAATAGGACGTGGGGGATCTTGCAGAGCGACAACAGTATGGATGCGGCTAAGCCTGTCGGGCCTCCTCCAACAATAGCTACGGCAGGAGCCGTAGCAGACATTGATGTCTTTTGATAAATCATGAGTTGCTCTTCTCACCTTTAGAAATGAATGGTATTCTGTTAGTCCATGCATGGGTCACTGCACACTGAGAGCCACGACGGCCAGATGTACCTGCAAAGCCGTCAAGTCCTCCTCCACCGGAAGGAAGCTGGTTTCGTACAAAATCCAAACTTTGGGCTCCCGAAAGCTTGAATTGGCATATCATCCAGGCAACGGCAAGAACGACTATTCAGGTATTTGTTGGTGTGTTTGCCAACCACAGCCGTGAGCTTAGACAACTTATGGCCTTTCTTGAATCGGCTCCTCGTGTTGTTTGGTTGGGGTCCCGCACAGGAATCCATAAGGGTCGCCCCGCAGGCACCACGTTGGTCCGGGGAAAAATCGTGGGGCACGGACTTCGACCGCTGCCATTCGATGAATCTCGAAAGGACCAAGCCGCTTTGCCATATCCACTTGACGTGGTGCTGCGAGGGCACCGGCCCTCACGCCGACCGGAATCCTTTCCCTTCTGCGGTGGTAATTCCTATAAAATGCCTCCAGAAGCATGACAGAAGTGATTTGCAAGCGCGGTCGACAGGATGCTGAACCGGCTACTTCTGTCGGAAGATATCCTGCCCCGATATCTCCCCGCCGGATCTGAACCGAGTCCTCATCGTCCCGCGCTACAACACAAATTCGGAGTCTGTCAACGATCACTCCTGTTTCGGTCAAGCCACTCCCCCAATCCAGATGGCCAGAATGTCAAGCATGTTATGCGAAATGCCCCACTGCGAAGATATCATCTGCAGAATCATCTGAAGCGTCAGCAGAGAATATCGTAGGTTCCGCGTCTTTGTCCTTCCATTCATATTAAAATCGCCCATCACAAAACGATAACTATCCGAAGACTCCAGACTTGACCTTGCGAATGTTTTTAGTCCTGGGTGCTGGCCGGGCTCTTGCTTGTCCCAGACGGCGTCCCAGTCGGGAGTATCCGGAGTGGTCACCGTGGGTTGGCCGTACTTGGAGTAAGCACAAAAGATAGTTGCAGCAGCGAAGATGGACGCCGGCAAATGGGTCGGATATGCGCGGCCAAGCGTCATCCCTTCGGCAAGGTCTTGAATAGCTGCGGCATGGAGCAGTGCTCGTCGCGCATCAGGTGTGTTTGTCCATCCGTTGAGATCAACGGGATTGGGGAGACGACGTCCCGCGGAAAACAGGTCTTGTGAGATGCCAAAGTTGGTGCATAATCGCTGACACAGCAACACACTGTCCGTGGCTATGTCGAGGCAGAACGTATGCCATCGCAGTAAGAGTTCCTTACTCTCAAGCGTCATACTGGGAGGACTGAGATATATCCTCCGCAAACGTTGCGAGGCGTCGATGATCTGAGAAATTGGTGGAAGGCCCAACGCCGCCCCTTGTGCATCGCCATGCTCAGATAAGATTGCCTGGAAGCCTTCCAAAAGTACAATGAGTGACAGTTGCGAATCACCAGGTACCGGAACAGCAGTGGGATAAAAGACGGAAAGAAAGGTTTCCCGAAAGGTACTCGATGGTTTCCACGAATGACTCATCTGTTCGATCCAGTCGTCCGCGTTCCGTGCTTGAAAGGCCGCATCGTTGCCGGAGAACGCCAGTGGGTTTGTGACATGCTTGCCCACTGGCGATGCTCCTGCATATCTTGCAAGCTGAGCGTCAATGATGTAAAGACCGAGAACCGTTCGTCTCTGGATCTCCGAGTCCACCCACATCTTCCACTTTTGATTTTTTTCTTCTTTGCTTGCCGAGACCTGTGGCAGTTCGCTCAAGTGAAATTCCTCCAGGTCAAACATGCCGAACTGTCGAGCCCAGGCAAAGGCCAGGCCATGAAGTGACTGGCACAGGGTGCGCAACCGCCTGGATCGAGAGAGCATGGCATATGTCTGTCCAAGCAACGCTGTTGTCACAATCTGTTCTGCATGGGACCTGAAAGGTGCCAGTTTGCCTTCGAAAACGTCGCCCCACGAAGTTGCTGCAGCAGTCTGAGCCAGTCTCCACAGGAACTCGCCCTTGGAGATGGCCTCGCTGGAGCCGAAGAAGAGAGAACCGAGGGCCACCATGTTGAGCAGCAAGAAGGGACCGCACTCCCTGAGTTCGAATGTATGTTCGTGCAGAATGGGGAACGTCGTATTGAAACGAACGAAAAATTGGTGAAGACAGGCATCCAAGAAAGCCGACGTGATGCCTCGAGCGGAGATTTCCCGAGTGACATTGGAGGACTGCAACACAAAATGTCAGAATGGAGTTGCTGAAGGTAAGGGTTGTTGTTACCTACCATGTCAGTTATCATGGCCCCGACCTGTTGAACAGCATGGGGACTTCCGTCATGTACAGGCGGGGCAAGGTGGTTGTCGCCTGGAAAGTTTCCCGTATTCTTACTGCCAGGCAATGAAGGCGTGGAGGAGATATCTGTCGGCAGCGAGGTCGGCCAGCCAGCGGGTGTTGACAAGAGATACTGAAAGAAATCCTCCGTCTCGGCAAAGAAGGGGCCGTTGTTGAATCCCAAAGATGACATGTCCGGATTGGAAGCAGGCGGATAGAGTTCCGTTCGCGCCTGAGAAGTTGTTGATCGGTGGCCTACTGAGGAGGCGCTGTTGTTGATATCTGGCGACTGAGGCGCACTCGACTGGGACCCGGGGGCAGAGAATCTCACTGCTGGAGGAGCCGTAGATCGTGCCTTGGGAGCGTGGACCCTCTCGTGGCGGAGAAGGCTATCATGCCTCGCGAACGCTCTGTCGCATTTATCGCACGTATAGGGGCGAAGGCCGGTATGGATCCTTTCGTGGCGAACTAGATGTTCTCGTTTATGATACGTGTTTGGACAGAACTGGCAGTGGAGGACTTGTCGTCGTCTTCGCGGGATCGATGTTGCCGCGGCCGGTATGATCGGATTGTGGTCCATTTTGACATGTCGTTGAAGGAGTGGCCTCAAGGAAACGATGTGCTTTGTGTACGGGACGCCGGCTGACGAGAAGATGGCAGGACGCGGTGGAACTCGGTCGATATCATGGTAAATAGACTTTTTGCGTGCCGTTGCCGTTGGGCTTTTGTTGAGTCGCTGGATAAAAGAAAGTCCGGCCCGTCCGGGGAAGTCGCGGGGAAGGATCTGCCGATGGCATGTGAAGAAGAAGGCCCGATTACTACTAGTACTAGTAGTACCTAGAGCAGATGTGGAAACATGCTGACTCATCCGTCTCGCTTCTCACAATTTTCCCGTTCCGAGTCCTTGATGTCGACAGCCTGGCGCTTAATAAACCCCCTTACAAATGTCGGCCTCTCCGGCAAAGTCCCCAACAGTCTCCACGCTTCTTCAGTTGATAGAAGACTACCATGCATTCAATCCAGGTGGTGTCCAAATTCTTCCTTACCCGACAGCTGTAGAATTCAGCAAGCAAGTCAGCCGGGGGAGACCATGCGTATACCAGCTAAGCAAGAGCGAAGAAGCAGAGACAATCCGCTCTTGCCCTGCCTTTTCCTGGACGAAAGACGCTCTGTGTCAAAAGGTGAAGCAGGATGTCGAGGTAGCCGTGACCCCCGACGGGCGGGCTGATTCCCTGTATCGCTTACCACATCCATCGACAACTGGAACCTGTGCTGGCAATAACGATCAGCCAGAGCAATCTGAGCAACAGGACGGAAATGAGCAGTACGAGGATGTTTTTGTCCAGCCAGCGACTGTTTCAATGCCATTGTCTTCTCTTCTCGACAAACTGTGCCAGTCCGAGTCACCGCCAGAATCACGGAACCACGGACATCACTCACCATCCACAGGGGAGCCGGTGTACTATCTGCAGTCGCAGAATAGCAATCTCACGACGACGCCTCTTTCGGCGTTGCATGCAGATGTACCGCCCTACATTCCCTTTTCAAAGCCCGGTCTAGGAGAACCTGAGGCTGTCAACATTTGGATGGGCAATGCCTCGTCCGTGACGAGCACCCACCGCGATCCGTATGAGAATCTTTATCTTGTGGTCAAAGGGAAGAAGCATTTCACCCTTTGGCCGCCTTGTGAGGAGCTGTGTCTGCATGGTGAGTTGGCGTGTTCCCTCGCAGCTGACGCTTTCATTCTCCGTTCAAAGGGTTTCGTGGCTGATGCGTGCTTGATGGTTGAAAACAGCTGAAAAGGTCCGCACTGCACATCATATTCTGGACACCAGCACTTCACCGCCCTCATTCAGAATCGTCCTCGATACGCGCACGCCAAAACACCCGCCGTCGGACCTTGACGAGGAAGTCGACGATCGCATTCCCTGGATCCCTATCGACCCTCTGAATCTACCCTCTCCAGATATTGTAGCTCGTCAATATCCATACTATAAATATTCGCACCCACTCACCGTTACGGTATCTGAACGTGAAATGTTGTATCTGCCTTCTGGATGGTTTCACCATGTGAGACAGGAATGTGGGACATGGAATGATGGGGAAGTGGCGCCCTGTATCGCTGTGAACTACTGGTTCGACATGGACTATGAAGGGGAAAAGTATGTTATGCGAGAGATGCTGGGAAGATTAGTAGAGATGGCAAGGGAAGAGGAAAGTACAGAAGACAGCAATGCAACGCCCTAGAACAGGGCTCTTTTTGAGTCGGAAAGTTCTATTTCAACTCATGGTGGTAACAACACCTTTTGAGGTGTTGAATCTAGCTCATTGGCATGGAACAGAGACCATGCCACCTAATGATTGTTCTGGGTCTCATTTCGGCTTGCAGGCAGTACCTCTCTGAAGGCTTGCAAGCACCATCGCATCAGCACGGTCATGTGCGTCGTCAACCGAAGCCGCCGTTCGTCACGGTTCATCATTCTAAAGCTTAGACTCGAGCTTCTTCAGAATGTCCGGGAATTCGTTCCAGTCATACATGACAGCGGCAGCATTGCATTGCTCGGTCAGCAGCTTGGCCATCTGCTCCATCTTCTCCTTTCCTTCCTCAACTCCGTAGACGCCGACATATGCGATCAGAGGGATACCAGCCCGCATGGCAGCGGTGGCACCACTCTTGCTGTCTTCGACGGTGATGCATTCCTCCGGCTTGACACCCAGTTGTTCGCAGGCATACAAGTAGATCTTTGGGTCGGGTTTGCTGGATGGCGGGTTGAGAGAGGTCGCAGCGCTGTAGACATGCTCGTCCGGGAAGTACTTGTCGATACCAACCTTCTTCAGCGAGGCAACGACACGGGGCTTGGCAGAGGTGCTGACGACAGCCATGGGGTAACCCTCCTTCTTCAAGCGTTCCAACTGCTCAGGTACACCGGGGCAAGGCTCAGCCTTGGCAGACAGTTTGGCAATGACGGCGTTGAGCTCACGACCGACATATTCCTCCATTTCTTCTTGGGACAACTGGAAGTTGTGTTTCTTTTGCAGTCCGACTAGCATGCCACGGAAGTTCTGGCCGACGAAGTCTTCCAGCAGAGAATCGACGGTGTAACGCTCGGGGACGCCATGTTTCTCCAGGACTTCGTTGGTGAGATCGGCGCAGGCTTCAAAGGCGAGACGCTCAGAGAGAACGAGAGTGTTGTCGCAGTCGAGGAGGACGTACTTGACCTGGAGTTCACAAGCTTTGTCAGTATCATGGCCTTTCTTGGTTTGGGGTTTCCGCGTGAACGAGCGGTCAAGGGGTGCTGTATTGTCGCGAGAGGGGGAGGGGCAGCATAAGTGGAGAGTTGACATCAGATAACAGGTCTTACTTTCGGCATATTGACGACTGTGTTCTTGAAGAACGAGAAGAGACAGACGTAGATAGAAATCTATAGCTGTGTCGCGACGAAGAAGAAGTGGTAAGAGTGAAAAGAGACGGAGTTGTTGACAAGCAAGCAAGCGGTGGGATGGAGACCAAAAGAGACGAAGATCAAACCGGGAGAAAGAAACAAGTTAGCTAAATAAGTTGGGCAGAAACCCGGGGAAGGGGAAGATGCCGTGCGCCAATCAGAAGCCTAGAGGTTCCGGTACTATCGCCTAGTGTCACGCCTCACGCACATTTAGTCGCAGTTAATCAGCCACAGGGAATGTGACAGTCACCACAGACGTCATTGGTAGTGACATGCCAGTGTCACGCAGCAGGGTCCCTTATCTCCACGTGACAGTGATATCGGATATTCTCCGGGTGACACTTCAAGTCTGGGGAGGCTCAGGCACGACATACAACGACATACAACGACATACAACGACATACAACGACATACAACGACATACGACGACATACAACGACATACAACGACATACAACGACATACAACGACATACAACATACAGTCCTGCATACCAGGAAGGCAGAAATAGACTTAGTAGTACGATACCGCCTCTGAAGTTGCAGACTACAAAGAATGGCTTGAAGGGGGAGAGCAACATAGCAATACTTTGGGCCCAGCTCATCTGTTTCCGAGAGGTATTGATCTGCTGCTGCAGGTTATGTAAACACCTGTCGTTCATAAGCCTGAAGTTCCCGACACAAATAAGACCCAAGATGCGGAATTTCAAACATTGTACTCCTTTCCAGCTTGCGGCTGGTCTTATTGGTCGGCGGTGAGTCTCCAGTGTGAGGCCCGCTCCGCGAGCGGCCTCCTTCTTTCCACGCAGCCGTTTTCCACGTGCTTTCTCATCTGGAGACGGTCTTTGGTCTTTGAAGGTTCATCGTCTCTGATTTGTGGAGTTTGGCCGAAGGATGGGACAGCAAGCACGCTGCCCGAGAGGCCCGAGAACGGTAACCGGGTGCTGGAAACAGACATCAGCACCGGTCTCGAAGCAAACCGCTGTGGTCCGAGGTGACCTACTCCAGAGAGCAGACGCGGCGGCAGCATTCCGACGGCAAGCCCCTTGGACAATAGACCGAACCAGGCCATCTCACTGAGGCAGAATCCGCAGGTCATGAGCACTTTTCAATAACCCCTCCTCCCACCCCGGCCACCTCCACCTCGGTATCCCGAGTCTGGTAACTTCTCGCCTCTCCTCCACTCACCGCTGGGAATACTAGCAGGAGGGCCGAAATCACCTGCACGAGACCCTGCGTAGCCATTATGCGCGCCGCCTCTGCCCAATCCATACCCACCACCTCTCACTCTGCCATACCCATTCTCCCTCGGTCCACCACCCCCTCGTGCGCCGACACTCCCTCGACCGACGACGGTGCCGTCGCTGAGCGGCGGGAAAACAGCACAATCAATGAAATCGCCAATAACAAATCTCAAGTCCTCGAGAGTCTTGTCCGCATCATCGCCCTCGAGTGTAAATGGCGCAGAAGCCTTGCCGTCTCTATCGCCGTTGGCGGAATCGGACTCCGGCGCCGATATAAACACACTGCCCATCTCTTTACTAAGATACCGCGCTCGTCCTTCAGTCTCTAGTCGACCTCCTCCGCCTCGACTAGCGTGGAGATCAGGATAGACTAGACGGAAGCTCAGTCGCGTGCCGATGCTCGGATCGGGGACGATGCTGGGCAGTGCCTGGGTCAACAGATGCGCCAGCTCTCTTAGTGTGCAGTTCATCCATGTGTATATCTGTAAATGGGCGGGGAGGTGGGGTCGAGGATTTGAGGGCGTCGGAACAGGAAAGTCCGTCAGACTGTGGAACGCGGATGATCGATAGCAGAAGTTGAGGAGGAAAGGCGTCGTTGTCTGTCGGTCGATGGTATTTTTAGGAGGCGGCGATGGTGAGCGAGACATTGCGACTTTAGGATGGGCTGTTTTGGCGCAAAGTAGGCTGTGGGATGTTATGTCGTGGTTGGTTTAGGTAGCGAGATACACCGAGTGATATTAATGCGATCTTGACATGATGGGGAAGCTATGGGCGTATGAGCGCTGAGTGTTATCCCTGTAAAACACCAGTGAGGAGCACGAAATCGGACAATTTCTGCGTAAAACACTGTTCAGTGAATTTTCACAACTGGTTCGAGCGAGGATGGTGCGAGTCTCCGCTCTTCAAATTGAGTGCATCAGAGTTGCGCCTCAGAACAACGATGCAACAACCTCGCGCGCGACCGCGAAATATGGAGCTTGGCTTAAAACTTCCCCACTCGGCTAGGACAGCCTTGCGGAAACCAAACCTCACTCAGCCTTGTTCTGACTTTCATCTACTGGGATATTGACACACCCTTGAATTTTGAACTTACATGCCTGGCGAAGTCCATGGCTGACAACAATGAGTTCAGGCAGGGTGATGTTGGCCAGCATCACAAAAGAGGCCGCGCTGACTGAGCTCAAAGAGAGCAATTTACTCCATTTCCTATTGTTGACTTCCAATCCAACACAGTATATCAAAGAGTGATCCTGGTCGCTAAACAATTTTGATCCCTCTCCGTCCTTCCACAGCGTTATATCCCACACCACGGAGATTCCAACTGCCCTCAACTTCACTCTGGGTGTTCCCACCCTTGTCCGTCGCTTTGCTCCAGATACTCACATCCTCAGCGGGGTCACACTTGATGAGCACTTCCCAAAGCACCCAGCTAAATTTCCCTCGCGACTTTCCCTTATTGGCAGGATGTGTCGTGTTTTCATCTCCGTCATCGTGGATGGTGGCGTCATGCCATGTCCGACCCCGGTCGATACTGACTTGCACTTTGACCACGGGCCCATCCTTGCCCTTTGGGATGGCGTATCCTGCAATTCTGATCTTGCCGTCAGCGTCCCTCCTACGGATCTCGGCGCCATCGGACCCAGGCACTGCAACAACGGAATTGATATCGTTATCGAGCATACTTGGAACAACGCCCTCTTTCCACAGGCCTAGCTCCTCGGCTTTCTCTGGCGATGTTGCTTCGGGAGGCAACACTTTGTAGTCGTGCTGCTGGTAGTGGTTCGGGGATTCGCGTGGCGACACGACGATGGTGTCGAGCCATTTGACCGAGCGGGCACCTACGATGCCAGGCGTGACGGCACGGACTGGGCCTCCTTGGCGGTCGGGCAAAGGTTCTCCGTTCATCTATGCATGTTAGTTTAGCTTTCCTATTTCCAAGCCAGGGAGCCACTGCAGGCAATTGCATTTCTCGGGAAGCCAAGCACATGAACAGTACTTGTACAACGTGAGCAAACAAGGCTGCATCTGCCCAATGGCCAACGAAGTCCCAAGCAAGTGGAAATGCAAACCGGCTGATCATACCTTGAGTGCCAGCACAACCTCCCTCTCAGGATCCATAGCCACCGCCAATGGAATGCTGCCACCGTACCAATCGTCCTCTTGGACTTTGGTGGCATTACACTCCAGTTGGACATGAAGTCCCTCGTAGTCGTCCCCACTGGCATCACTCTGCTCGACGAGTCCAGCTCGAAGGAGTACATCGCGTAGTAATGGCCCCGTCCATTCAGCATTCATAACAGCACCGTCGCCCCAATCAATGCCACTGACTTCCTTCAGGCGACTCCGCATCTCGTGGCGACGGTTTCCTGCACATTGCAGCGCACACGTCACAGTGTGTTGGGGAAACTGTCTTCGAAGGTCGTCCACGGAGAGGACAAGATAAAAGGGCTTTGGCACCACTGAGCTGTGGTGGATTTCGTCCGACTTTACCGTCAAGCGGTGGGTAGATGGGTCGATGTGTTGGATAGGACCATGGTTTCGATCATACGCTTGAGGTTGACCAGTATCGTGGGTGCGGGAAGGAGTCAGGAAACTGATGTATACTTGGTCACAAATGTGTCTCACCCTACATGTAAGGTGCGCGCGCAGCATACAAATTGAAAGAAACACCGGGTCCGCTGAGCGTCCGATTTACACCTACCTCTGAACAAGTCTTTCAGACTCAGGCTCCCGGTTGATAGGATCTTGAACCGTGCCATCTCCCTCTGCAGCCATGTCTGACTTTTGCCGGGTATGTTGTGGTTCCAAACTTAAATTTCCCAGAAAATAGTATCACGATACTGTAGAGATACACACCCCGAATGGACCCGTTCTCCGCGACTGTATTAATGATCTCTGTAATCTGGAAAAGCCAGGAACTGCTATGCAGAATAATATGTTGATTTGAACATCATCGATTACCGGGTACCTTATGATGGCTCCGTCGGCTCACGACTTGCTTGACGTCAGAGCCAGCCTCTGCACACCAATCAATGTTGTACCAATGTCAAGTATCCAACTGGTCACAGGAATCGATATCGAGTAATCGGGTGACAGGCAAAACGCATTATGTCCACTGACCATGGTTCGTTCTGCACCAACTACAACAAGCAATCAAGTCATTTTACACACCGCCAAAGCCATGTGATAGCAAGGTCCTGGGCCACGCTCATCCGGGGACTTCCCCCCTCATAATCCAACTTGATAGGTCTCTCTAGGTATACCAATCCTTCCCGTCATAGATACTTTATTTCTTCCCCTTCTTTCCCTTCTTGGCCTTGGTCTGAGGTTCGTCGTTGGTACCCAAAATCGCGTCAAAAGTGATGTTGGGGTTAAACACGGATGTAGGCCGGGAGGTTTGTCGCGGAGGCGGCTCTTCCAATGCCTCTAGTCCTAGGTTCACTGAGCTTCTGTCTCTGCTACTGTGTATGTCATTAGGAGAGTGAGGTCTCAAGAGCGGGGATGCCAACGGACTGGCGTAAGGGGATTGCTGTCGAGGGCTTCGATACCCGGTACGGGCGGCGGCCGGGCTTGGAAGCTGGAGACCGACAGTTTCTGCCGGGACCGGCCCCAAGGCGCCATCCACCGATGCCTGTGTCCATTTGGTGGCTTCTGTCCAGCAGTGACTGCGCCGGTATATGCCTTCCACACTGTGATCGATCAGGTCTGCCGGCAAGCTGACAACACCGCCACCACTGGCAACATTGTACCAAGCTCGTGACGTTGATTGATCCTCCCTCATCCATGGTCTGCCACCTCTGGGGCCGACGCACAAGAAATACTCCACTCCTTCAGTGTGCTTGAGGTCTCTTGCATCAACCACAGTCATGGGAAGTGCTTGCAATATCGCATACATGAATAACCACTGGCCACACCTGGCATCCACTATTTGTTCAAGCGTCTTGCCGCTTCCCAAGCGTCGTTCATAGGTGAAAAAGTCTTGAATCCATGGACTGGCGGCGATGGATTCGCGGTTGTAGGACCCCAATAAAACTTCATTGACTTCATTCTCTTTCAGTTTCCTGCTGTGTAATGCAGATTGATCAGAAACAACAACGTGGTCGCGATTGAAACTCTGTGAGAATTGAGGAATCAACGGCGTATCGAAAGGGATAGGTGGGACAACAGGAGGCGTGGCTCGGTCATATTCACTTTCCACTCGTCGTATCGCATGCTGGATGGTTTCGTTCTGATCATTAGTCTCGGCGTCGTCATCCATCGCAGGCATATCAGCAGTGCGTGTGGTAATGGCAGATCGGTCCACCAGAATATCGTACAAATCAGTAAAGTCTTTGTAAAGCTCCAGGAGAAGAAGGCGATTGAGTCCACTCTCCTCGAAGTTGTTTTTCTTTGAGGAGGCCTTTGGCGGCCACGCACCATATTTCCGGCGATAGTAGGACAGAGTAAAACGTCGAAAGTCCAAAAACCCAGCTTTCCACTCCTTGAATCGGACCAATTTGGCCTCCGTCGAAGTCTGCGAGTTCGCAATGCCCGCAAACATGGAAGGAAATTCAAAATCCTCCAATTTGGCCCTGACCGCTAGCAATCTTTGCTCCATATCGAGATGGGAGCGTTCCAAGCGGTTCACTGTGATGCCCGACATTTTGGCATATTTTGGGCTGTTGATAGACTTGATGTCCGTCAATCGACCCACGGCATGTGAAAACCCTTCGTTGTAGAGGGGCCATGACCTCAGTTGCTCACCGAGAACGATCGCTTCAATGGTCTTTTCTCGGCTCGAGCGCACGTCCGCCAATCTCAACTCCTCACAATACCGGGCGAAACTGTTGGACGGTACTTCCCCGAACGTTGAACCGTCGGAGTTGCTGAAGCAGAACCGTTTCAGGATGGTGCTGATTCCCAGAAAAATTGCATAGAGGGTAACCAGTCTGGGAGTGGCGACCAGCGCACCCCCGGCGAGAAAGGCAAAGAAATTGCGATATAGTACCACAAGCTCGAGATCATCACCCTGAGGCTCGGCTTCCCGGGCCAGCATGTTTCCTTCGAACCCCAAAGGTAAATACAGATGCTTCTCTTCTCTCAGGGTAATCAGGTTGGGAATCGAGAAGTTGGGCGCGGGTCGGTACGTCGAGCTCGCTTGAGAATGCTGAGAAGGCGGTCGTCCTGGCCGAGGATTGAGTGCCGTGTCAGAAAAGGCCGACTGGACGCGCATCAAGTCGCCGTCCTGGTCGGCGGGAGAAGTGGGAGACTGCATTCGAAGATTGACAAGGGTGCTCGAATCGGCCAATAGTGCAGAGTCGATCCTGAAACACGGGCCGCGCTGTGACTCTGGAGGGTAGAGGTAGATCAGAGTGTCTCCACGCTCGTTCCAAAGTTCAGGCACCTGACGACGGATCAGTAAGAATGCAGCGAATATCATGATGCTGGAATACCTTGTCTCCTCGGAGCAATGGACCCAGATCATATGGGACATGCTCTCGGAGCCCGGCAATCCACGCCTTATGTGGACCTTGGCCGTCATCTCCCTTGTGTCTGTCATGCCGTGTAGGTATCCAGCTCTTTTTCTTGGATAACTTGGCAGACGACGGGGTTGTAGGTCGAGCAGGAGAAGCAGTCGTGCTCGAGGGTATCAACAACGTAGGCGTTTGAGGCCGACTTCGGCTGCCTTCATAACTGTGAGCACTGCTGGTCCGACTGCCAGGTCTGCTTTCAGATCCACTGCGGTGACTGCTCGGGGGACGAACAAATCCTGGCTCGGACAGCAAAGGAGGAGGCGCAAGACTTGAAGCTCCCGCGGTGAGATCGATAGTCGACGAGGTAACGCGGTGTTTGCTCAACTTATGACTAGTCGTCGCCGCGACGTAAGTAGGAGACTGAGCGTGGTGAATGGAGTCCGGCTCGACAACCTCAGAATGCTGTTTATCGTCCCGCGACAGCGAGAACAACGAGGAGAGTCTCTTTGCCATTGCTGTCTCTGTTCTCGGAAAATGGGAACTCTTCCAGATGAGGCTGTTTATGTCCACCAACATCCAAGGTGAGTAAGGTCAGCTATTCATAGCGAGAGGTCACACAAGGCGCTGTCTGCGATGCGGTCGCTAAGCCCACAATATGGTGCCGTAGTGTCACCATGAGCATGCAAGGAGAAATGGCCGAAAACCAAAAGCGAAGAAAACAATAGGGTCACGGGAGGAATTCGAGCAGTACGGCCAGTTCAGACTGGACACGAGTGCCAGCCTTGGGGTGAAAAAGATCTGTTGCAGTCGGCAGAACACTGGTAGATGACACGATGAGATCGGAAAACTCGAAGCAGGCAAATAGTGAATGCAGGATGATGAAGCCCTCCAGGATCCTGGTCCCTTACTAGTAGATCCAGCATAACTTGAGTTGTCCATGATGGGCCTTTGCCGATTCAAGGGCCGCGTGGAATCCCACTGCAGGCGAGGCGCAGGCCAGGATCCGATGCAATGGGCGCAGGCAACGACGCAGGGATAAACAATCTCAAGTTCCGGTTGGGAATTTACAGACGACGTTTGAGTACCGGCATCACAGACACCGGCACCGGCACCGGCACCACTGCCAGTTGTTATTCTGGGGCCCCTTAGGCTTACTGTATGAGGCGCGGATGCGCTACGTCTGCTCTCCACCACGCCGCGGCTTTCAGGCGTGTGGCTGCGGCCCCTCGGGCGTTGGAGCCCCAAACTTCCAGCCCGAGGCACCCACTCCATCCACTCGCCGTCCCTGGCACTGGCGTGGGCGTTTTCTTTGTTAGAGTCCAAGCACTGGCAGTGGTCCACTGCATCCGCCGGACTCCCACATCCTACTAGTAGCCTCCCTAGCCCGCCACTTATCTTCCTGGCCTCAGGGACCATTGACGCGAATCTCAATCTTACCGAAACCTTCTGCGGGACGGATGGAGGCGGCTTTTGACAGGAAAACGTGGCTACGAGGTAAGTAAGCTCTTACTACAGCACCGCAGCACTTCGACACAAGCAATCAAGTTGGGGCTCACTTTGTGCTCACAAAACTGCATGATCCATCGGACGTGAATGCGGCTACGCCAGCCACATCCAAACTGGTGGTTCTTGCCGCCGTCCCCTCGACATTTGCGAAGTTTCAGATCGATCACAAGTATGACGATTCGGGTTGCCCCCCGACCTGCCGCAGATGCTTCTGGCGGCAGTGCTGTCCACGTCAAGCCTAGACCGATAGATCTCTTCAAGGGTTGGCCCAATCCGGCCCTTCTTCCTCCTCAACAGCTCAAAGATGCTTCCGAGGTGATCCTGTCGAACCCCCACAATACGGATGTATTGTTCTACGGACCTGATCAGGGCTATGGTCCGTTGCGGGAGGAAATAGCTAAGTGGTTGAATGATTTCTACCATCCCGGCGAAGCAATCTCCAGCGGCAGAATATGTATCACCGGAGGCGCCAGTCAGAATCTGGCATGTATCTTGCAGACATTTACTGATCCCATCTACACCCGCAATATCTGGATGGTGGCGCCGACCTACTATTTGGCATGTAGGATATTTGCCGACTCGGGCTTTGACAATCGCATGAAGGCAGTGCCCGAAGACGAAGAAGGAATTGACCTCGGGTATCTCGAACGCGGTCTGCGCGACAGCGAGAAGCGAGCGCTGGCAGAAGACAACACCACGCCGAGGATCAAAACCCCGAAGCCATGGAGGAAGATTTACAAACATATTGTCTACGCCGTGCCGACCTTCGCCAACCCATCGGGCCGCATCATGAGTTTGAGTCACCGACGGGAACTGGTGCGACTGGCTAGAAAATACGACGCCTTGATCGTGACAGACGACGTCTATGACATGCTGCAATGGCCCTCTGATCCTAAGGCCGGCCCTCGGAGGATGGACCGGGCCGTAATGCCTCGAATAGTCGACATCGACCTAGAACTAGACGGAGGCCCGAAGGATGAGTACGGAAATGCTGTCAGTAATGGCAGCTTCAGCAAGATTGTGTCTCCCGGCTGTCGGACCGGATGGGCAGAGGGGACCGAGGCGTTGACCTATGGTATCTCACAGACAGGGTCGACTCGATCTGGAGGTGCTCCGTCACATCTGGTTGCGTCCTTCATCTACCAGTTGTTGGTCAGCGGGACCTTGCAGAAACACATATTGGAAGAACTGCAGCCTGCCTATGGCCAACGGTACCATCGCATGATGAGGGCCATTGAACGGCATTTGTTGCCGCTTGGTCTGACGATGCCTCAGCCGGATAGGGATGTGGCAGGCGGATATTTCGTCTGGCTGACCCTGCCGCAATCTCTCAATTCCACCAAGATATACAAACGGGCGCTGGCCGAAGAAAGCTTGACCATTATCGCAGGCCCCAAGTTTAAGGTGGTCGGGGATGAAGACAATGTGGCCACCCAATTTGAGAGCGAATTGCGCCTGTGCTATGCTTGGGATGACGTGGATGTGCTCGAAGAGGGTGTTGTGCGGCTGGCACGTGTGATAGAAAGGGAAATGACCGAATCAGCTGAGAGATGAACAGGCACAAGTGACAGAAGTTCTCTTCGCCGTAACCTGCTGTGCCTTGCAACTGACTCGCTCCCATGCACGAGGACTGCGCTGGCACAACACACAGCCAATCTGTAGCGGTAGAACGGGTTTGTTGGCCGATGTCACCCAGAAGAACAGCCCTGGCCAACCTTGAGAGGTGAATCGGCCATCGAGGTCAATCTCGGTGTTTGGGTTTGTCAAACAGACCAAGTTTCGGAGTGTTTCACTGTGCGCAAAGCGAACCAATCAAAGATGCGGCACAGGCCAAAGTAGCTGCATCTTGAACCTCATCATTCTTTCTTTCCACCTTGTTTTTCGCGTTGCCTCCTTGCTACGTCCAACCTCGATAGAGAAGTAGTGGAGTGCTCGAATCCGTTTGGATTAAGGAGCCTTTGGGCCATGTGGCTATTCGAATCGGAAGCGAGAATGAGATGGGCGAAGCTTGTGCCTGAAGCTTGGCCGTGGCTGTTTCGGATGGGGCGGTCGGGGCGTGCAAAGAAGCCTGGTCGACTGGCCATCGAGATAGACCATGACGGCGGTGTTGTTCTTCTCCTTTGGCGGAGAACAGACGATTAAGGATCGATTGAATGAAGGACCAACCCAAGATGGAGAGAGCGCCAAAAGCGAATGCGGTGTAAGTGAATTGAGTGTAAGACAACCGCTTTCGTTGGTCACCACTGCGCAACATTGTCTTGATCCTCATCTCCCCAGCATTAATCTTCTCTTCTTTCTCTCTGCGTGATTTTGACTCTCTCGTGCACTCCGTTGAAATAAAATACGTTCGCTTCAAAGGCGCCAGGGTGCAGCCCAACTTTTTGTCGTTCGTTGTGAGGATATCCTCGTGCGGTGTTGGCGGTCACTGCGTGATCTGGATACAATCCGCGGCGCCCTTCTTCTGTGTGTGATTGTTCTCGACTGCACCTGCGCTTGTCGCATGACCTCTATTCATTTCAACTTCTTCTATTGTCACTTGCACACTCAGGCTGCATTTGCAGACTCAGTCGACGCTTCTGCCAACGGCCGACTGTTGTCGCCGTATTACTAGTATCTCCTCAATTTCCTCACTGCAGGCAGTATCAGCTGGTTGCGACTGCCACACGCGCGCACCGATCTATCACCAACCTTTCGGTCTACAAACTCTCTCTCATTCTACCTTTCTGAACTTCTCTTCTCCCCAAAGCAGGACTTACTGCCCTTGTCACCACTGTTTGTCCGGTGCTGGTCACCCCAAATATTAGGCCTGCGATCTGCCGCGACCGCTTGTACTCATACAGCTTTCCAACTTATCGCAACACAGCGAACATGATTCTCCAGAAGCAATCCGTCGCAATGTTGTCTTTCTCCCTTCTCCTTCTCTCGTGGCTAGCCAGTGCAGCTCCAAGTCCTTACGCTTTGGCAAAACCACGTCAAGCAACCTCCTCCTACTGGGTCTCTCAGATTCAACGCCAAGGTACTGTGGCCTTCGGGTCAGATTCAAGCTACAAGATCTTCCGGAATGTCAAAGACTATGGTGCCGTTGGTGAGTGCCACGACAGATACATGCAAAGCTTGACAATGCTGACTTGCCAAGGTGACGGTGTAACTGATGATACCAACGCCATCAACAAAGCGATCTCTGATGGAGGCAGATGCGGACAAGGCTGCGACAGTTCGACCACCACCCCAGCCATCGTCTACTTCCCCCCTGGCACATACGCTGTGTCAGCCCCCATCATCCAATACTACTACACACAACTCATCGGTGATGCTATCAGTATTCCGACCATCATGGCACTGCCGAGCTTCGAAGGCCTTGCAGTTATTGATACTGATCCGTACATCCCTGGCGGAAATGGTGCTCAGTGGTACACAAACCAGAACAACTTCTATCGTCAGATCCGAAACTTTGTGATTGACATTACCCATATGCCGGATAACCAAGGCGCAGGAATACACTGGCAAGTGGCGCAGGCGACCAGCTTGCAAAACATTGTCTTCAATATGTGTGCCAAAAGCCCCACCAACAAGCAACAGGGAATCTTCATGGACAACGGTTCGGGAGGCTTTATGAGCGACCTCATCTTCAACGGTGGCAACTACGGTGCATTCCTGGGCAATCAACAATTCACGAGCCGAAATTTGACCTTCAACGGTTGCAATACTGCCGTTTTCATGAACTGGAATTGGTTGTGGACGTTCAAGTCTCTGTCCATCAACGACTGTGACATCGGCATCGACATGTCTAACCTGGCTGACGGTACCAATCAAACCGTGGGCTCCATCGTTGTCCTCGACAGCGCCATGAGGAATACCGGCATCGGGATCAAGACGTCGTACAATCAAACGAGCGAGCCGAAAACAGGTGGCACGTTAGCTCTCCAGAATGTGGATTTCACCGGCACCACAGTCGCAATCGCTGGTGCAAACGGTGTGGACCAGATTCTCGCCGGCTCCAGTATTGTCCAAGCATGGGGCCAAGGCGACGCCTACCGCCCGGGGACTCAGGCCCAACGAGTCAAACGAGCGCCTCAGGGTTATATTAGCTCCTCGACCTCCGATGATTGCACGACGACCACAACGACAACCACTGTGACGGCGTCCCCCGTTCCCGCGACCATCAGTCTTTCCGTAACCACCACCACCGTGACTGTCTCTGCATTGCCCTCATCGGGAACAGTCTCTGCCGCATCCAATTCTGGTGCAGTTGGGAACTACAGCTCACCAACTTTCAGCACGAAAGTATGCACCGCATCATCAGTTGCCCTACAATCGGCCCGAGTCCAGCAACAACTGACCGCCCCTTCGTTGCCTCCATCTCTGCTCAATGGAAACGCCGTATTCGAGCGGTCGAAGCCACAGTACGAAAATGTACCTGTTTCGTCGTTTGTCAGCGTCAAGTCTGCTGGGGCTAAAGGGGATGGGGTCACGGACGATACTGCTGCAATTCAGAGCATCTTCGACAAAGCAACGCCGGACCAGATCATCTACTTCGACCATGGCGCCTATGTCGTCACAAACACAGTGCTTGTGCCAAAGAATATCAGAATCACAGGAGAAATCTGGCCGTTGATCATGGCCAAGGGTAGTGCGTTCACAGACCTAAACCATCCAAAGCCGGTGTTTCAAGTTGGATCACCAGGTGACACCGGTGCAGTCGAAATCACGGACCTTATATTTGAGACAATGGGCGCACTTCCGGGTGCGATCATGATGGAATGGAACGTGGGGGAGACATCTCAAGGCTCGTGCGGGATGTGGGATGTACACTTCCGTATTGGTGGAACCGCCGGCACTTTGTTGCAGGATGACACATGCCAGGCAAACGTCACGGGATCTTTTCAATTCAAGCCCCAATGTGCCGGTTCATTCCTCATGATGCACATCACACAGCAGGCGGCGGCATACCTCGAGAACTGTTGGTTTTGGGTGGCTGACCATGAGCTCGACCGAGCCTCGCATAACCAGACCGATATCTTCAATGGCCGAGGTCTCCTGGTTGAGAGTCAAGGTCCGGTTTGGTTGTGGGGCACGTCCTCGGAGCACAGCCAGCTGTACAATTACCAGTTCTCCAACGCTAAAGATATATTCATGGGAGCCATCCAGACCGAGACCGCCTACATGCAGGCCTCACCGGATGCCTTGAATGGAGGATTCCCACCAAGTCCTGCGTTCACCGATCCAACTTTTGCGGATTGCACCACTGAATCCTGCAAGAAGACCTGGGGATTGCGCATTGTGAACTCCGACAATGTGTATATGTACGGCGCTGGTCTGTACAGTTTCTTCGACAGCTATATTCAGACCTGTCTGGATACCGAATCCTGCCAGGAGAACATGGTTGACATCCAGTGCTCGAACAACGTGAGCTTGTTCGGCCTCACCACCAAAGCGTCGGTCAACATGGTCAACGTCGATGGCAAACCCGCGGCTGTCGGTCAAGACCACATCAACGGGTTCGGACAAACACTGGTACTGTTCGAAACATAAAGGCCAGTGGGAGAACAGGCACGAAGGAGGGAGGATGTCGACCCTTTCCAAAATGAGTAATGATCTCTTGGGTCATATGCATGGAATCCAATCAAGCAGGGACTGGCGCCATCAGGATTAAGCGGTCATTTGGGCTATGACAAACATGATTTTCAGGATTGGCTTCAATTCAACACTGGTTGGTTGAAATTCCATGTCCATAGTGATACCCACACAGGTTTTAGGATTGCGCGGTCTTAGTGCTGCGCTTAAACGTTGAAACATTTAGTAGGGAGCTGAATAACAAATCAAGCATGGTTTGGCAACTGTTTTACAAGAAATCCACTTCAGATCACAGACATTGCGTACCATTAAGGCAGGATGTAGAGACCTAGCTTAGGTACCTTGCATCTTTAGGGGTGTCGCAGTCAGAAGCACAGACTCCCACTGTCGCTGCCAGTGCAGTGGGAGTGGAGGTCGGTCAGCGCCAGGGATTCGGAGCCTTACCGGATGGAAAATAATCCGCGCCGGGCCCCCAAGGCTGGGGAAATAAGCCTAGGCCGTATTTAGCTAGGTAACTTATAGTGCAGCCAATCGCAAGCGGCGGGATGGACTGGTGGACAATTTGAACGTCGAAGCGGGATGCGCGTTGAACCGCAGTTCGTATTTGGAGATTCATCATCCAGCCTGCGCTCAGTTCCAAAAAGGTCTCATACAAGCCGTCCTCAGACTTGAAGTTTGTATCACCATCACTACTGACAGCTCTCTCTTGCTGTTCAGACTTGACTCACTCGCTCCAAGCTAATCCTCTGCTCTTAAAAGGCCACTTCTTTCCTCTCCACATCCTTACCATTCCATCACTTCGCCGACCGTTCCTCTTCCAAATGGGAGTTCACCCAAAAGTCAGACCCAATCATGACCCTCAGACATCCTGAACGCCTTGGTCCAGAGGGTGAATATGATGACACTTCCTCAAGTACCGGAGGGGATGCCTGGCCTGGAAATCAACATGATGCGCACGAATTAGCCCCAATGCCTGCTGGGGATACTGCCTCACCTCAAAAGAAGTTGGGTTGTGATGAATCCCCAGTTCTCCACCCGTATGCCACAGATTTCGGACCCAAAACCCTGATACAATACTTGGAATCAGAATGCGATCGGCAAGGCTCACTCTCGCTTATCGGTAAGGGTAAAGGAAAAGAGGTTGACAACACAATACCGGCTCAGCCTTACCAAGGAAATTACTCCTACGGACTGTACGGTGACGTGCATAGCTATGGAAACCAGGCAAGAAAAGGTCCCCATGGCTCTTATGCGGCGGATGCTTTTTACCATAGTGAGGCAGCCGGCAGACCTGCTACTGGTGCGAATCCAACTGCGCACTCTACTCGTCCAACCATGCAGCCGTTATTGACGCATGAACTGCTGAAGACGAGAACTCCTGTACTTGGCAACATAACAAATTCAGTACCGGGCTCTGACGACTCCAAGTCTGGTCCGTCATATGCCTCCACGGCAGGTAGACGCCGCTCACAACGCCTGGCTCAAAAGGAGGTTGCCTCCGAAGATCCTGGCCGTGATGAACCAACTATCGCCTCGACCTCAACGCCAACTGCACAAAATGCAACGAATCAACTGCCATGGGGAAATGCGCCTACATCCAACTGGGGTCCTGGTGACTTCTCTCGGTCATCTCGGACAACAAACTTCGAAGAGCACACTAAAACCAAGCGGCAGGCGGTGCGTGAGGGGGCCCTTGAAGCACCCTTTGTTCAAGAAGGCAATCCTGCACATCTACACAAGAAGACCCGCCGGGGCCAAGCTGCCGTGGTGACAGCGAGCCCTACTTTCCGCGTTGATTCTATTGCCGGCAGTTCGTTGCTTACCGCTGCAGACGCCGAAAGTCAGTCACTGAAGCTACCGGTTATCACGCTTGGACGTCGCTCTGTTCCAGATACTGCCTGCCAGTCTGACAGACCTGCTGGGAATATCGCGATAAGTCCTTCCGTCACCGCAGACTTGTCGACTTCCAAGATTCGCAAATCGCTCCACCATGTACGATCTGGACAAAATTATGGACTTCAGCCCCGGAAGCACTCCATACCTACCTTCAACTATGGAGCGATTGTCCCAGAACACATTCCATGGAGTGAGAAGGAAAATTTTGTAAATGCCATGGAAGGCGTCAGCCTTGAGCCTGAAACACACTCACAGTCAGAAACTGTGAATGAGGCTGAAGCAGCTAATGACTTTTCCTCTCCTGCTCCTTCAAAATATCCGCGGATGTGGGCCGCTTCCCGGCCAAAGGACATAAAGTCTTGCGGCTCTAGGTTTTCAATAGCAAGAGTCCCTGTTGAGCCAGGGGCAGCCATCCCCACCCTTTTGGAAGACTTCAATCCAGACCTGTGGATGGGTATCGCCAGGTATCTCTCCACTCAGGATGTGAAGCGCCTACGTCTTGTCAACCGGAGCTTTGCGCGCAGCCTCGAACCCATTGTTTTTCGCAATGTCGTCATCAACTTCGGGAAAACATTCTTTGACGTGAATGACGGGAACTCCGACAGTGAGGGCGTGTGGACCCCGACCAATTCTATATTTCAGAAATATGGATCTAAGATCAATCAGTTTGGTGTCTCCTTCGAGTACGACGTGCATGGCCTGTGCCAAGCGAAATCCAAGGTAATCGCAAAGGAGCAAACTGCATGGTTCGGGACGTTCACCTGGCCCATGGAGCAGTATCCACGCTTTCCCGCATTGCAAGCCGTCGAAGACCTCGTGGATCACAATCGCCCCCTGCTGAAAGAAGCTTTGAAACACGTGACGAAGGCGTCAGAACTTGGGCTGTGCATTGATAGTGGACATGGATGGCTTGAGGGGCCCGACATCTCGGATCTCGCTTTGTTCAACAGACGTGTAGCAAACGGCAGCAAGGTTTTTGGAAAGACATTCCCGACTGAGGACAGTTGGACCGCCTTTGCTCGCAACGAGTACTTCCGATGGGCCCAGCAAAACACCATCAACGAGACCGTTAAGCACATTCTTGGGGACGAACGCCCAGAGCGAGCCATAGCTCTCCATGAGTTGCGATTTTTGGAGAGCGTTGAGATACGTGACATCGACAGCTTCAAATCACAAGCACAGCAGCCTGACTACGAGCCGGAAGTCCACGTAGGTGGCGGCATGCCAGGTTTGCCAAATCTTCCGCTACCACCCCCGGCGCTGGCCAACTGGGCGCCAGTAGATGCCGCAACTGCACGCCGCATCCGTCGTGCTTCAGCTCGTCGTCGATCACCTCCACGAAGACACCTACAATGGCCTCTGATTTTCAGTGGACACAACATTGCAGCTGAAGTGGGCGGTCATTGCACCTTTGTGCAGGAAAAGACCGCACACCCGGCAAACTCGCCACTTCGCCCTGGTCGACTCACCGAAGCTCAAGCACAGTGGTTGATGGAGACCGTTTGGGCACAACGAGCTTTTTTGTCGGCTTACACCACTGCTATCATCACCAACAAGCAGAACTTTAAGTCTATTCATAGTGTTCGGATCTCCAAGCTTTCATCCGGCTTGCTCCCATCACTAGAACAGAATGAATTCTGGGACTCTCTGCCAGGCTTGAAGCACCTCCAGATCCTCATCAGCCCCGATTGGCGCCAAGAGCATTGTATTGGAGACCGGTTCCATCAAGATAACATGCCCATCTCTCCTGCAAAGGCTGCCGTATCGTTTACCCAGTTCCTGCGGAAATATGTGACCAAAATGGAACGTCTGCATAGTTTGACCATCGGCTATGTGGGTGGAGGGGAACACGCAGTTGGAATGTTTGCACGAAATCAGCATGTCCTACCGGCCCCCATCATCATCGATCCGGCAGCATGGCTTCACGGCGCGCCAGACGAAAAGGAACTTCCTGACATGACCAAGTTTGATCATATCCGCGATCTGAAGTTTGAGAACTGTTGGTTCAGTCCTTCGATGCTGGAAGGGTTCATGAAAAAGAGCAGGGACACCAGTCTCCACTCCTTGACCCTTGACTCTGTCAGCATGATTGCTTATCACGACGCCACGCTTGAACATCCTCTCACGACAGCAGGAGATAATCTGAGCTGTGAATACGGCCCATATAACTGGTACCGCGAGGAACTGCCCACCAGCGCCGCATGGTGTCGGGTTCTGGATCGCATCACGCCCGGCATGACTATAAAGGAACGCAAGGAGCAGTCCAAATTTCTGCACAGAAATAGCCCAGAGCCACCACCACCAACCCAACGACCCTTCCGCGGAAACGTGGAGAAAATCGTCCTAAACAGCTGCGGCTACGTCAAGATTTCGGTTCCAAATGTCCTCACACGTGCGTACAAGCAGAACGCCGCGGTTATTCATTCTCATACGCCCAAAGATGGTGGGATCTTGGCTCGTATGGAGCGATTCAACGCGCAAACCAATCCTCCACTTGCGACTGAAGTCCAAGTACCTGGAATGCCACCACCACCACCGCCACCGCCACCACCACAGGCAGCAGCTACAGTGGCAGTGGTCCGTCCTCGTCGTCGGCGCCGTGGGTCCCACTCTGACAACGCAGCTGCCAACCGGATCATGATGAGCGGCAGCGAATATCCTTGGCTAGGCATATTGACTCAATGCGTCCATCCCATCGAAATGCGAGTTTTGGAAAGAGGCTGGCGCATGACATTCGGCTGGCCCGACAATCTGGAGCGTTGGGCTGCCGTCGAGGACGGCTTCTTCGAAGGCGGCACTGGCCGTTTCAGCGGCATCGTTGAGCGGGATTGGGTTCAACCCGACGATGATCTGTTTTGACGCACTACCGTTCGATGATATTGTGTTGGGAAGCGAACCATGGTCCATGTCAAACCTGACTTCTGCTTCGCGAGAAGCGCTTCTCAGAGTCATACTCGCGTAACTTCAGGAAATGGAAATACCAGTCGTGATGCGTTTGGTCTTGCTTCTGACTTAGTTGCGAGCTGCAAGAAGGAGCGGGAGCGGGGGTTGGAAGCGATATGTGTTGGAGTCTCCACCTTGGCTTTTTTTTTTCTTTTTGTTTCATGTTGGGTTCTGCAGTGGTCCATTTTGCTTTTCTTTTTTTGCTGTTTCCCAAGGCAGGCGAGCAGACAAAGAGACAGACAGAGACACGAGAACACGGATAGAAGATACCCCATCCTATGGCCATAGTGGCCTAGGAGCAATGAAAAGTTGATTGGTTTTTATCTTGAAAAAAAGGACCAACTTCCAGGTTGTTTGTCTTTCAATCTCCAACACGCGTTTCTCACGACAAAGTAGTAGTTGAAGTTGAAGTTGACCAGTCTCATTGGATAGTAAGTAAGTGTCTCTCATACTTAATCTTGTCCCTCGCAAGTCTATGTAGGTCTATAATAGACCATCATGTAAGGGAGAATATCATCATTCATCAACTCGTTGGATATAGTATCCAGATGCCTTCAGTACGCGACCTGGACTTAGGTTGTGCCCCAGTCTCAATCGTACTTCCAAGGTCCATAACCATCATGATGCAAATGAATGAAATGTTCAGCAGAGCCATGAATTAACTTTCTCTAGGTTTGATGGTATCCGAGGGGCTAGTGGACTCGAGATCTTACCTTGCATCTTGAAGTGACGGGCGATGACTCCGACCTCGCAGTCTTCCATTGTGTTGCCGTGCTTGACCTCTATGGGCAAAAAGACCTGGGCCAGATGTTCCCCAGCAGGTTTTCTGGAGGAACCCCGTCGCACACTGGCACTGTTGCTTCCGATTGCGGACAGAGGAACAAAATCATGGTTGACGGCAGAACGCCAAAGACGCAAGATCGATCCGCGTTGTGGCAGCTGCCCCTATCTGAAAGCATCACAGCGACATACTCGTGAATTCTCGTTCTGGAAGGAACGCCTCCTCATTGTGAAGGATGTCTTCGATGAGCATCAGCCGAAAGGCATCCGACAAATCTGGAGGGACAACCGCGATCCCGTCCAGTGGTGGACTTTCGGGGTTGCCATTATTGTATTCGCAGTGATGGTCGTCGTCTCATGTGTCGAAGGGGCGCTGCAAGTAGTATAAAGCTTACCATGTCTCATGATAGAGCGGACTCTGAGTTTCTCGTTGCAATATCCCGATGGAGGGCCACCAGGCTCTGGCAGATATGGGCTTTGAGGTTGAATTTCAGTTGCCTGTCAAGTCTAACGAGCTTTCCCAAACTCTTCATCATCGGCCCTTATAAAGGTCGGCTAGATTTGTGGAGCTTTTCGTGATCCGTCTTGATCCACTGACTGGCTCATCCGAGCTCAAAACGGCACTGCAATGTTTAACCAGCCGGGGTCGGATGGCACGAACCTGGTCCTGTGGTGGTGTGGTTGTACTGTTGGACCAGAAGAGAGCGGATTCATGACATGCAAGATTGCCGTGAGCCTCAAAATTCACCAGGTGACTCTGAGTTTTCGAGCAGTATTTGTGGATCTTGCCATAGATGGTCCTTGGGTTAACAAGTCATGGTCTCGGCGGTGCGTTTTGAGCATTACCTTGTCTTCTGAGTGATTGTAGGGCGCCATCAGGGTTACCTAAGGGCTAAGAGCGTAAAAGCAGAGGCCCGAGGGGCCTACTGAGCCCTGCGAGGCATCTGCTTATAGGTAGGTAGGCTGAAAACAGGTCGCAGCTGGGAGGCAGGCGCCCAGAATGGGACCTAAGTACATACCTAGGTACATAGGTACAGTTGTACAGCGTTGTAGTGAGATCAGTACATACTGTAGTAGTGGCTGGCCTCTCCGCTGACCCATCGCGGGCCCAGACCCCAGATGAGCAGCAGAGAGCCTCCCCTTAGCCCTCTCGGCCCCAGTCGACGAAGCCTCCTTAGCCGTTATTCTCACAGCGGGACAGACAGCAGCACTGGCCACAGAACTTGTCCCAGCCAATGCGCAATGACGCAGTTGCAATATACAATATTGTTATCCAGGCTTCGAGCTGAAAGATCACAGACCTCCCAGACCTTTACTCAGTCGATGGTCCCAAGCACGGGCTACCTGGATCCTCGATTCAACAAAGTCTGCGTTGCCATCATCCTACTTCCTACTAATCGACGTCCTACCACCAACAGTTTTATAAGGCACAAACAGTGGTGATGTCCAATTCGCGGCCTCCGTTTACATTCCAAGGCTCGATGCTATCCTGCTGTGTCTACAAGCCACGACAAGCAATCATACGAGCCTAGCCACGCGTGCAAACCTGATCTTCTCCTGCTCTCACTTACGAACAAGTATTTTGCACCTGTCCTGCGGTTCCGCCTGGTCGTCGATTTCCCCGTTTGTTTATCTCGGCCTGGCACCTCAAGCAGCTACCCGAGCCGATCCCGTCTATGTTTGAGCTGTGAGACAATTCAAGATCAAACCAATACAAGGCGGGCACCCGTCCCAAGAACAAAGAGTCTGTGCAACAGGCCGACCATAACAAAGGAAGCGGGCCGTACACAATAGCAGGGTGCCTGGTGGAGGCCAACATAGCACACCTATAATCCTCATGAAAGAGCAAGATGCTTTACGCGACGCTCTGCCTGAGCTTCGCGTCCATGGGAAAGAGCAGGGTGCTTCTTTTCAGGTGATTGTGCTGGTAAGTCATCCACGAGAAGCGGTCAGTCGCCGTGGCTAGTTGGAGTCTGGTTGGCCATCTTGCGAATGGCGGCGAACTCTACCCATGGTCCCTTGATAGTTTGTGGCGAGGCTGCTGAGGCAATCCTCGTCGAGCTCCCGCAAGATGTAGCGCTGATCACATCACCAGGGATCTTCAGGCGGGCCCCGCGAAGACAATGTTACTGGCATGCTGGTAAGAACGCCGCAGGCGGGATGGCGCAAGAGTTCGATGATAGCGGTCGACGCGGGAGCACATCTGGCCAGCATTATTCGCATCCTGCAACGTGAAATGCCGTGCACGTCTGAGACCATACCACCAAAAGACTACTCCCGGGTGCTGGAAACCGGTCCCTTTGCCGGCGTCAAGTTCCCCAACATCTCGGCCAAAGCGAATGCGCTCTACATTTTCCGCGAACTCCTACATGCCTTTCTCATCACACATCCACACCTGGACCACCTGTCGGCAATGGCCATAAACACCCCTGCCCTGGAATATGGCCGAGAGGCAAAGGCGATTGTGGCTTTGCCATCCACCATCGAGGCGATCAAGAACCACATCTTTAATGACTGGCTCTGGCCGAATCTGTCGGACGAAGCAAATGGCGTCGGCTTTGTGACTTATCGACGACTAATCGAGGGGGGCAATCCGCGCTTGGGATTGGGCGAGTCGCGAGGCTATGTCAGTGTTTGCGATGGTCTAGCCACCAAATGCTGGAGCGTGAGCCATGGCAAATGTCAACGGCGAAGTCACAGCATCTCGCATCAACACAGTGATTCTTTCGGATGGGCCCAATCCGACTACAACTTCCCGTCTAGGAGACCGTCTCGTATGTCTGACGAGCATGGGTATTTTGCAGCGGTGGCACAACAACAGTCCCAGGGAGCCGGCGGATATGCAGGAGGGTCGACCCAGTTTACTATGCCGGCGGGGGCGATGACGCCCGGGCTTTCAGCGGCAGGACCAGCAGGCTCGACCTACATCGAGGGGAATTACATGTTTGAGCCGGTGGCCAGTTCGGCTTTTTTCATTCGCAATGACACCACGGGTCAAGAACTTTTGATCTTTGGGGATGTGGAACCCGACACGGTCAGCATGTCCCCGCGGAATTATATCATCTGGGAAGACGCGGCTGCCAAGATCGCGAAGGGGACTCTTGGAGCCATCTTCATTGAATGTTCCTACGACGATAGCGTTCGCGACGAAGACCTGTACGGCCATTTGTGTCCGCGGCATTTGATCGCCGAATTGAGGTTCCTTGCCAACTGTGTCATCAACCGACGCCGAAAATCGGGTTCGGATCAGAGTCAAGTATCGGCTGTTTCTGATCAAGCGACTGACGGCAATAACGATGGGGCATCGTTCGAACCGAGCTCGCCTCCGACATTGACCGCAACGACGACGACGGCAACAGCCAACAATATGAGCATGGGCATGAGCATGAAACAACCGCCAACGCCTTCGGAAATGAGACGGAAACGCAGACGAGCACTGAATGGCGACCAGCTGGCCACCACGCCCGAAATGGCACCCACGCATTTCGACAGCGTGCCTTCGCCTCAGGCACTGTCTAGTGGGTACGTTGGCCGAGGATCCGGACGCAAACGGTCAATTCACGAGCAGACGCGAGAGTCGAGTTCGGCCAGTTTCGCCTACCCACCCACTCCCGTCCGGGCGCGTTCAGTGCAATTCCAGAGCGAGTCTGCCTCTAGCCCAGTGCCAGGGCCGAGCACAGGCATGTCGGGACAACAACTTTATCCTCCTGTTGGCGGCGCGAATCCCCAGGGTCAGGCTCAAGCTCAGGCTCGAGAAAAGCTTCCACAACCCCTGAAAGGAGTTACTGTGCACATCATCCACGTCAAGGATACCCTGATGGACGGGCCTGAGCCGGGAGAGGTCATTGTAAGCCAGCTCCGTGCCCTGAGCGACGAGGCCGGCTTGGGCGCCGAGTTCAACGTGACGAGGTGTGGTGACAGTATTTGGGTTTGAGAGTTCTTTGCTTGCGTATCATAGCAACTAGTAGTTGGTGGTAGTCAGAGGGTTTTGCGTTCCGATGCGAACTAGGTTCATCCTGAATTACAACTACCGTAGTCAATCAGACCATCACTCACTCACTAACTCGCTCATCTTCGCCGGTATCTTTTCTAGTACGCAGGTCAGTAACTAGTGCTGTAGGTGTATATATATATATATATATATATATATATGCCTGACTAGGTGTATCCTGCATAGGTATGTTGACCATACCAACCCCAGGTGCTACTGTGGACGCTCGTGACCACCACCATCAGCACCTCTACCGTTCTTGTTTTCTCGGTCCCGTGGGCAAATTACACGGATGAGACCAAAGGACACAAAGTTCATATACGTATACACATACATACATATTCATAGGTAAGGTATGGACTCATATAGACTCGTACATACATACTGTACGCTGTCCGTACGTCCATACGTACATCCACTACGTTGATTACATACTTGCTTCCTTGCTTGCTTGCTTGCTAATTTCCTTGTTTTGTATGCATGAATTATGCATATATTCATCACTGTCACGGGGCCACAAAGCCAAAGCCAAAGCCAAAGCCTGAGGTAGTTTGTCATCAATCAAGCCTTATTGCTGGGTTCTTCCGCCCCAAGCCTGCCTATGACATCTTGAATCTTGGGAACCAGCTCCGGAATACGAAAAGGCTTGGAGACGACATCGTCGATGCCGCTCTTGAGTGTCATCTCGATCTGCTCGGCCCTGGCGTTGGCCGTGACGGCAACGACGGGGATATGACCGACCAAGTCTCCGGCGGCCTGCATCTCGCGCAATCTCCTCGCGCAGGTCTGCCCATCCATGACGGGCATTTCGAGATCCATGAGCACGACATCGATCTCGATGCCATCCCCGACATGGTCCCGATGATGCTTTGAGCGACAGATGTGTTCGATGGCTTCGCCGCCGTGGTTGGCGACATGCACCACACAGCCTACCTTGCGCAGTTGGGTCGCCAACACCTTTTGGTTGATGAGGTTGTCTTCCACGACCAACACATGAACAGGTGTAGAGAGGCTGATCTTGGTCGCGGGGCCTCGGGTTTGCGAGGTCGACGGCGGCGGACTTGGGATAGGTACAAACTTATGATGCGAGTTCAGTCTCGCCAAGGTTGCAGGCTGCTTGGGACCGTTCGCCACGCTGCCGCCGGAGCCGGAGCCATCTTCTCCGCCGTCACCGGTCGATCGTCGGGCTTTGACATAGAACGCGAACACGCTGCCTTTCCCGCTCTCCGATGCCACTCCAATCTCACCTCCTTGGAGCTCAACCAACTCCCGGGAGATAAATAGACCAAGTCCAGAGCCTCCGTAGGTGACATGGGTCCGCGGGCTGGCCTGCGAGAATCGTTGGAACAATTGTTTCTTTTCCAGGTCGTTGAGGCCCTGTCCCGTATCCTGAACGGCAAAATGGATATAGACCGGATCTCCTAGGCCCCACTCGGCTGAAGCAGTAACATCCTTTTCTTTCTTTGAGCGTGATGGTATATATGTCAACCGCCACTTGTCCTCCGTCGATGGCTTTTCTTCCGAAGCCGCAACATGCATTCGTATCACACGATTTTCTTGCATGGTCGTGAACTTGATAGCGTTCGTCATGAGATTGATCAGAACTTGGGACAGCCGGTGCGGATCCAGCCGCACCCAGTCCAGACCCAAGCTCTTGAAAGAAGGGTCAATGTTCAGCTCCACCTGGATGTCTGCCGTCTTCAATTCCGCCTCGAACATCTTCACCACTTTGCGCATGACGTTGATTGGCCTCGTATCCACCGGCGAAACTGCCATCATGGCCGAATCGAGCTTCGACAGGGTCAGGACATCGTCCACGATCCGTTTTTGGTGCTGCGCACAGAGTGTTATCGTCTGCGCAGAATCTACGGCCACGTCGAGAATTTCCTGCTGGGGCTTGCTCAAGTGGTCTGTTTCACGCATCTCCGATAGAGAGGCGGTGATTGAGTCGGCGCACTGTAGAATGGCAGACAGAGGATTGCGCATTTCATGGGACGTCGTGTCAATGTAGCGTTCTTGCTGTCGCTTGAGTTCGACCGCTTCTTGCATTCTGCGGGTCTGCAAATTCTCTGCAAATTTTTGCGAACTTATGTCCGTCATGGACCCGAATATCCGTTTGAGCTGCCCGTCGTCGTCCCGTTCCGGCGAGGCACTCGTCAGAACCCAGGTTGGCCCCGTATTTCCAAGTTTATCCCGCCATGGCGTCTTGAAGCGGAACTCTAAAGACATAGCACATCTCTTCTCGAAGATGGTGGTCCACATATTCCACACTTTGGGTTGATCTTCCTCGACGACATAGTTGATCCATTCCTCCCCGACCACCCGATCGCGGGGATACGAGGTGATATTATACCATGCGTCGTTGACAAAGCTGATTTTACCATCCACGTCACCAATGAAGATTCCCACCGGTGCCAGTTCAGCCATCCTCGTAAACTTGTTCTCGGCTTCGACTGCCTGCTGAGTCCTCGCCACCAGTTGGTTGTTCAGCTCGATCCGGTCTTGTGCGGCCAGCTGAGCGGCGCGTTCGCCTTTCCTAATCTCTTCTTCAAACAATACCACTGATGCAATTGTCGTGGCAAGCTGGCGACCAAGGAGCTGGATAAACAAGTCATAATCTTCATCATATGGCCTCCGTGGGTTTGTACCCATGACCAAAAAGCCCAACGTAGACTCTCCGGTCGTGGGATGGATGGGAGCAATGACCACAACCCGAGAAGGGTCTCCAAAACCTCTCCATTCAATCCCTTCGAGCAGATCAGCATCGAGTGAGCCGTCTTCCACCCGCAAAACGATTGGTCTATCAGTAGTCAAGGCCTGCCGAAACGAAGGAGCAAAGCCTCTGGTACCCGTCTTCATGTCTATGGTAGGGGGTGCTGCTTTATGACCTGCAGGTACGCCAATGCTGCCTTCTAGGTATGCCACTTTGTTCGAAGCCGCCCCACTCGATCCTGACGAGGCCGCGTCGTTGTCAGACAAATCCTCACTCAGAGAATAAATCAGAACCATGGGGGCGTCATATTCGTTATATTCGAGCCCTTCGAGGAGTAAACCCCAGAAACCCGAAACCTTGCGAGCTGCCGCTGTGCACTCGCCAATTTCCCGCAGGGTCAACATCCGTCTTTCAGCAATCTTGCGGCGCGTTTTCTCGAAGGCCGGATTGTATAGTCCAACCACGGCTCCATCAGCGCCAATGAGGGGAATGATGGACCAAGAAAAGTAAGTCTCTTCCAAAAAGCCATTGCGCATAATGAAAAGGCAGTCATCATCCTTCATAGTGGCTTGCGCCGTTTTGAAAGCATTGTCAAAAACTTCCTCCAAGGCATCCCAAATCTCCCACCATACATCGCGGTAACGGCTGCCCATCAACTTGGGATGTTTTTGACCTGCAAGTAGGACATAGGCCTCATTGTATATGGCAATGTGGTCCTCGCCCCAGTACATGGCTGAGGGGTGCGGACTGGCCATGATCAGATTACACATCCCGCGAAGGTCGGCAGACCAATTCTCAATGGGTCCAAGACTGGTGGAAGCCCAGTCGACTCCTCTAGCGAACTGTACATGGGCTGGGATGGATGGTGATAGAGGCAACCGCGTCCAATCGAAATAACCCTTTACCTGGTTAGGCTCAGTCATGTCGGCGTCCACATCGACCTTCATCCCCGCTGAAACGGCCTTTTGTCCTGGGGGAGGTGACCGGGTGCCGGATATTAGTTCGGCATAGGTCAAGTCTCCGCTCGCGACAGGGGAGGATGATTCGAAACTGGCTGGAGAAGCGCCTGGTAAGGCATCAGTCGTCAAGTTCTCCTTCGCGCGAGCAGGCTGCGTGTTTGACCTCGCGGGAATATCGAAATAGCTGGGCGAAGTGCCATCACCCGGGCCTGGTAGCGAAGACGAGGATGCGGAGCCCAGGCCTTTGTATTGTTGTAAGGAGGGTCGACCGCTGTGGGATGAGTCGCCGACAGCAGGAGGAGAAAACGGATGTTGCCGTCCTTGTATAACCCGTAGCCTTCTTCGTAGGAGAGTGCTCTGCCATAGCAAGCCGGCGAATGGGAAAGTCGAGACTATATCGGATTCTGCCAGTGGGTTGAGTACCCATGCTTTGAAGTCATTGAATGGCGTTCCCAGGTCGAGGAGCAGTGTAGGATCTTCAGACCTCCCTTGCACAAGATCGAAAAGGGCCTGGCGAGACCTCAAAGCGGTATTGGCGAATATTGAATTCAGGCCGCCCGACCGGGCATTGTTCTCGTCGCTGATGTCGACGACCAGCGTGGGCCGTTCATCGAGTTGCAGATACTCTGCGAGTCCCACCGAATGGAACGTTTGTGCACCAGAAGGCAATCTGGGCCTGGCATCATCGTCCTTATCACTCTGGCGGCTGATATGAGGCGAAGTTCTGATGGGGATTGAGTTCGCCACGCTTCCTCTTTCCGTCTCAGTCCTCCTAGAAGACGGCATGTTGTCCCCCTGAGTCAAGATACTTGCCGCCGCCCCCAGGAGAGACACTGGCTCTGCGGCCGGAAGCCCTGTCCCTGCGGGATGGGAAGAATGTGCGTTCAAGTCCCCCTCTTGCGCGTCATGCTCGCGACGATATTGTCCTCCAGGGCGCTTAACATTGGGACTGGAAGGGTCTGTAGGGGGCGATAGTTTGAAATGCTTGCTGGCGGACACTTCAATGGCAGGAGGACTGAATGTAGAGACCAGAGGGCGTTTCAATGGCGAGTGGAGGGTCTCGCCGGGCGGTTGGTCGGCTCGAAGAGCAGGACTGCGTGGATTCCTGGGAATGCTGGATGGGTCGGTCATCAAGAAGACGGAGCATTCTTCAATTCAACCACCTAAGCGATGTTTCGTTTTCGACGTTAAGTGGCGGGGGTTGCGCAACAGCCAGCAGGGGAGCAGGGCGAAGCAGCAGCGTAGCGTCCAGCGGCCGGGGTGGTGATTGCGAACAAGGACGAATTATAAGGACATACTGTACTGGCAGAAATGAACCCGCGAAGCGTTTGGTGCCCGCCTACTGGTAGTGAGAGTACTGCAGCCGTCCGATCAGATGCCAACAGAATATTCGGTCTGCATGCTGCTAGGAGGGAGCGCAGGTGGATGCTGGATATTGGATGAGGCGATCTTAAAAATATGGATGTACACGGTACAGGACTTGAACAGGTTTTCGACTGCGCGTAGATGCTGGCAGTTGGTACCGGCACTGGTGCTGCGTACCGCAGGTGGTGGGCTACGACAGAATGGGTGCGAGGCCAGACTTTCGGTGGAGTTTCTTAGGGAGACTGGGGCGACGCTTGACATGGATTCGGATGTTTTACTAGGATAATCAGCAGCCATCCGCCCTGAGCAGTAAGACATGTGCCTAAACTACCTCACCTAGGACTTAACAAGACCCGACACCTCGAGCAAAGTAAAGTACTATCAAGGCATAATTTATCCAGGACTTTTGCTCTAGAACATTGTTGTAAAATGAGAACCTCGACTGGGAGGTTCTCTCTCGGCCTCCTTCGACCCTCTCCAAGCATTGACCTAACCAACAGCGCCTAGAAGGAGACGTTGCAAAAGGCTAGGGCTTTGCTTGGGGTTCCCCAGACCTTGGCCTCCCCTAACCCTCCTCCCCCCAAACACTTGCCGAGACGCCACTTCAAATAATGGCATTCTGTATTTTCCCATCATTACAACGCTCTATCACCATTCTCATAGCCTCGTCTTGTCAATTTCTCCTAACCATGGTGGCGCCTATCATCGCATCCGTTCACGCTCTGGAGCCTCAATCTATTGACCTCGCATTTACCGTATCCTTCCATTTTATTAAGCAAGCAGGTGGATTAAACGCAACCTCGCCACCAGCGGGTCTCCTAGTAGTAAGCGTGGCTAATCAATTCAGGACGGACCCCATGTTATTCTAACACAATGCTCTCACCATTTCTCAACTCTACGCATGTAGGATCTAGCCCGACCTTTCTTTCAATCATATCTGCAGTCTGATGACGAGATTCTCGAACCTTTGTAAGGGCTTCTGTCACTGTAACCGTTTTCCTTCGAAGTAGAGGTGCAATCAAACCACTGGCAGGCTTTTCCTCGTCATGGGTGCCGATCCAGTATTTTGCCCGCAGTATCTCCATTGCTTGGACCGCATTCACGCCCCCAAAATTGAGCTGTTTACTCCGAGCAATTGAGATGTCATGTAATCCATGCAGAAGCGCAAGAACTGTTATAGGTGGTGATGCCTTCTGAATCACAGCGGCCGTCATGGCCTCTATCCCATGGGGTGTGTATATGATGGCCTCGGCAGCATCAAGAGATGACTGAGCCCGTCCAACAGAGATGACAATCGCCGAATGTAAATTCAATGCATCGTAGCTCGTAACTAACCTGCCTATACCGATCCAGTTGGGCAGAGGAGAAATGCTTGTCGAGCGCCAATCGACGTCCTTTGGCAAGGTTGGTATCTCCAGAACCGTGTCAAAGTGACGCCATGACCGAATGATTCGAACTGCCTTTCTGTTTCCAAAGACAGGCACACTCGATTTGATTTGCAATAGAGTTTCTTTGTGGCAGTGATCAGTGAACTCATGGGAGACTGCCACGGCGTCGATGAAAGAGTTTGTGCACTTGGGGCAGGAATCTTGGAGGTTGTCTTGAAGTTGTAACGCCTCAACGTCGCGCAAAACATCCTCCAGCTGGGCGATGGTCTGTACACTGCTCTTTGCTTGGTGCCATTGTTTCGAGAACCAACCGGCCACGTCTTCTTGGGGACCATCCAGCCATGGATCTATGAGAATGTTGTATTGTGCCCGGCCAGTAGGTGGAAAAATAGAATCAGGATAAGAAAGGGACAAAAGCCAGGTCGTGTCAGCATTTAGATGTGTTAGAACAGGTCTTTTCGTCCTGAGAGTGGCTCGAACAGTGCTCCGCAGCTCAGTCTCAAGTTGATGTGCGGCTTGTTCGTCAAGCAGTGCATCCATTCGGTTTGAAAATTGCTAAGCACAGGTTGCAAAAGATGGAGATGGTTCAAAGGCACTGTATCCAGCAGTTTGCCTGAATCATTTTGTGGCACTTATTAATTATCAGATTTCCTGCCTCCTGCTAGTACGAGACAGGGCGACTTGGGCACTGCCGGGTGACGCCCTTGATCGAACCCATTTGGTGAACCCTGGGCATGATAGTCCCCTAGCACCTCGACAGGTGCCTGCAGCGGAAGTCAAAATCAGAGTGAGCTGGTCTTTGTGCTGCGGTTGTCACAAGGTACCAGTAATGACGACAAGACCGCAGGTATCGCGGGAGGAGGAACGAGCCATGTCAAAATTAAAGCCGCTATCTGGGTATCTTACCTCCCTGCATGAGCTCGAGCGGTATAACCTCGACAGTTATACGGAATGCAGGATCATAAAAGCACTCTTCCAGCTTCAAGTTGTATATCTACATACCGTGCAGGGGCCGGGCAGATATACCTTATCACCACACTAGCAGGAGGGAGTGGTAAGGTGCACCTAGGTAGTCAGATCTACGAGAATGTGCAGGCTGCAGTGGGGACCGCGGCGGTGCCAGTGTCGTATCAAATAAGCGCTCCCCAAAAGGCTTAGTGGAGTGCTTCCCCGCCTGCCAACCTCTGACTCTCCCACTGGCGCAACCTCCCGTTCGTACTCGTCTTCGCACGTGCTCGCTATTCATATGTACTGTACCAACCGTCCACCACTGCATGGCATCGTTCGCCTCACTTCGTCCAATTTGAAAGACGCCTCTCGACTAGCATAAAAATAATACAAACTTGGTTAGATAAGGCCCAGGGACTAATAGTAGGCAGCTATTTCGGTGCCCAGGCGAATGGCGCGCACAACAAAATTGAAGCAAACAATCACTTGAAACATCCCTTCAAGCTGCGCCTACTTCGCTCCAGACACTGTACTGCCAGATGCTATTAGTACAACTTAGATCAGCTCAATATCGCCCTCCTTGCTAGAGCTAATCCAAGCCTAGTGTTATCATCATCATCAAGCATACTAGTATCCTTCTCTACAAATATTGTACCTGACTCAGCGCTCGGCACACATCATTCGCGTGACTTAAAGTCTTGTACGCGTCCGCTGGTGGAGAAGCCAACCACGCATCGCCCACTGGCACCGTCTCCAGGCGTTGCAGTTGGCTCGAATCCTGATTACCTAGTAGGCCCCCGTCTCTTGGCTGTGCACGCCCAGAGCCGGACTCGCCCTCGCCTCTATCGTCGCTAACTTGAACGGCTCCCACCGTACACCTTGCCTATACTGCTGTACCAGACGCCTTCATTTAGGCTCCTCTCCCCCCATGCCGCCTCTCACCCTCCCTCTCTGTTACTCACCACTTCGGTACCTTCTGTGACTTGCTTTGAGAGCAAGTCTGTTACGCGTGCCTTCACCATTTCCCACGACATCCATTCATCCGCCGATGGTCGACTCCGCCGACGAGCCTCCGCTGTCCAGTACCAGACACTCATGGGCTAAGACCGATTCGTCCCTTGCACCGGCGTCCCTGAACCCTCCCCGGAATCTCCGCGAAGATCCATTCCAACCATCAAACCCTCGGGCTCATAACGTTGGAACTGTATCCCATCATGCTGGCCACGGCCCCCCCGCAGCTGGCTCTGCGCACCCAGATCATCGTAGAGATGGAGAGGATAAAGAGCAACAAGACGGATCACCTGTGGAACAGAAAGAAGATGGAACGCAATCTTCCACCATAGGGATTGGTGACACCAAGGAGGAAGTACCCTTGGCCAAACGTTTTTTCCGCGATGTCAAGCGCATCATCTTCTCCAGTTGGGTCAACTGGCTTCTCGTCTTCGTTCCTGTCGGGATTATCCTGGGAATTCTCGTCGACTGGGCCCATGTCGACGTGGTCAGCCCCAGTGCTGTCTTCGCCATCAACGCAGTTGCCATCATACCTCTGGCTTCACTTTTGTCATATGCGACAGAGAGTGTAGCCCTTCGACTGGGCGACACCGTTGGGGCGTTGCTGAATGTCACCTTTGGCAATGCGGTCGAACTAATCATATTCATCATCGCTCTGGCGGCCAAAGAAGTGCGCGTCGTTCAAGCTGCGGCCCTTGGCTCGATCCTGTCTAACCTCCTCTTGATCTTGGGCATGTGCTTCGTTGCTGGCGGCCTACGATTTAGGGAGCAACTGTATAACTCGACTGTATCTCAGATGAGTGCATGCCTTCTCTGCTTGAGCGTCATCAGTCTTCTTCTGCCGGTAAGTACGTTGACGATGAACCAGTCCATTTGCTAACTCGCCTTCAGACGGCATTTCATGCCTCGTTCTCTGATACAAACAGAGCAGACCACGTGGTATTGAAAGTCTCGCGAGGTACCAGCGTGGTTCTTCTGTTGGTGTACCTCCTCTACCTTCTGTTTTCACTCAAGTCCCACGCCTTTATGTACCAGAGTACACCGCAGCATTTGATTGACGAAGAGTCGCATCCTGGAGTTCTCGCTGAAATCCTCAACTCTTCAAGTTCGTCCAGTGACAGCTCCAGCTCGAGTGATTCTGATACCGACTCGAGCTCTGGTTCTCAGACCACGGCCAAACGCTTTCGTCGGGCCTTGCGCCGGAGGAGGCGCAAGTCAAGTTCCACTACCAAAGAAGATGCTTCATTGCCTGGATTCACGAGGAGCTCCTCCGTCCTAACTGCACCTGGTGTCTCAACTCTCCAGGCTACGCCGCCCACATCCCAAGAACTTGAGCCCGTCTTTAGTGGCGACGAGGGGGACAACGATGGCGAAGGTCAACCTCGAAGACATCATTCTTCAAGAACTGCAACCATTCATTCGCGTGATTTCGAAGACACAACGCAGCCGGATCGTGGCCCAGGGAAATCAAAGAAATGGCACAAGAAATCTAAAAGATCTCGACGTTCGAAGAAGGGCAAGGACAACGGTTCAGTCACGGAGAATCTACCCATCGTGGGGAGCGGAACACCAGCGTGTGCTCCTCCAGCAGTGAACATCACTGAACCCCAGGTTGGAACTGTGCAGGATATTCGTGATATGTCCAGTGACAGCGCCACCAGACGACCGTTCAATCTCCGCAACCTCTCGGAGGCTGTCAAGCCCGCCTTTAACTCTACTGTCTTCCCGCATCATCAAGCTACCGGCAGACCTCTGGCATTCCCAATCCGTCCTGTCTCTCAGTCACTCCCGACTTCCCGAGGTGTAGTACGTCGAACTTCCTCCATGCCGGACATTCTTCGTCCCACGCTGTCCCAGCAAGGGCTGTCACCGAGTGCCACAGCACCTGCTCAACCAGCTGTAGTCAATTCCGAAACGGCCACTGCTGTGGAGACAGAACAGGTCGTGGAAGTCAAGCAGCATTTGTCGCGGACTTCGGCTGTCGTTCTGCTCCTTGTATCCACCGGCCTTGTTGCACTCTGCGCCGAGTTCTTGGTTGGGAGTATCGACTATCTGATCGCCAACAGCGGCGTTAGTCAGGCCTTCATTGGTCTCATTATTCTTCCCATTGTCGGCAATGCAGCGGAACACGTGACAGCGGTGACTGTTGCTGCGAAAAACAAAATGGACTTGGCGATCAACATCGCATTGGGCAGTAGCATTCAAATTGCGCTGTTTGTCACCCCCTTCATGGTCATTCTTGGCTGGATCATCAAGACGGACATGAGCTTGTATTTTAGTCTGTTTGAGACTGTCAGCCTGTTCGCCAGTGCCTTCATCGTCAGCTTTTTGATGATCGATGGACGGAGCAACTATCTGGAAGGGTCTTTACTGATTGCTGCCTACGTGATTATTGCGGTGGCCGCATTCTTCTATCCGACATGTGATCTCAGTTCAGCCAGCGGGCCACTGGAGGGAACAAACAGGTGCTGAAGGGAAGAATGAGATACTCATAACGGAGGCAGGAGGGTGTGCAGTGTGTCTCCGCCGCTCGTTATTCGGTGATATCTGAGGAAGGGGTTGTCAGATTGCAAATGCCCCGGGTTTAGTTGGCATCTAACAGGTGGCGTTGCCGATGCACGAATCTACGTGCTGCCACCCACATAACAGTGGTCAATTGTCGAAGTGTTTCTTATCTTGGGGCCTCTAAGTATGCATCGAAAGGGGGCGGCAGCTGGTGAAGGACCTCGGCGTAGCGGAATCGGATTCAGAATCAATATCAAGATAATCAACTTGTCCATCAAGGTTCACCTCGAACCTGTTATCGTATGAGATCTTGTTTGTCAATAGTTGACAGCTTCCGGTGGCCCTATCTATCTGCGCAGCCGTTTAGGCATAGTTCGACCTGAAACGCAGAGCAGAGCACTTCCTGTTCCTTAACTGCAACAAGAAGGTCGATGCCAACGCGAGCCTCTGAATCCCCACTATGGCATTAATCAGCCAATAAGGTTGATCCCCTTGCTAATCGGGCTCAAGCTGCGCTCGGCCACTGGCACTGCATCTTCTTCAACTCATGTCAAGCTCACGGCCATCTGCTGCCAGTGCCACCCACTTACTGTATGTTGCACCCACCTTCATCCTCCCACCCATGTCGGCGAGCACTGGCTAGTCGTGGTCCCCCATCTCTGAGAAGCTCCACGGTAAGGAAGATCCTGGCAATCTGCATGCTGACAGGCTCGGAACGTAGTAGTTTCTGCTACCCCGTCTGCGTCTTGCCGTGGCACTGGCCTTTGACCTTGGTGCAACATGTCGCCGGCGTCAGCGCTTGAGCCATGCCTTACCATGGGCGATCCAATATGCATGCTCTGGAGAACCACCGGCCTTGCACCAGACAAGGATCTTTTGGTCTGTACAATGCTTATCGAAACACCCTGCATCGTCCTCCTTATCGCATCATTGCCGGCGGTGCTGTTGCTATCTGCTTCCAATCATGGGTGGAAGAACCGGGGGACTTCCCCTCTTGACCGTCCTGGCGTTCAAGTAGAAGAGCTGGGGTTGTACACTCTCTTCTGGCTGTTTGTCCGACGCCTTCGCACCGTGAACGACGATTTCACTATTTCTGTGGTGTGTCTGTTCTTACTACTACCGGAGCCAAGTGAAGTATCCCTCTTCGAAAAACTTGGGCGTCAGTTTTTGAAAGTCAGCATTTGGGAAATATATATATTATGTCTGTCTCAAGAGCCAGAGCCAGATGGCTACAGACACTGCGTCTCAGGGACCGCGACGGGGCTCTGTGCGCGTCGACCCCAAGCTCGCTAGTGAGGAAGATGCAGCAGTACTGGCAAAGATGGGGTTCGTTCAGTTCACCCTTGAGAAACCCGGTCTCAGACTGATAGGATGATAGCTACAAGCAGGAGCTTCGTCGCAACTTCAGCATGGTCGAAGTATTTGGTATTGCATTTGCAATCATGGGACTTTTACCTTCGATTGCCAGCACATTGTCATACTCAATTCCTGCGGGTCCAGTTGGCCTAGTATGGGGTTGGTTTCTGGCGTCCGGCTGCATATTCATTGTCGGACTGGCCATGGCTGATCTGGGATCCAGCATGCCCACAAGCGGTGGTCAGTGACTCTCAATACACTATTGCCCTGTCTGAGCCGAAGAGCCATAAACGGCGTTCTACACCCCAATCTACACCGAGCCTGGGGTGTCCCAATCTGCAAAGCTGACAAGTGTCTACATAGGACTCTACTACTGGACCCACTACTATGCTTCGCCAAAATGGAGGAATCCTCTGAGCTTCTTGGTTGGATATAGCAATACACTTGGGCTGGTGGGAGGCCTCTGTTCCATTGACTGTATGACCCAGCCAATCCACATATATGGGCATAGGGACTGATACCAGCTCCAGACGGGTTCTCCCTGATGTTTTTGTCCGTTATAGTGATCTCGCGGGACGGCAACTGGAGTCCCAGCAACGGTGTCATCTATGCCACCTTTCTGGCTACCGTAGCCACCCACGGCCTGATCGCTTCCACCATGGCTCGGGTTATGGGTAAACTCCAAACGGTTTTTGTGGTGATGAATTTTGTCCTCATTCTCGCAACCATAATTGCACTGCCAATAGGAGCCAACGCCCGCAACAGCGCATCATATATCTTTACCCATGTCGAGAACCTTACCACATGGCCAACAGGGTGGGCGTTCATGTTGTCTTGGCTGTCACCCATATGGACCATTGGCGGATTTGACTCCGCCGTACACATATCGGAAGAGGCTGCCAATGCGACCAAAGCCGTCCTTTCGGCATACTTTTCTCTATCGGGTCGTGCTGGCTCTTTGGCTGGATTTGCTGCATAGTCATCGCTGCATGTATGTCCCAAGACTTGGAACACATTCTTGGCTCGCCATATGGCCAACCAATGGCGCAAATATACTATGACGCCCTCGGCAAAAACGGCGCGCTTGGATTCATGTCTCTTCTCATGATTGTTCAGTTCTTGGTAAGTGCCTACATGAGCCGATTAGTTGCCTCGCGCAGCAATTGTCAGCTGAACGACTAACAATCACATGCGCAGATGGGGATCTCCATCCTGGTGGCCGCCTCACGTCAATCGTGGGCTTTCTCGCGCGATGGTGCCCTACCATTCTCCCGATTCTTCAGACCCATCTCCCGGCGATTCGGTTTCATTCCTGTGCGAACCACTGTTGGATGCGCGGTGCTAGCGGCAGTCCTGGGCTTGCTGTGCTTGATTGCTCCCGCTGCGGCGTCGGCCCTGTTTTCATTGGCTGTGGCTGGCAACAATCTGGCTTGGGGTACTCCAATCCTCTGCCGTGTACTTTGGGGACAGAGGAAGTTCAGTCCGGGCCCAATATACACCGGAAGAGCGTCGATCCCGATCGCGTGGGCCGCGATTACGTTTCTTATTTTCGGAATCCTCCTGTCCATGTTCCCTGTCGGCGGACCAAATCCTGATGCCGAAAGCATGAATTATACCTGCGTCATCAATTCCGCTGTTTGGGGAGGTGCCCTGCTGTACTATTTCGTCGACGCGCGAAAGTGGTTCCGCGGGCCGCAGATCACGCTTGATCTGAGTGAACTTACCGAAGAGCAGGAAGCAGCTTTGCGGGCCGAGGGGTTTAAGGACGAAGGGGCGAGCGGAACCGCCGTGCTTAGCAGTGGAGTGCACAACGACATCAAAAGCCCCTTGGAGACAGCATAGGCCACTTAGATGGTTGTTCGGGGGTATCGGCGCTGTTCAGTCCTGTATAAGAAGGTATGCTGACTGAGCTCAGGTGGAATATCACTGACTTGGCTCTGCATTGGAAAGCGGTCCGTCCCTTCTCTATTGCAGTTTTCACCGTGTACGTGTTGCTTCAGGTGAACGCTCGCCAAAAATCTTCGTCCAGGAAGTCGAACCAAGTCGTCAAGCAATGTCCGTTGGGCTCGTTCTCTGGCAGATACTGAGGCGAAGGCTCGTCAAAATTTGACACATTTTGAGCCTGGTCAGATCTGGCCAAACCAGAGCGCCTGGTCTCGTGCACTTCCTTGATGAATTGCAGCTTGGGAGCAGTGCCGGCGAAGAACTCGGGCACAGTTCGAGGCAGCGCGCTGGGAGTACAACCGGACACATGGACGGACAGTTCGGCAGCAGCCTTGGCCGCGTCCATATTGGCAGCGATAGTGTCGACAGTTGTGGGGAAGTCCAGCACACTGCGTACATACACCTGATCCCAGCCGTCACCGACAAAGAGATTTAGCTTTGAGGTGACGACTATCGCGTGTCCGACCAGTGCCCAAAACAAGAAGGGCATGTCGAAGTAAACCAAAGTCGGGAGTGAGAAGAATGTCTCCATGCATGACTTTGTCGAGTTCAAGCATGCAAACAACAGGTTAAGACGGGTCATGGGAAAATTGCCGTACCTTGCGGGGTCGACGTTGTCACCGAGGGCGATCTCGTACAAATATATTTCGATGGAGTAGTAGTGCATGGCTAACAACCCAGCATGGTCAAAAACTCGTTGGCCACGTATCTCGGCACTCTGTGAAGGGCCCAATGTGAAGGATGCCTTGAGCTGGTGTAATTCGGCCTCAAGAGATCTCACGCAGGCTCCGAGGGGGGCAGCGATGCCAGAAGACCATTCCCAATCATCGAATTTGAGAGTGCGACTGATTCGATCACCGAAGTGGCACAGCTCTGTCAGTTTCACAAGATAGGTATCACTGGAATACTCCATGGTATCGGATATTACTCGACAGCACTCCTCGGCGTATTGGCTGTAGCGCAAGTGCTCGATATCACGCGCAAACATGGATACACTGTGTGCTCATCAGATGCAGCAGGGGCAAACGGAAACGAGACCCGTAGCTAGGCGGGTAGAAGAGGTCGTCTGGAAAGGTTTATATACGTACATGAACGTGATGCAGAAACAACCCAAGAATGCCCTTCGCTCAGCTAAAGTCCTTGCAGCAGGGACCTGGCCATCTCTGACGAAATAACCCATGGCAGCCGTCCCTGGAGGCCTTGACCAGAGTTTCATTTGTGCTGGCCGGTGCAAACCCAGATCAGACACCATTGCCATGGCAAGATGGACAAGATTGGTAAGCTGTGGACCGAGCGGGATGTGCAAATGGTACCTAGAAGTACATGGTCAGATCCCTTTTCCAGAATGCGCAGGATGCGGACTTCAAGTCTCACCATGCGATGTACACCAGCAGGCTTTGCAAAAGATCAAGACTTTGCTCTCCCTTGACCAGGATCCTGTGGCTGACCAGTTCTCTGAAGGCTTTGGCCATGGCCATTTGTCGTACTTTGTCGTGCCGGCAGCCTACCATCATTGCACTTAGCAAGAGGAATGGGTTCTTCCGTTTCAATTGGTCGACCGTCATCGCTGGTGGGATCACAACGAAAGGAAAGAAGGGCGCCATGTCATTTCGGAAGGCATCTAGAATGAGCTGCGCCTCGGTTTCGTCTTTGATGTGCTGTTCAAGACAGGTAGTTGGAGAAAGTAGGGCAGGGTGTGGAGGGAAATCGGATGTTTCTGGCTGATCTCCTCCTCGCATTCGCTCCCTGTCCCGCTCAGACGCGGCGAGAATGGCCGCAACGCCATCAAGTTTCTCTTCAAGCCTTGCCACAGTACTTAAGATCATGAGCACGAGTCATTGAACATCAAAACGGTTCATGGTGCAGAAGTCCAATCATCATCGACCGGTCTGTGCCGGGGTTTCATCTTATCCGGAAAACCAACTAGTGGAAAACAGCCGTAGGGCCTCGAACTTACCTCGACTTCTTGAGTTTCTTGTGGGTTTGAGAACCAGGCTGCTGCACGGTGCATAATTTGCCGAGCCGCCGGCATCTGTTGGCCGTCAGCCTCGCAAATCCTACGGGAGGACCGGAACAAGGTGAAAAGGGTGTACCGTTTGCAGACGTTTGCACCAGGCTCGTTCTCGCATTTCACCTTCAATCGCGCGCATGGCACACAGGCCTTGATCACCCGAGGCCCGGGGCCTTCGTTCGGTGGTGATAGGGGAAGGACTTCTTGAAGCGTCCTGGGCAGAGTATGGCTCGCGGATTTAGGCATTCCTCCCGCATACAACTCACGACCCGTTTTCTTCAGGCCGGCCGCGGCAACGCTGGAAAATGGCAGATGAAAGGGAGAGATGTTGTCCGTTGAGTCCGTTGACGAGGTTTTTCGAGGAAACAGTCGAGCATGTACACGGACACGGCGAGCGACAGAGACTGCCGACTCCGATCGTGCATTGATCGCGACTTCACAGCAGCCAATAGCAGCGAAGCCTGGGACCAATCTGAAATGCAACGATGTCGCCTCATTGGCCGAATTTGTGAGGCATCCACTAGAATCGGGACAGACACGGAGCGCCCCAGATATATACAATGCGCTCCGAGTGCAACAGCTGGGCCCGAGATTCATCAGGAAAGAGTACTGCATGTCTCTGGACAGTAACAATCAGCATGGAAAACACGATATCGGAGAAAACAGCCCAAAAGTGGCCAGTCGACACCCCTTCGCAGCCAAATGGTGCCCTACCAGAAGGATATCCTGCCGGTCAAACTTGTCCTACACCAACACGGGACGCAAATGGCAGTACGAGAGCATATGAGGACTCGAAACTCCGGAACAGCGGTCCAACAACACCATTGACCGGAGCCAGGCTCTGGATTCTCTTCACCGCCGTCTTCTTTGCAACATTCCTCATGGCCCTGAACGCATCAATCGTCTCAACTGTGAGTAGGGGGAACTGCGTTGCAAGCCAACAGGCTGCTGGATGTTTGTCGACAGGCATGGGCTAACCGAACGTGCTGTCGATATCCAGGCCATACCTAAGATAACAACCCATTTCAACTCCCTCGACGACATTGGCTGGTACGGCAGTGCCACCCTCATATCGACGTGAGCGCCAATAGACCCGGTTTTGGGAACGACCTGCTGAGATACCATAGATGCGCAATGCAGCCCTTGACGGGAAAGCTCTATACTCTATTTCCTATAAAGGTGCGAGAAAAAGAAGACGCATATAATTCCCCCCGGGATGCAAGTCCAATGGCCGAGGCCAAAAGAATGACAATGACAACCATACAACTAACGTTTTCTATTTCTGTGCAGCAAACATACATTGTCTTCGTATCCATCTTCTTCCTGGGCTGTGTGCTCTGCGGGGCCGCGACTTCGTCAGAAATGCTTATCGGCGGGAGAGCGGTCCAAGGAATGGGAGGAGCAGGGATGCTCAATGGTGCATTCACAACCATCGCGGCGGCAGCACCGAAGGAATATAAACCGAGTACGTGGAGGTCTCCTGCTACGCTCTGACGGAGGGGTCCTTTAGCAGCCATCAGAGACTACTGGGATGCTATACTGACCAAGGTCTACAGTGTTCGTTGGAGTCGGCATCGGTGCGTCAACGGTTGGATCCGTCATTGGGCCATTGATTGGAGGCGCACTTACCGAGAGTGTGACATGGCGGTGGTGTGAGTACTCTTTTCATCTGTTGGTCCACTACATTCCTTCATGTCTTGTCTATTCGTATCATCCAGGATCTTTGTTTTGGCCGCAACTGTTTTCGATTGCCCAACACTAACTCCTCTACTTCTTCAGGCTTCTACATCAGCCTCCCGCCAGCAGGACTAATCCTCCTGATCTTTCTATACCTCCACATCCCCGAACAGATCGAAAAGAAGACAGTCATCCCTAATCTCAAAGCGATCATTACCAACGAACTCGATCTCATCGGATTCGTCCTCTTCGCCACCGCATGCGTCATGGCTCTCCTGGCTCTCACCTGGGGCGGCAACACATACCGATGGGACTCGGCCACCATAATCGGGTTGTTTTGTGGCGCCTTTGGCACGACCGTTGTTTTTGCAGCCTGGGAGGTCCGTCGAGGCGACAAGGCCATGATGCCGCCGACGGTAGTGCGCAACCGTCTGGTTATCTTTGGCTGTCTCACGTCTTGGTGTCAAGCCGGCGCCATGTTCACCTTGACTTATTACCTTCCACTGTGGTTTCAAGTCATCAAGAATGCATCGCCGCTCATGAGCGGCGTCATGATCTTGCCTACGGCCATTTCGCAGTCTGCTGGCGCTGTTGCTGCTGGGAAGTTCGGTATGTATCAGGTGTCCTGAGTCGCGCCATGCTTTTGCATGTCATGATGTCCGGTTTTCTGCGTTGTCCTAAAGATGAGGGAGTAGACCAGACGATTCCATCACTCCATCTTTTTGTGTATATGTTCGACTTGATGGATCCCGTTACTAACACTGACTTCCAAAAACAGTCCAACTCATTGGGTACGTTACTCCCTGGGCCCTTTTCGGAAGCATGGTGTCCTCAATAGGCTCGGGGCTCATGACCACATTTACGCCTTCGACCGGTGCTGGGCCATGGATCGGATACCAGATTTTGATAGGGGTTGGAAGAGCGCCTGTGCTCCAAATGGTGAGTGCCCAACCAAAAAATTGCAAAGCAGCGGCATCAACATGGACGCCAACGACCACGCTGTTGTCAATCACAAAGATACTGCTGCGAAGCATATCTTGTCTGCCGAAATCGACGGAGCATGCCTTGGTTATCCCGTTGTCCATGTCTCCAAACTTATCCTTTTGCGTCTGCTTGCCCCATACTCCACATTTACATCCCACACCTCTCTCCCGCACATGCACATTTTAATCTATTGATTTATTTGCTGCTATCTGTCCCACGTGTACTAACGTAGGAGCTCAACGTTGTCTTTCTAGCCCATCACAGCAGTCCAGAACCTCCTTCCACCCGCCGAAGTGGCGATCGCCACATCGCAGATTTTCTTCTTCCAATACATGGGCGGCGCCGTCATGGTCGCCGTGGCCCAGACCATCTTCACCAACGGGCTAAGATCGTCGATGCGGACCTACGCCTCCCCGGACGTTGATGTCGGAGTTGTCATCGGTGCCGGCGCATCTGCTGTGCGGTCGACAGTCTCCCACGCAGATCTGCCCGGTGTGCTCAGGGCGTATAATCAGGCGATTGTGGATACTTTTGTAAGTCCGACCCACCCACCTTTTGGGAGTCCCCACAGCGGCTTTCGTAACGGGTTTGCTGGGACGGATCTGGGAAAATTGATCACCGTCGGCGTTGAATCGACCGATTCGAGGTGAATTGAGCTGAAGTGAGCTAACCGTGTCTCTTGAACTGGTACCAGTATCTCGCTATGGCCGGTTCTTGCGCAGCGTTCCTGACAAGTTTCGGCTTGGGCTGGCAGAAATTGCCTTCTCAGGGTGGAAAGAAAACAGAAAAGGACGAGGAGAAAAATCAGGAGAAGGAAGTAGCAACCGGAGAGCGAGAATGATGGAAGTCGATGGGTTTGGGGACGAGAGAAGCACAAAGGTAGCTAAGGAAGATGGGGCGATCATCTGGCTTTTGGAGCTGGGCTACATACAGAGTGATGTGTGTAGGGAAGTCCCTCTCAGGGGCCACGGGCAATGATGTCTTTGGTGTAATATAATATATACATGTCCAGTACAAATGGTTGGTTCAGGGATTGGTTGGTGTACAGTACCCTGGCTATGTATACTGCACTGGGCGGGTATGGGCTGTAAGTCTCGTGGAAGAAGTAGGCCGAAGGTGAAATAGTATTTCCGACTCCTGTATCAACAACGGTATAGTAGCTAGCTAGGTACGCATTAGGACCACCTTGTTATCTTGTTATTTGGAAATATAGCATGTCGTACCAACTTGTTATCTTATTATCTGGAAATATATCATGTCGTATCTATCAACTCATGGCCAAATGAACCAGAAACAAACAATGCGAGGAAAGTCACGAGTCACAGCTCCCGCCGTCTTTCTTGGTTCTTTCTTCTTTCCTGCCAAAGGTGACGGAAATTGGATCGATGCTGCCACAGTGTCGAACTCGAAACCGGCCTTTTGGCAACGACTTCCACAGGCACGGTGGCACCCCACAGTAACTCTCTTGGCATGTAGTGATGGGCTGAGAAGCCCCTGTGGCTGGGGTATGTATTGTACGTCTCCCTATACAGAAGCCATTTTTTCATCCTTGCTGCCAATGCCATCATCTCGACCAGGTCCAACACCACTACCACCACCACCGAGAACCTCAGTTTGATTTTCGTACGGTGTCTGCTTGCCATTGCTGTCCCTTGTGAATCCGAAGCCTGGATGCGCCACGATGAGGCAGTAGGCTGCTAGGACAACCATTCTAGATATCGAAGCAGATTAGTTATACCGTCAACACCGACCACAGCAATAGGAAAAGAGGGGGTTCAACTTACACCGACTCCAGCCCAATAAACAACCCCTCATCCCTCAACGCCTCACTGTTCCTGGAATACCCCTCATTGAGCTCGTAGACACGATAACAGCAGCGAACGAGAATCAACAACGTGGCCAGCGAGAGGAAGGAGACAAACACCAGGAATCGCGTCGGTAGCTGGACGTGGATTCTTCTTGCCTTCGAGTTCGGTCGCATCCACACGTCGCGACTGCGGACGAAATAATCCACCGTCATGGTGACAAACACGACCAATGTGGCGACTTGGAATGCTAGACCTGCCAGGGCGATGTTGACTCCGGCGTCGGAGGAGCCGTTGGATGTCGATGACATGGCGCCCCCGATGGCTTGGAGAATCAGACTCAAAATGTCGCATGGGATGAAGGTGTAGTAGAAGAACCGGGGTGAGAAGCGTGAATGCTTGATGGAGATGTATGTGACTCTGCAGAACAAGGGGTTTGTTAGTCAACTTGGTTGTATAGGACGGGGGTAGGGTGCAAAGGGTTGGATAATGGATCGGGATCGTGGCCTCATAATAACCCGAAGGGGTGAAGGTCGGGTATATGGTCGGATGGGATGTCCCTTACATTTGGTACAGCATGACGTAGATGGCAGCAGAGAAGAAGACGGGACCAATGGTGATTAGAACTGCATGGTTGTCAGCATGAACAGGTCGAGATGTAACATCGTTGATAGAAGAGAATAGACAACTGTTATGAGCAGCGGGTTCCGGAGAGTAAGGGTAAAAGGGAAACAGAAACAGAGAGCGGTGCAATCCGACCAAGAGATGGGGAGAATATTCGAAGATATTCAAGAAAACGAATTCAGACAATGTCCGCAGCCAGCAAGGAGTAGTGGCACTCGTTTCTCGCCTGGTTGGGCAGCAGCCATCAACAAGGCCGGCTGTCGAAGGAATACCCAGCGCAAGAAACGCAAAGGAGAAATAAAAGTGCTCGCCAACTCACCAATCTGCATGATGAACCCCTGCTGACCCCACGGATTCTGCCAAAGCAAGATCCTCCCAACGTACCCGAGAATTTCATCGATGCACCCTAGCGCCATGGCGGCCATGAATCCCCAAGCCTTGTACCGCCAACCTAGAAAGAGTTGGAAGAAGATGCAGATAGCATAGAGGGCGATGAGGGTGCCGCTGGCCGCCAGTGAGGGCCGGTAGCCGTAAACGCTGATTTCGACGGGACACGCGGAGATGGTGCAGTTGGCCTGGTCGCCGTAGAAGACGTAGACGGTGCCATTGGGCGATATGTAGAGTGGAAGATTGGAGGACATGGCTTATGATTGAATCTGCGGGAGCAATGAAGTTGTCTTTTTGTAACTGACGAAATTCCCCTGGCAGTGAGGCGGAGGTTGTTCTCAAGAAGACGAGAGTGCGTTGGCTGTACAGTAGGTAGTTATATATCTTGTGGCGGGGAGATCCTATGCTGTGATACTGCTGCTGCTCAAGAAAAAAGAGACGATTGTGGTGGTCAATAGGAGTTGCCTGCTTGTTGTTGACTCGGATTCCACGAGCGAGTTGAAGAAGTAAGAATCCTTCCAGGGTCCGTTCATGCTTTATCATAACAAGTCGCTTCATTCAAGGGCCAGTCAACCCATGCGCAGTTCCCTGCCTGTCATATCGTATTGCGGAGCAAATAGAAAGTTCTTTCGAGGCTGAGTCACTCATCGCGATACGGACACGGGTTGTTTATTTGATTCACAGGGATGACGAGATTCCCCTGCCCGATCTCGCTGGCCCACCTCTCTGGCTGTCATGGGCCGTGCGGGAACTTACATGAGCCGTACAGTACATACCTACCAGGTATGGGGCCAAGGCCCAAGAACCATTGAACCCGTTTCCATAAGGCCGTAGCGGGACGCCAATAATGCCCAAGGAGGCGGGACAGGCGAGAAAAGCCTATGTCTCCATAGACTTAGAGAGCCATAAAACAGTACTGTAGGGCTGTGACACAAACAGCCGTGACCATAACGACGTGCACCAGTGAAAAGCCTATTTTGGCGTGTGCTTGCCACGGTCCATTCCATTCCATGGCATGGCAAGCAAGCAAGCAAGCTGCTGCGGTGAAGACGGGGTGTTTCAGGGCGAATGAGTACACTCTCGGCTGCAGGGATTATCACAGGTAGCCAGGAGACAGTGGTGAGTGATGACACGTACATTCGATACATTTGACAAGCCTGGGAAAACTGCAGTAGTAGATGACGCTCCGGGTCCGGCTACGGCCGATAGAAGCGGCGTTAAATTGAGCCGCGCCACGAGGCTGAAGGACTTATAGTACAAGTACCAACCAGTAATAAACCGGAACCCCCTCGGAACCCCTTGTCAGCCCTTCGCGGTTCGAGCCGAAACAGGCATAGCGGGCCATTGCTGCCCGCTTCTTGACCAGCACCAGTAGCTCGAGTCGACGGATTTTCGTAGCCGAGTGAATACAGTATACTATTAGTAGAGTTTGCTCTCGAATGACGTCGGTTGAAATGATCAATATGGATGCCTGAATACTTGGAGTATTGGGATTCAGTTGGCAGGAATTGACAACTAACTACCTGGCCCGACGGCCGAGCACACCACGCTCGACATGTCTGCTTTCTGTTGACAGGGTACATCTGCCCGAACTTGGTGTGGATTAGAAACATCTCCGCGGAGAGGAACCATCAGAAATGTCGTTCTGATGTGGTGCATTCGACACCATTCGTCTACAAATGTGGTCCTGGCTCCCCTCTGCGGGATGGGCCGTTGTCTCCAGCTGTTCCAGACGCAGGGAGGCCCTTCCTCCTGGGATGCTCTGCTTCAGTGTCTGTCCAGCACTGGCCCCAGATGCCTGACTTTCCAGGCGCCACGACTCCATTCGGATCCAGAGCGTCTTTCAGCAAGTTGTTGAACTTCAGCAATGCCCCGTTGTTCCAATTGTACGTCGCCATGACTTGATTCTGCAGCGCCAGGTGAGTTCTGTACTCTCCCATACCGATCTTGGCGCCTTCGACGACCAACTCCTCCATCATCAATCTCGCGCGCCTTTTCGAGTCCGGATCTCCTCGATCGTAGATGATCATCACGATATGATGCATCTCTCGAGGACCTGGACAAAAAGTCGGGAAGTAGTCGAAGCCCCACTTTTGATGAAGTCTCTTGGTGAATTCGTATTGCTTCATTGCGTCCTCCCCGGTCAATGGGCTGATGGGGCTGAAAGCCGTGTGAGACCCATTGGGCAGCCACAAGACCCAGTCGAGTTCCCTCAAATCAGGAGTCCCCGAGTAAATCTTGACCCGGCTTCGCAGATACGAGTACTCGGGTGTCTCTTCGGGAAACATGACGCGAGCCCCTGGGATTTTGCTGAACTCTTGACTGATCACTTCGATGTTGGCTTTGCGGATAGGTTCGGGCCCGTAAACACAAATATACAGGATCCATCGGAAACTTCCGACCCAGGAGAACTTGGGCACTATTAGCTCCTCGATCTTGTCGTGGGGGATGGGTCCTTGTCCCTGCCAGTATGTTTTTCGGTCGCCGTAGATGCTTGCTTCTTGGACAATATGACGCAAATGTGGGACGTTGGGGATGATGTTTTTGATTTTCAACGGTCTCATGATCTCCACGATATCATAGAGATCTTCCTCACGTGGAAACGTAATCTGGAACGTCTGGTGGCCTCCAGGGTCAGGCATGAGCCAGACTGAAGGATATATTATATCAGCCAACTGACTCCACTATTCCCGTCCCTTACAAAGGAAAAAAAGGAACGAGACTTACATCCCATCTTTGTCACGATGCCGTAGTTTGACTGTGTAAATACTCCATCGGAGTAGGGTCCAAATCCATAAGGGAACAGTTGCCACGTATTGGCACTGCCGTGACTGTTATTGGGGTCAGGCAGAGCGCCCATGCCGGTCCGAACCACGTCACCATTGGGCAGGACAACTTCCATGCCGCAATGCATTCCGAAATGATCTGTCAAGTGTGTGAGTGCATTTCCAGAAGGCAGCTCGGTTGCAAAGCGGGAGAAGTACCTCCGTACGGAGTGTAACCAACACCTCTGTCCAGAGCGTTGCCGATAACGCTGCCACCTCCCAGGTCAGGGACATCGACCCACAGCTTCTTTCCCGACTTTTGGATCTCGTCGTATAATTTATAGTATGTTACCCCGGGTTCCAGCAAGCAGAATGCACTATTCTCATTCAGTTCGATCACGCTGTTCATTCGTCTCCCCATGTCGACAAGGACAGAACCCTTGACCCGGCCAGAAGCGCCACCGTAGCCAAAGTTACGCCCCATGGAGATGGCGTAGATCGGTATCAGCCATTTGTTGGCCCATCTCATAATGGCTTGGACCTGCTGCACATTCCCTGGTGCACATATAGCGCTATTGACAAAGTAGTCGTCCTGGTCCAAAGCAAAGGCGTCGTGCGACAGGGGGCGGTGCAGATACCACCCGTCGTCCAGGTCTCCGTCTACCAGGGTAACGTCGTCGTCAACAATGTTTCTCAGCTCGGCAATGGCTGCATTGAACTTCTCTCGTGTCACCCCTGGTGGGAGCACTGGCAAGTCCTGAGGCTCTACACCCCGGCCTCTTCTTGATGACTTTGTGGCGTTTTGTTCAAACCGCCGCTTGACACTGTCGGCATACTCGGTAATCCTCGACGGGATTCCTGGCGCATATTCCATTTTCAAATAATATTCAGCCAGGACCTCGACCGCAGACTGAGAAAACTGGTCGTCACCTAGCTGGCAGTCATCGGGCTTCCGAGAGACCTGTCGCCGTATCTGTGCACGGTGATGATGATATACTCGAAACAGTCTTTGTGGGGCACTTGAAGACCCATGCTAGTAGTAGCTGGCCACATCACAGATCACGGCCGGCAGTTGACCCCAACTTACCAGAAGCACATTAGTCTTTCGATGTTCTCTCCACAAATTCGAGGGGCCCCATGTTCGCGGGGAGAACGGGGGCAATTCCGGGTGATCGATTCGGTCGGTGATGGGCGGCCGATACTGGCAGATGTGGGTGACTAGGAACCAGAGTACTCGGGAGGGCGCTCCAATGGTGGGGATGTACCATCTACAATGCCCGGGATCCCATAGCCGTAGCCAAGGTTGGGTACACTCTTACTGCGGCCGTGGAAAGCCTCGACAATATCATCACGATCAGCCTCGACGTCCGGATGCCGCTGGCTCGGACGCTGTCTTTTCTTCATCCGGATGCGTTCTCTCGCAAATTTCAGCTGATCTAGATTGATTTTGAGATGTTGTTCTTCCGGCGAATCTGGCCCCAGTTGTTCCAAATTATGTACCATGTCGGCAATAATTGCGTCGAGCTCCTTTTCTTCCGCGTTCAGTTTGCGCAGTCGCTGACACTCTTCTTCCCACCAGAAAAGTAAACCGACGAGGTCTTTCTGACGGTTGATGTTGAGGAAGGCCAGCTGGTGTGTGAATCTTGGACCAATCTTGTACGTGTCGACTGTGCCGTCCTCGGCCTTGAGGATCTCGTATTTCTTCAGGGCCTTGTGTATCCGTTTGCTCAGCTTCTCCGAGTCTACGATGCCGCCGACGTAGAAGGATCGTTCGTCCAGGGCATAAGGGTCTGCCGACGTCACCTGGTGCATGTAGCACATGTCCTGGCGGAACGCGGTCAGGTCGCCGCTGTGTGATGGTAAAGCATCCGCAAAGAAGTTGGGCACGGCGGCATTGGCGAATCGTGTGAACGAGAAGCCGAGTGAACCGTTTCGTTTGCGATACATCGCGGATCCTGCGCACGTTCAATGCAAAGCAGTGGATAAGGTCATTGGGGGGAAGAAATGCCAGGAACATCACGAGGAGAGCCCTCGATAATGTATACGAGCGCGCTCTACCTAACGGACGGACCCTCGCGGGGCAGATGGTCGTTGACGCATGCGTCTAGACTCTGGATGCTGTGGATCGCTCAGACGAGCGGACGCCATGATATCAGGCTACCTTACCAGGTATTAGGTTCCTTACCTTCCACCTCATTTCTTGGGGCAGCAACTAGTAGCCGGAGTACACAGTTGTATACCTAGGACCTCTTACAACCACGTTGTCTCACTGCCAGACATCATTGGTCAGTCTGCGGCCTGCCTTTCCAGGCCAGTTTTTGGCGTTAATGATGGGCAGTAGTGTAGTAGTGGCCAAGCAAATAACTTGATCATCCGCCAGCCGTTGCAAGAAACAACTTGAGCAGATGGATGATAAGATCATGAACCAGACCCCTGCCAACTTGGTAGGCCAATAATGTGAACAAGGCTGAAGATCTACCACGTGATGCCAGCCTCGCCCTCTACTAGTCTTTCGCCGTGGCGGTTGATGATCATGATCTGGAGTCAGGGCGCTCAACTGTACCGGCTGTGTAAGTTTGCAAATTTTCGAGCTCATCCTATTTATTCTCAAAGAGGAGCACAACTTCATCCTCAGAACGCTGCGTTCCGTGATAAGTGAAGGGAGTTTATCAGTAGCACTGGAAAACATCAGTCTTGCCTCCCACCGACGCCGGTTCCTTCTCCCCGATCTACCGTAACATAGCTCTATTGTCTCCCTAGTGCCATCGCCGACGCTCGAACGTTACCCTTGTCTACCGCTCCGACCCTCCTTGCCGAACGATTCGAGAGGGGCGATCAGGTTGAGAGATGTCTTGGAAGACGTGGTTCATCATCATCATACGGTTCGCCAGCCGTTTCCCGGGCAAGGTCGTTGATCCATCGTTCGTTCGGCTTCAGCGACTTTCCGCCAGCCATGGACGAGGCGAGATACAGCCAGCTAAGGGCGTTGCCGACTGTATGGACCTCGTCACTAACATGGGATCGCGCATACTCGCTCATCGTTTCGTAAAGATCGTAGTCGGTAACGAGACTGTACAGGTACTGGGCCACCGCCTCGTGATCGCCACGCTCAACCAGGAAGCCACTCTTTTCGTGCTCCACTTGCAGCGGAATACCTCCAGCGCGGGTGGCAATGATAGGTTTGCCCTGAATACCGGTGGTCAGCTCGACATATCAAACAAAGTATATGACACATTCTCACCTTGTGCAACGCTTCCGAAACCTTGACCTCAAATCCCTCCCGGGTCGAGAGTTGCAAGGCCACAGTGCTTAGCGACATGATGGCGTTCAAAATTTGATCGCTTGGTCCTAGTCTGACCACGACAATGTCCTCGGCCAGGTCGGGGAATGATTCGTGGATCAGGTTCATAGTCTGATCGTAGATCAAAGAGCCGTCTGGGTCATCCACCGAACCGTGGCCACAGATGACCAATTGATGCACATTTCTCTTGGGTTCGTCTTTCATGAGTTCCCGGAACCTAGCATAGCTCTTGATCACGTCGGGAATTCCCTTGGAAGGATCGAAACGGGCGATTTGTGTGAAGTATCCTCGGGCAGGATAAGCGAGTTGCGGGAGACATTGAGCCTGGCACGTCTGTCTGAGTACGTGGAGATAGTACTGCAAATCCCAATCGGCCATAGTTTTGTTCAGACCATCGAGCCTAGAAGTCGGAGTTGTTAGTCGCTAGACATCACGTTGAATCGAAAGCAGACTTACCAGTCAGTAGTAGCGGGCAGCCAGCCAAGCGCTTCCTTTCGGACATCATTGGGCACGAAAGACCGCACCGGGTGGCTAAGAAAGACGTCTGCGTGTTTGATCGAGTTCCACAAAAACTGCCAGACATGCTGTGCCGCGCTGCCCTCCTCTAGGATAAGATCGTCTCTGACCTCGATGTGGCATCGGAAGATGACAGGGCGGTTCGGGGCGAACTTTTTGGCAATAGGAATCAACTCTGGCATCTGGGGGTCGTCGATGATAATCACATCTGCGCCTCCGTCCTCGGGAGCCCTCAAAGGGCCAGATTCGCCCATCCAGTACCGCTCCGCATTGTCCAAGATCCATTCCTTAATTTTGGCAAGCTCGGTATCCGTAGAACGGACGTCGGGCGGGACGACACCTTGTAGAATGTTGTGGTTGTTTTTGGTCACGCGGAAGACGTCCGGTCTGGGCTTGGGGACAAACCTGCACAGGAAGTTGGCAAACAAGGAACTGGATTATTTTTGACAGGAAGTACGCACCATTCAACATCGACGTCGTGGAGTCTCAAAAACCGGACCAAAGCATGTCGCATCAAAGCAACGCCACCTCCCTGAGGAGTTGCGCTGAAGAAGACAATTCTGAGCTTGCGGTCGACCACATCCTTGATGTATTTTTGCACCGCCCTCCATGTCGGCTCGCGCACCGATCTCTTGTAGTCATCAATAGTAGCCAAGTGGATCATGCCCGCCATATCGACCTCGACCTGGTTCTGGTAATCGATTGACAGACGGGGCAATTTCGTTGGGGCGTATAACCTGGGATGGATGCGTCAGTTTGTGGTCGTCACAAGAGGTTCCGATTGAACATACGCAAGACACTTTCGGGCGGCCGAATCCGCGATTTCATCCACGAGTAGTGCTTTCCGTCTCTCGCGGCCCTGCTTCGTTGGTAGAATAGGATTGGACTCGATCACAAACGGCACAATGTCCAGTTCGGCCCACAATTGCGAACACAGGTTCGGACTTTTGCGATGAAGGTCGACCGTGATGCCTGCACCGAGGATCTTGCAGACACGTTCTTTTCGGTAAGAGTCCAGCTGCGCGATTATGTGTTCAGCCACCCATTCGGAGTCTTTGTCTTTTCGCGCGTCTTCTTCTAAACATAATCGATGGACCGCAAAGTCGACGCTGTATGTGCCGTCGTGTATGGCGATTCCGATCTTAATGGCGGATTCGGACTCTTCCTCGATTGCAATACCAGCCCAGAATTCCTAAAAAAAGAGTGAAGTAAGCGTTACGATTGAACTGAAAAAGTGTGCCCAATTAGGTTTGGCTGAACCCTTCCACGCGGAAAGGTGACCACGTGTTGCGTCGCAGGATGTCATGACTTAATGGATATCAACGTACCGCTAGACTGGTTCCGACGGCCACATTATCAGGTTGAGCGATGCTGAGCGATCGTACGCGGTGGTACTCCGGGACTTGCGAGATGAAGTCCCGGTGCACCTCGGTGCTGTGTTTTAATGTTGCGTCACCCATAGTTTGGAGTTGTTGTGAAGCTTTTTGGAGGACGGCAGAACGCAAACTTCAACGGGTATTTATATGGCGACACGGGGAAGGAGAGGTAGTGGGCGGTGTAGGTCGTAAAGTGCGTAGCCACAAAATGAAAGCTCGGCTGTCTCAGGAGGAAACTGGTGTTGACTGCGAAGCGAGTCTTAGTATAGTACGCGAAAAGGTCTTTGGCGAGCGGTGGACAGACAGACAGAGCGGCACGAGAGGATAAAGTGAGTTGACAAACCACCAAGGCCAGGGTCCTGGTCGTACTTGACTGATATCAGCACTATCGGATCGGCGAGTATGAGATCGACTTGGGTTGCTCGAGGCACAGCGACTTCGGATTTTCTTGTTGCGCTGACGTAGAAGGTGATGGATAAAGACCCGAGCGCGCGCGCAGACGGAACCCACAGACCCGGTCGGTTATGGGGGAGATCCTTGGACAGCCCGGGGTCCCGCTAGTCGCGAGATGATGCCTGAAGATCGATAGATGGGTTCTATCGCAGGGACTTGGTTGGATCTTGGAGGGATCTAGTTGGGCACCAGGCCAGCCACGGGCGCTGTCTCGTCAATAACTCACCTGATGTTGACAGGTCTAGTGGACCGCCGGCGCCGAACAGAGCCACTCTCAGAGGCACAGCGCGTCACGTGGAACTCGGATCTGCCCTGAACAATGTTGCTAGCTCTGGGCAGCTGTCGAGATCCTGGTGTGTGGCTGATGTGCTGTAGATGTTTGTCGATGATAAAGCTGAATGCGCAGGCGAAGCATTCGCACGTTACTGGCACAGAGGTGAGTGAATACGGTGTCTTGAGTCATTAAAATAAAGACACCTTCCAATTGTTCGTGCCTTGCATTCTGGGTACGAGTGGTTTCACTTAGCGGTTTGAAATGACACTGTCGCCTGGTGCCTGCGACACTCATCAGGGCCCCACACGTGACGTCCTCATTTTAAACCTGTCGCACCGGCAGCCAGAGGTGCCTCAGGTATATCACCATTTTTGTGCTAGGTTAGGTGCTTGCGAACAACTATAGGGCCAGACTGTCTGCCTGATTGCAGAAACTCCCAAGATTAAAAATTGGCGGCTGATCCTGATTTCAGATGCAATGTCCTGGAGCCTCAGTGAGAGCAGGTCGAGCGCTGCCTGACTGCTGCAATTACAACTCCGTGACGCCGGAGTTTGAATTTCCCGAGACACGAAGCACAGCCGGTTTCATGCTCCCTGATATGGCCCCAGAACATATTTCCAGGCCAATGCTGCAATACAAGCACATTGTACTATCCCTGAACTCTAGACGTGGCATTGCCACTATCCTTTTGAACCAGCATAGCATGTCTTCGACAGGCACGTTGAAAACAGAGAAGCTCTTATTATGCAACACTAGGGCTTCGTCCGGACGTGTGTACAAGCGGGTCGGATCACAATGCTTGTGGGCCTTGCGGTCCATCCTGGTCCGCTTCACTGGCAACGTCTCCAGTATGATCTCATTTTATGTTGATTCAAAGGGACCCTCGACTGCCTCATCCTTCGATGGTATTCTTTGCCGAACAAACAGATCTGAATTCCTGTATCACGTGTGGTGCCGGGCATAAGATACCACGTCCCTGGAACGGGGTTGAGCGATGCGGCAGCTCCCGGCAGGAAACGTGAGGCTGTAGCTGTGCCACGTCGGGCTTGTACGCGCTACTGTCATGACAAACTGTACTGGCCTTTGGTTGCCATATATATAGTGCTACAACGACACGTGTCGGCAGCCCTGGTCATGTTTCAGAGGGGTCCGTCAGAAGGTATCACAACAGCCTGTTCTCGAGTCTCGTGACAATTTAGAGAGCCTCATACGCCTATGGCTTTGCTCACCGCTGGTGTAGAGATATGCTTGCATTATCACAGGGCTGTTAGGTACCCTTTGCACTGAGGCACTGCCTCCCGGACTTGGTTACAAAATAGGGCGAACCACCCGATACATACTGCTTAGATGGCTATTCCTCAACAAGGCCGAGAAAGGCACAGTAGTCCTTTTTGCAGCCGCCTCTGACCCTTACACAGTCTCAATATCACGATCTTCTTTCGTGACTTTGTCCCTGCGCTCCTGCTCCTTTCGACCCTGTTCAAGCACCTTCCTTCTCTCTTCCCTCTGTTTCCTCTGACCAACAACAAAGGCTCCCAGAGGAGTGTCTTGCCACTGGACATCTTTGAGGAACCCTTCGACCTCTGCACGATCCTTGGGAGAAAAGTTGATTTTGTTTCTCCTCTCCTCGATCCACTTGGCATTGGCCTCGGACTTTTGCACAAGTAGTAAAAGGGCTTGATTTAGCTTGGCGTTTTTGTTTCCAGTGGGCTTTGACGCCGTTTTCAACCATCTTTTCAACATGACGATGGTGGGAAGCTGAAGCTCCGGGTATGCAATGCTCTTGGCCCAAAGCACAAAGAATTCGGAGAACAATTCAGCCACCTGTTCACCGACACCTTCCTGGTAGACTTTCGTCTTGAGGTACGAAGCCGGGGCCCTGATGTTGGATTCAAAATCCAGTGGCCGAATCGTCGCTGCCTTGGCGGACTTTTTCATCTCTGCCGAGTTAAGCACCTCCAACAGAGCTGCTGATAGCGGAATGTATGTTTCAGTGGCCTGCGAGATTCGAAGCAGAGATCGCATAAGCTGGAACCGAAGAGGGAAGTATGTTGACGTTGGGATAAGCCTCATCACCCCAAGAGTTACTTGAACAACGGGATAAATCAAAGGACGTAGTTGCGACGGCTTGCCGTTCTGTGCTTCAAGTAGAGAGTTGCAGTGCATGGACAGGACTCGCGACCAGAAGTCAAGAGAATGGACGAATTGCCAATTGTATATGGTCTTGTAGGACTCTTTGGTGGGCTTGGTAATGTTGGTCCGGAGATGGATGGCAAGTTGACGGATGAAGGTGAAGCCCGTGGTATAGCCAACCTTTTGGTCCAAGCCCCAGATTTCGGCAGCCGAGTTCTTCATGAGGTTGATGCCGGCCAGGGTATGAATGGTTGTATTGCGACTTCCTTTGACCACCCCTTCATAGGTAGACTTCAAGACAACTTCCCGAATCCCAGCATCTCCAATCACCATGAGCCGGCGAATGATGAGAAAGGCGGTGATTCTAGTTGCCTCGTCTGAAGAGTTGTCGGACCATATGGAAGCGACCGCCTTGGTGATGACCTTGAGAAATTTGCGGAATTGTAGCAGATATGGCAGCAACGGCTCAAAGGACTGGAGGGTCAATCTCAGAGTCTTGGTGTCGGACAAATGACCCAGTAGATGATGCAGGGAAGAAGCATGCGATTTGATCAAGGGCGCCAGCGTCTTGAACTTGGGCGAGTCCGTCGGCACGCGCACCTTACCCCCAGCAGTCTCCTTGACGGGCAAATGGTGCGCCAGCGTCTCTGGAGCTTGCTTCAGGGCTGTCACAAGAACTTCGTGATAAACCTCAGGACTGGTGATGTTGTATTTGTAAGACTTGTCCTCTTCCTCCTCGTCAGCGTGAGCGGCAGCACGGAATGCCAGCACCAGTTGTCGCAGTGCCCGAATGGAATGTCGTTCGGCCAATGAAGCCTTCCACTTCTTGATCATGGCCAAAGTAACATCATCCGCGGCGGTCGAATCTTCTGCACCAGAGCCCTTCGTCTTCTGCTTTTTCGAAGGGGGTTCCCCGTCGCTCAATTCGTCCACGGCTGCGAGGTCGTCATCCTCGTCGAACTCTAACAACTCGGCATCGTTCTCTTGGAGGTATTTGTAGAATTCTGGGTCTTTCTCCGCAAGGGCAGCCATCTGCCCTTTGAGATCACCGGTTTCATCATCCAAATCCTCACTTGCTGAGATCTCAGACTCCTCTTCGTCTTGCGCGATTCCGTCCCTCTTGCGTTTGCCAGTGCTAGGCTTCGAAGACGCCTTTGTCGCATCTTGAGGTATGTCCACCGGCTCTTGAAAAAATCCGTCTTCATTCATCTCAGCATCCTCATCCTGTTCCAATGACTCTGCGTCCGATCCTGCGGCATCGTTCTCTGCTTTTGACCGTTGGGCGGCTCGCTGTTGCTTTTTGGCCTTCAACTGATGTCGCTGTTTGACTTTGGCGAATTCCTTTCTTCGGTCGATAGTCTCCTTGAGTTTCGTCTTCTCAAACTTCTTTGTTGCTTTCTTCTGTTTGCCCATGATGACTGGCCCTGTAGTGGATTTATAGTTACGTAGCCAGTGAAATGGCAATCGTTGATATGTAGTTTGGAAAGCGCATGTGCATCGCTACATGAACTTTTTGCAGGCGATGAAACATGGTTGCGAAAAAATAATGACAAGCCGAAGTATTGCCGGGACCAAGTTCCTCCGCAGTCAGAGCCAGTCTGTCCCGCCCGCGCTCCACAACTTGAACACAACTGTACAGTGCCTACATGACCTAGTCATCCGGTCCAGTGTATACTGCGATCACGCATATCACTTATTTGTGCCAACCGGACTCAATGTAGCCCAGCCCGAAAGGAGACAGACAGCCCAGTCCGCACGGCATCATGTACAGCACACCATCATCGCGGCCGCTATCCTACGCGCCTACGCCGTACAGCTACACACCGACCAACACACTCTCAGCACGGATCAACCTCGACGAAGAAGTCAAGCTCGCCGACACGGCGGCCGAGCGGGACCTGGCGGACTCGCTCGCCGAGATCTACAGCATTATCCGAACGATTGACGGATTGGAGAAAGCTTACATCAAAGATGCATTGCCAGAAAACGAGTATTCCGACATGTGCTCCAAGATGCTGAAACAATACCGATCCATCTTGAACGACGAGACGGTTGCTCGCGAGTTCGTCGACCTGGACACGTTTACGCGGAAATGGGACATTGAATGTCCACGAGCGAAAGAGAGATTAAGAGTCGGGCTGACGGCAGACGAGGTGCTTACCGTCCAAAAGGCCGCTCCTGGCTCGACGGCGGCGCCCGCAGGCACGGCGTCGGGCAGTTTGATTCTGGCTGCGACGGAGAATTTCATCACATTCCTCGACGCTCTGCGGCTGAACATGGTCTCCAAGAGCGCGTTGCATCCTCTGTTGTCGGATGTCATCCAGTCCGTCAACAAAGTCACCGACCAGGACTTTGAGCACCGTGGCAAGATCATTCAGTGGCTCATCACGCTGAACCAGATGAAGACCTCGGAAGAATTGAGTGAAGATCAAGCGCGCGACCTCGCTTTCGATATGGAGCAGGCTTATAATGGCTTCAAGTCCATCATTCACTGAACTGGTCGACCGGGGGACGCTGTCGCAGCCCTGGTTGAGTCACCCGTACTCTGAACACATAACTAGCATGACCGCCAGCAAGTGTCTATCAACGCTCCAGCAGCTGACACGGCCGCCTTGGGGTTGCTCCCGACGATGATTGAGCTCCAGCTGAAGCGCAGGCCACGATCATGAGTCATGTACGGCCACCACTATTGCTGCTGCTGCTGCTGCTATGCTTTTCGGCTTCCAGGTTGTCTCGGGAGCGAGAGAAAGTTGCTCAGAAGCACTGTTCTGTCGTCCGTCTTGGGCAAACTCCATAAAGGCCATGGAACGGACTCTACTTCCCGGTTTCTATGGTCGACCACAATCACATCGTACCGAGGACCAGCCATGCAGCGCTCTGTATCTAGTAGCGGCTGTCACTGTCGAACACCTCTCCTCTGCTCACACCATGATTCATGCGGCACTACGTGCAATCGATTGCAGGTGATTGTACTAAGATTACACACCTGCAGTGCCAGTGCGCTACCACTGCACCACAGCGAAAATTATAAAGATACCACTACTACCTACTACTATTGCCATCCATCATGAGCGAAACCTGTCCGAAGTGGTAGAGCTTCAACATTGCAAATGGTACTCAACGATGGCCGTGACTCTCTGAGATGGGATGCACTCATCAGAAATCGGGATATTCCAAACTACTGTCTTTATTTGGATGCTTGTCGGGCAGGGACTAAAGGGCGAAACGTTGTGGTCGTGGCTGTGACCAGGGCGTGTATAACTCGAGGTCACTGCATGCCCTACTACCGGACATGTTACGCTGCGTGAGTGGCACAGGCCAGACGAGGACCAAGCACGACCACTGTACACGACCTCGTCATCCCATCTGGCGCAAGCTAGGGCGCCCCGGGATGACCAGGAGTAGTATCCCGTATTCCTTTGTGCGTTGTGCGACGTTGCAGCTTGATGATGAAACGGAAACACAGAAAAAAGGCGACCATGGCCGAGCATAAATATATATTGAACGTTAAAACCGGCCTCGTAAATGTCTTCATGCTGCTTGATATCGATTAAATATCCGAGCCCTGAAATGAATTGCTCTCTGTGTCTCCCATAATCGTGATATGGCTGCAGCCACATCCCATCCCTCCCAGCTGCGACCTCAATCATATACATGGTATATCGCCACATTTCCAGACATCCCGCAATACAGATTTCAGCCCTGTCTTCGTCCCGAAGGTCAAAAGGGAAGACATTAGGACGAGCCTAATCGCAGACAAGAAATTCAACTAACCCATTAGTTACCACCACCACCAGTGTTGTCGGTGGCTCTGGCGGACACTCGTCGGCCAACTTGAGCTTCCCTTATACTCGCGGCTTCCGAAAGGTCATCTGCACTACCGTGTTGGTATAACGATGAGTTTCGGCTAATTCCTGGTCGGGCATCGGGAGGGTCATTGAATGGCGAATCGTCAATTGGGCTCACAGGGGCAGAGTCTGCAAATGGGTCTGTAGCCGAAGCTGGAGTTGGAGGCTCCTGATGCCTGGTCTCGCCCACGACTGAGCCGTACGGAGGTGGTGCCGTGGCAGTGGATGCCGGACGAGGGATGGGGTCTGTTGTGACAGATGTGATAGGAACTGGAGACCGAGGGTGGCGTGGGCTAGCTGGGGTGTGACCATGAGAGATAGCGTCTCGGTATGGTGGAGCAACTTCTTCTTCAATGCTGTGTAGACTGGGCTCTGCGCTTTGGGCGGCAGTCTGCGAGGCATTGGCACCACTGCGAACACTCGGGTCCCGGCTTCGAATGCTGTTGGTGCTGGAGAAACGGCCGCCCATGAGCAATTCAGCATCAAAGGAGAAAGCCCGCAAATGTCGAGACCATTTTTTGCCGGCCTTCTTCGCCTTCTTCTCAGATACCGCAGCTCCGTCGCCACGGGTTCGTTTCTTCCTCCTCCTGGCAAAGAATAAGAATAAAAAGAGGCCAACAAGGGCCGCGACAACTAGTGGGACAGCAACGGCAGCTTTGAGCGCAGAGGAACACGAAATGCTGTCGCATTTGCTGTGGGAGACGGTTACCGCGCCATTGGTGCTGCTCGCAGCATTTGTCGCCGTGGTTGAGGCGTGGGTGTCTGATATCGAGGATGCCGCCGAGGTTACTGATGTAGTGAAGGTGGTGGATGATATCGCTGATGTTGGCGCCGCAGATGGCGACTCAGACGCAGAAGCCGGTGCAAATGCACTCGCGCTTTCGGACACGCTTGTAAAAGTGGCAGCGCTGCTCGATGGGGCACCCGTGCGTGTACCCGTGGTTTGGGAGAATTCACTCGCTAGCGACGATGCAATGCTCTCGAGAAGCGTAGTGTCTGGCCCATCGGGGGTTGTTATGCCTGTGAAGCCAGCGCCGTCCGGCTGCATGGTAGAGAAAGAGGGCGCGAAGCCTGGTGAGAACGGCGGCGTGAACGCAGGTGTGTTTACCGCCCTCCGAGCGATTTGGGGCCTCGAAAGGAAGTGATGGAGGAACCTGTTGAGATCCAGCTTGACGACGACCCCTCGAGAGGGTCAGAGTCTGACATGTAAAGTAAAAGCGACTCGAAGGAAAGGTGGGCCAAACACCAGCCCCCGGCAGGATGCGCAGTCCACGGAAAAGGCGACTCAGACGTCGGTGAGGCTGGTCTCGGACTTGGTCGTCACGCTTGAGGAGCAGGCTCAGGCCGGTCAGTACAGGGCCTGACGGGATGGGTGGCGCTTGACTGGAGGATTCAGGTAGACGACATATACTGTAGGTAGGAGGTCATCAACAATGAGGCGCAGCAAAGGAAGAGAATCGCGGAAGGAGTAGTTTGAGGTACCCAGTACTAGTAGCAACAGGCGTACATTGTAGTTGGACGCGGAGGAGGATGTCAGTGGAGGTGCCAGTGGTGCGATGCAGCAGTGGGCAGGGCAGGATGAAGGGGGTGGTGACATTCAGGTTAATGCGGGCACCGGCGGAGGTGGACTCGGAGGGTTCCAAGTTGGTACGCAACCCACTCACTGTACTTTAGCAACCACTAGTACTTGGGTAGGTACCGACCTAAGGTATTGTTCCTGCCAGTAGTCTAGTGCCTGCAGCGACTACAGGTAGTTGCCGGCCTACTTGGTTATCATCCTAGGAATAAAGAGGTCGCCCGGACAGTCGTTGGTACTATCATTGCACCCGATGGCAAGAGCCCAACTCTTTCTGTCTCTGCCGAGGGAAGATCTACCTAGGTAGTACGCTGAGAAACAAAGCGAGCAATTCCGGTCGTGCAGCCTGACAGGTACCTAACAGATGGCACGCTACTCTCCAACTTGAACGACGCTATAGTTCCTTGCCAACCGGACCAGGCACAGTACGCAGATACGGCACAGTACCGCTTTTGCGAGCTCGAATACCGCAAACTCTAGACACATTGGGGATTGAAGAACCCGGAATTGATGCTCAAGCACCCGATTTGACCATTTAATTGGCAGGCTCAGCAGCTGTAGCACGCTGGCGCCTCCCCATTAACCACTGCCCACAGTTCAAGTTGACCTCGGCCCGTTACAGCAGCGGAGGTCCGGACGCCAACTTTAGTTAAACTTTACAGCAACAGGTCCCAGTACTGCAGGGGTCCGATATATCTGTGCTTCAGCTTATGATGCCGTTCATCCTAATATTGATATTATTTGAGCTCTTGCCTTATATAGCACCTCTATGTTCACCTTTCAGGCCAACAGCTACCAAAAGCAGCTAACCGCACGACCCTCCGAAGCGTCCAACGGCCAGTCTTGGCTGACCTTTGGTGAACAACAACAGAACGGCGTCCGCTATTTGTCTGTACCTAAGGAAGCTTCAAGCCAAGTAGGGATCCTCACAGCGAGAAGTATACCAACCGTTTGTCACATATTATGGTCTGCATCTGCGCAGATTGTGACATGCTTTGGACAGACGACTGCTGACAAACTCGAGTCAGCGGGTTACCATGCCACAATACTGGAACTACTACTCGAGTCGTCCCCAACCGCCGGGGCACAATAGTACCTACCTTAGGTAGTAGTGCATTGAGACTACGGAGTCTGGTCGGACGGCCAATTCTATTAATGGCTTCCAGTTGATCAGCGTGAAGAACTAGCAGGTCTTCCAACTTGAGACCTGGTTGTCCGCCAGCTGTTGACCCACGTGTTGGCCATGCGATTCGTCGGAAGTCACGTGACGCGGTGATCGCTGCTTAAGACCCGCCGACCTCCGATGTGCGATGATGCGGTGGCATTGGGGTGAGAATTATGTCCTTTCCAATAGAGCTTCCCGTCACTGCTTGTCTCAGACAACAGAAACACCGTCGTCGAACCAAACGTCCGGCATTCCGTTAACTCCTATTGAGCTTTGACGGGCTGCCTTGTTGGGCGAGAACTGCAGCACTTCACTATACGTGCTTACCTCACTACCCGGCCCTGCTCGGTGCGCTTCTTTGGTTTAAATTGCGAAATTTACCGCCTGACGTTTTGACGGCCTTGCTACCTACTACCAGTAGGTACATACATAACATACTTAGGTACAGTACTAGTAAAAGTGGTGAGTGGGTGAGCGAGTACATGACACTTGTAGCTCGACGCGTTCCGGAGTGAAATTGCCCAACCAACATTGTACCGGCGAAGCTGCTCTTTTGGATTCGCATCATGCAGTGCATCAATGGTTTAATTCCCTCCAATAATCGGTAAGCCTCCTGTTGCAGAATCTCCTGCAGTGTCGTACTACGTATGGCAACCGCCCATCATGGTGGTCCTACAGTATAAGGACGTAGCGGACATTTATGCCTGGTATAATGCAACTCCGCAGTCCGCTGAGCCTTGTATATATTTCACCGGGGATCTCGTACGGAAATTCCCACAGACGGCCACTGGAAAGTCGTTCACACCTGGCCTGTACCCGTCAAGCAGTACACTATCCATTGCGTTCAGTAATAGCGTTGAATCAGACTGTAGTTAACGGGAACCCAAATTGCCTGTGGCCCAAAATTATATATCGATTCAGCCTTGCTACTGAAGTTCCTGCTGAAGACCGGGGGTGAAGGGCGCCAGTCTGCCGTTGCACTGGGACAGATGCAGACGGGTACATGTAAATGACCACATCCCATCAGCAAAGTATTTTTCCTCAGTTCCCCTAGTTAGCATGTCCATTTGTACCTAGATATGTTCTGTGGCTACAAACCTGGCGTACTGAGGTAAGCGCGATATGGCAACCTGAACAGCAGCAGCACTGGCACTGCAATGATGTTCGGTAGGTACCTCAGGCTAGGTAGGGTTCTGTTGCTTTTTGACCAATGATATATCGCAAGGCTGGCAGTTTGTCCTCCGCTCTGCGCTAGTCCACATACAGCAGAAACCAATGCCGCTGTAAGTTCTGATCCCTTACATCGCGCTTGGCACCCGGCCCGCGACGTCAGCGAGCCATCAACATCCTGTGATCCATGCTTCTACCTATCAAAGTATCCAGAGGCCTGTATTCAACGCAGCAATTCCGCTGACCTTAGCCGTGCAAGTAAAACTACTGCCCTGGTCGTTTACTTCAGACATCTACGTACCCTCCGGGAGACACGAAGCACCTTCTACCATCACAGGGACCCGACCAACCCCACTGCTTGTCCTTGAAACCTACGGCCTCCTGCCCGTGAGCCTCGGCGACCATGAGTTTCCGCAATGTCATGAAGGACGGATGGCACCCTAAAGGGAAAGAGGGGGGAAAGGAAAGCTGGAGAGGAGACTTCAAAGGGATCAATCAAGTGGTCAGTCAAAATCACCTTGAGGCTGTCGCCTCTGGCAAGTTTCTTCCCGCTGAGATAAACGAACCACTGTAGGCAGGCTGGATGGGCAAGGGCCGAGACCCCCACAAAGAAGAAGCGGTCGATCACGTATCTCGTCCATTGTCGACTCTGAAAGATCCGGCATTGTTTGGGCCACCACCCAAAAACGTCAACTACCATGGTGGCGCCGCACTTCCCAACGAGATAACTCCGCATAGAAGCGGCCTGGGCGCACCTCTAAAACCCGAGGAGATCGAAGCCGCAAGGCGAGTCAATACGCCGGATAATACACAGCAGGAGCAACAAGAGGCGGAGACAAGAAAGCCTGGACCCCCATTGCCATACAGGGCAGACAGGACAGGTCTGAAGACGGACCATCTTCCACCACCTCCGGTTCACAGGGACGTGGTCACACGGAGTACGAGCATGACGGAAGGCCAACAATCATTCAAACCAAAGCCAAGCCTACCCCCAAGACTTCCATCTAGACAAAACACTGGGACAAGCGGTGGTAGTACGCCACCACCTGCGACCTCCTCTCCACCTCCCCAGCAGCCTCCGCCCTCGTATGAAGCAATTCCCGCACAGCAGCCGAATCCAACCCCGAGCTCAAACTACGGAATTAACCAAGCGGCAGTAAACAGACTTGGAACTGCGGGAGTATCGGTACCTGCTTTGGGTATAGGGGCTAACGCTTCCTCAAACCCCTGGCACGGAGAGTCAAGCCAGTCGAACAGCATCCCACAGAACCCTTCACCTAACCCGCCGCGACCGGCGCTGAACCAACTTTCCGAGCTACAATCGCGCTTTGCGCGTATGAATACCGATACGAGTGGCCAGCAACAACATCATCCAACCACACCTGCGCCCGTGACGCAGTCTGTTGCAGCGCCTCAGACAGCCACAAGTCCTATCTCTTCGACATCTTTATCCGCCCAACCTACGCAAGGCACGACTTGGGCAGAAAAGCAAGCCGCACTACGTACGGTGCAAAGCTTCCAACGAGATCCCTCAAGCGTGAGCACTGCAGACGCCCGAGCCACAGCCTCGACCGTCAACTCCTTCCGCGAGCGACACCAAGATTCCATCACCTCCGCTGGCCAAAAAGCGAGCCAGTGGAACAAGAAATACAACGTGACGGGCCGGCTCAACTCGTTCTTGGAAAAACACTCCTCTCCCACGTCAGAAACCCCACCGTCAATGCATACCAATCCCAATGCCAACGCCATGCCGTCTCCCCCGTTGCAGCAGGCCCAGTCTCCGCCACCGCAGAATCCAAATGTCGTGGCCTCGATATCGCGTAAGCCGCCGCCACCTCCTCCGCCGAAGAAACCGGCCACCATGCACGTCGGTGGCGGTGTTCCCAACGGTGTCGCCGGTCAAGGCAGTGCTGCTCCTGTTCCATCCCCGCCTCCTGTGCCCCTGGGGACGAAACCCAGCTGGAGTTGAGTTTAGCTTTAATGCAATTTGGAGTTAGCGCTATAATATCATCATGTAATCGGTATTCCTCTTGACAGTGCTAGTAATGGAGGAATAGATCCCATCGTGTCGCTTCCTATGCTTATTCGTAAGCATGTACACTCTTTGCTGGAAAAAGGCCGTGTGCACGCCCTGGATGCTATGAATTGCAATCTCGTACTGCTCAACGTTAGGCTCGACAGGAAAGATCTGCCGAGCGTCTACAGTTACTAGTTCTACAGTGGTACGCCAACGTCTAGGGTTACATCCGTGGGACGAGAGGAAACCCCCTCAAAACGCAGTTAACTCGGACAGAGGTGACCAATAGGTATCTTCCGAATTTCCAATATCTACGCTCGATTATTGCTCTTTGTATAGCGAGACAACAAGCAGACTTTCGTTCTTCCACCGCGAATCAATTAAATTCCTTCCTATGAGGATCAGGCCAGTATGTGTGCCGGCACCTCGATGTGACCAGGTTAGACTGATCATGTCCTGGCAAGCACATACGAGGTAGCGATGGGCAAAGCGGATGGAATGCCCTTGTCTGCACACACCGTTTGTCCAAGGACTGACTGAGGGCGCTTCCATGCGGCATGGAGTTAGGACGTAGACCCAAACCTAACATTCCCATACCCTTAAGCCTTCAGAGAAAGGTGAGACCCAAACAAATCAATACCTCTTGATGCAAGCTGCGGGCCCTCCAGGCCCATCCAATCCGAGCGCCAGACACCTTACAATGAAACGAGTCGTGAATGAAAATGCAACATGGGAGGGCTTTTCTAAATGTACATAGGGTCGAACGTCAAATGCCGCCCAATAGGCTTCGCCGATCGAATTCTAACGACAAAATATGCTGTGTTGCACATGTACCGCCAGAGTCGTAGAAATCGTGTGTAAGCTGATATTCCGGTTGTCTGATCGTGTTATTTGTCGAACTGGACAGTCGGTGCAGTAGTGACATGTCTTGGTATCCAAGGCGTTTCATGACACTAGAAGAAATGCGTGTACACTTTCGAAGACTCGTGAACCTCCATTTCCTAAGGTATTGGGTTAGCCAGGAGCTTTGACTGGAGCATTTATTTTTTGAGGACTCACCATTTTGAAGGTATTGAGCTCTTCCTTGATCTGCTGTGCGAGCATTGGAGTCAAGCGGTTGCAGGTCGCAATGTCTCCGCGGCGATCGTATTCTGCACTTGGCCAAGTATCATGAAATTGAATTCGAGGGCTAAAAGAAATGTTCCGGATCAGGCCTTGAGGTGTCATAGGTGCATTCTTAGAGTCTATGCTGGCAAGTCGGGTCATTGAAGAGAAATAGTCGTCATGATCGTTGCCTTCAATCGTGATGGAGTCGGTTCGGCGGTGGCCGGATCGTGGAGTCTCATCCGCGGGGGTGCTTGGTGCACTGGACTTTGGGGAATCGTTGACATGGGGAATTTGGGGCAAGTTGAAGTCGGGGACTTTGAAGTCATAAGCCTTCAATTTGGGCGAGGGTTGATTCGAGTCTGTTCGTTTGAGTATGCCCTTCCTCACAGCAGCGAGGATCTCCGCGCGCTCCTTTTCTCCCCCAACAATGCTGCGACGTGAACGCGTGTCGCTTGATACAGTCCCACTATCGAACGACAACTTGGTCTCAATAGAATTACGCTCAAGTTTGGGAAATCCAGTGCCGCCGCCAGTCTGGTCGTGAGGGTTGGCATTGATGTTGACCTTCTCGCGTTCTGCTTCCACAGTAACCATCGAGACCTGAGCTAGACTGGCCTGGTTCACCGGACCATCGGCTGCGGGAACCCCAACCACTGATTTGGGCCGAAACAAGCCAACAAGCGACCGCGTGCCCTTCTTGACTCCTTTGCCCATTTTACGGAGCATCACAGAGGCAGACGAAGCCGTCGAAGAGATGGATAAATTGTCCGTTGATCCAGTGAAAAAGTTGCCTTGCCCGGAATAGATGCTCTCGCCCAGTCCTCCGGCTTCTTGCTTCTCAGCAATTCTTGCCTGCTCAGGATCCAACTCGTCCTCATACTTGGAATTCCTCTTCGCGGATTGTGCCGCCTTGTTGGCAATGCTCTTCTCGTGATTGTTTTGGGTCGTGGCCTGCCTGAGTTCCGCAGCACTACCGAAGGAGAATGCCCTCCGTAACTTGGATTTCGGCTTTTTGACATCCTTTTGACTTAGGGCAGCAAGATGCTCAACAGCAGGGCTTGTTGGAGCATGTTGCTCAGGCGCAGGCGTCTGCAGTGCCGGTGCAGAAGGCCGCCGTGATAATTGAGGTGCCTCCTCGGCTTGGAAATTGACTGGTCGGGACAGGGGCGATCGCTGGCGAATGCTCGAATCTCCTAAGCGTGAGGTGCCCGCTGGCCTTTGGTCCGGCCTGGCTGGGGCAGAGGGGGTGATGCCGGAATTGGGTGCAGTGAGCACAGGTTGATCGGTACGAGCCTAGAAAATTGTTAGACCAGTTGAGAATGTGGGACTTGGTTCCTACTCACCGAACCAGGACGAGAAGACAGAGTCGACCTTGAAGAGGCAACACTGTCGGAACTTCCGCTGTGCTTGTGGTAAGAAGGCCGTTGGTTCTTTACAGTGCCATTTTGGTTATGTTGAGGAAGAATTGCACTAGGGTGTGGCGATGAAGTCTGCTGGGAATCAACTGCGTTATTGAGGCCAGCGGTTTCAATGCTGCCAAAGCTACGTCTCCGATACCTCGCAGCGAGCTCAGTGGTCTGTGGTCGACCCAGTTGAAGATCATCCGCACTGGAGTTCTTCAACACACCATTGTTACCACTCTGTGAGCTTCGATACGAATGTTGGGAGTTCAATGATGGAGTGCTGCTGGACTGAGTCGGGTGGTTGTAAAGAGACCCGACCGCAGCCATGCCGGACCCTGAAGGTAGAGCAGAACCCGGAGAAGTTCGATTTGAACCGCCCTCGCCATCCACTCGTCTAACATTTCTTCGGTATCGTTCAGGTGATGGCTTAGGGGCCATAGAAGCCGTTGAAAGGGGTGTGAGCGTCGGACCCATCAGTGAGCCGGTTGATGGAATAGCGGGAAGACCTAAGGACATGGACTTGCCGGCAGGCTCGGCCTGAGTGTGATCAGTGGGGGTAGTCGGTTGCTCGGCAGATGAGCCTGGCTGGGCCTGGGTGATCCGTTGAGCAGAAATCGACCGGCTAGGGTTGTGACTGGATTGGCGAAGACCGAGGTTCGAGTTCGCCAACTGAGGTGTCGAAGTGAAGGCATAAGGGGCCACAGGTCCGCTTGCTGGCATGCCTCTATAGCCAGTTCCCGACATGTTATTGTAGCGGCCTGGCTGATGGCCCCTCAGCTGCCCTGAAGGAGCCTGGGAAGGGTAACTTCCAGAGGACGAGGGACGACCGACCATGGTGGAAATTGTTGTGTGAGCCGGGAGACTTTGGACCAAAGCAGCCATCTTTCCCTTCCAATATTGTGTGGAGACAGTGAGCTGGCAAACGCCAGACTATGCCCCAAACGTCTTCAAAGCAATCTGGGGATCAAATAAGGAATCGACTCGACGGATACCGCACTGCAGACGCTGGTTAGCAGAGAACATGATCATTGCTCTCGGTTCAAAGGCTGGGTTTGAGAATGCATGCCAAGTTGCAGGCCGCAGGAGGAGGGTAGGGGACATACCTTCCAAGGATACTTCTCAAAAGGGGGACTGCCCGCACAACATGGAGGCGTAGGACAAGGGAGAATGATTATAACGAAATCCTTGCGGTGAACCGGCGTCTCAAATGTAGACAGGAAGAAGCGAAGGTCGGATTAAGTATGGAAATAAAATCGTATGAGCGAGAAGTGAATGGTCGAAAGCAACTTCTGACCTCTCTCGAACCAGGAGAGCTCTGGTGTGCAGAAGCTCAGGAAACGAATGTGAGAGCCACGGCGCGTCTGAAGGAGACAACAACCGTGAGTTGAGGCGGAAGAGGGGAGAAAAGGCAGAAGAAGCCAGTCAAGTCAACAACAAGAATGAAGAAACGGCGTTGAAGTGATGGATGAAACTGGGACGGCAAGATGGGAAACGGGGACAAAGCAGAGGTGCAGTCGGTGGTGGTGATGGGTGAGAAGGAGTGGTAGTAGTATGGAAGGAAGGAAGTCAATCAAGCGCAGTCTGGAGCGGGTGCCACTGTAACGCAGACAGTTCTGGCGGCTCCCAGTCCGTCGGCGTGTGAGAATCAGGTCAGGTCAGGTCTCACTCAGGAGAATGCTTGGGGGGAGCGATCGACCGCAGGAGAGGGCAGACCTGTGCTGCCAGTGTGCACTGGCAGTGCCCGGCAGTACTACTACTACTACTAGTATTATTGGTGGCAGATGCATCATGCATAGGCGGCCTCTTAAGTTAGGTAGCGGATCAGCCCGGCTTCTTGACCAGGCCTTCCTAAGCCTACACTGGCCCTGGCCGTGCCCCAAGTCGCCCACTGGCAATGCACTACAATTCTGCCACTGCCTAGACACTCTCGCCGTGGTCAGATCTAGACATGACTTTTTGAACCGTCTCTCCTTAGGAACTTGGATGTCCCTGGCGCAGTAGTAGTACTACAACTAGTTGTGTCTTTATGAGGTACTACTGCACAGTGGTCCCTCTAGCCTGCGGGCTGCATCTCACCACACTACTACGGTCCTTCGCGCACGCCCGCACCCACACTCGCACACCATGCGTCCAATTGCTGCTGTTGCCCTTGATGCGGACTTGAACCGCTGCTACTTAGCACTCGGTGATTCGCATAGGCATGGGATAGGGGAAGGGTTCCTTAGCAGTGGCTGCCGAGGGATCAACGCAGGGAAAGACAGGGCGACACGCAAGCAATCTTGATTGATGCTCAGATCTCTCAACCCAACCCAGCTACAAATAGTGCTCCTGCTGCTATCCAACGTGCTTCGATTCTTGCACTCCTGGCAGGCATTCCCGTCAGATCCCGCTCGAACACCCTTCGCTATTACTACTGTCGTGACCCACCACCGTTCGTGTCAAAACCTCCGAGACCACTTGTTGGTTTGACGGGCAAGTGACGCGGGCTGGCAGACACCCAAACTGCAACGCCTCCTCCTGGATCCCCAGATGTGTCCGGGCGCAGTCTGACGATCTCGAAGGGAGCAAAATGATTGGCGGCGTGCTGCAATACCATGCTCATGTTGGAAAAAGAAATGGGCCATGCCAAAGCCAGCGGCCAGCATTGGCAAACATATCGAATGGGCGACCAGCAAGGACAAGGGGTTGTTCCTGATAATTACATGCATTCCTCACCTTTCGAGTAACCGAGACACCATCACCAAGCCTAGCGGATCTCTGAGCCCCAGAACTAGACTAGGAGGCCCGCAGGTTATGCCACCTACAGCCATATCTCCCGCTCTTCGCCGCTTCGAACCGTTGTACTTCAAATTGCCTCCTCCTTGTTGGGCTCTGAACATGTACAAACTTTTGAAACCAACATCTAATATCAGACGTTGCCTGCTTGCCAGGCCCCGTATGCAAGACGCCGACTGCGTACATGGTGCTACCGATTGTCAAGGATGCAGGTTACCTCTGCCTCCTGATTGACCTCCCGCGGCCCCGAACAATGGATCAATTGATCCAAGCTTCACCCGGTTCCACTGCGTTGTTGCGTCTTGCGTCACTCTTTTGGTCTGGTTAGCGCGTCTTTTGGTCCTCTTGTCTCTTTCTCCAGTGCTACCTACAGGCGCCTCCCTGGTAGTGGGATCTTGAAAGCGCCTGCTAGAAAAGAACGATCGAGGAAGAAAGCACGTGAATCGACCGAGGCGTCTATCTGTGGATCTATGTTCCTCCCTGCTCTTCCGCGCTCGCAGGAACTTTTTTCTTCTGTTTATGCCTCGTGGGCCTTTTTCGACGCGTCCTGGGACATTCCAATGCCCAAACAATCCCGTGACTAGGCCGCTTGCGACAGGACCGCGATGCCAGGCGATTGGTCCCGCCACACCAACTGTTCTCTTTAAGCCGAGCAGAAGGACTAGACTAGGAGTCTCGTGCGTTCGATAGAGATGCGTCCGTTGCCAGCTCGTGGGCGAGATCGAGCACAACTTGAAGGGAGCCACATCCTTGTGGCGCTCACCATCGTTGCTGGCTGACATGCATGATTTACGGTAACACAAGGCAAGTGGCCTGCACACTCGCGGAGAGGTGCGGCACATGTTCCAATGTGCTTCTGGGAGTGGCAAGCGGGCGTCGACAATCGCAGAAAAGCTTATCTGACCAGTCTGACAGTCCTGCATGACCCCAAGAGACTAAGGTATTGCATTAACGGCACCGACCTAATATTCTCGCAGCACGGTATTTGCGATGGGCTGCACTTTTGGGCGTGGTCCACACTGGAACACACCTGCAGCCGCAGTTTGATATACTGCATGGCGCTACGTACAATGTTGTAGTCCGGGAAGCTACTAGATAGGGACAACTCTCAGGCCGTATGTTTCTGTCACGGTCAAGCACAGACGAGTCGTGGGAAATCGGTTTTGCTGGGCAGTCTACTACTGAGCCAGTGTTGACTAGGCGCGGAGCTATGCCTGCGTAGGAAAGAACAGATCGATGCTACAGAAGACTCGCGCCGAACAATCCTACTTCTGCCACCGATCCTGCACCATACTGGTCAACCGGACCATCCCCATGCCGAGATTTCGATACGGACCAGACACCACGAAGAGGCCAAGTGTGTTCCGTCTCTTCGAAGTGGCTGCATCGCTGCTGCGTCTGTCCGACCATGCGAGTCAAACTGCGGGGAGAAATTTGTTGGGATCCGGCCTGCAAACTGCATTATTGTACGAGGGCGCTCTGTCGAAGCCTCTCTACCGGAAGTGGCTGCCTCGAGGACACCACGTCCGGATTCGCCCAGCCTCTCCATGCTCCAAGCATGCCGGCCGCTATGGTCGAGCCCATGCTCATGTGCGACGACTGCAGCATTCGGAATCCGCTTGATTCTTCCATACAATCGATCAACGAGGGAGAAAAAGCTGCTGTCGACCCTGGTAAGTGTGTCTGACTGTCGTCATCGTTTGCTTTCCACTTTCATTCCGGACCATCAAGGCCAGCACCGGGCTCCGGGAGCATCTGCTCTTCGCAGTTACCAGCACCACGCACAAGGGACGTGCTACGGGCTTTTGGGTAGTCTTATAAGCATTCGTCTACGTTTTCCATCATTTACAATGGTGGCGGTACTCAATTTCAGGAAGCCCTTGCCAGCTGCGTGGGCTCGAGTTGTTCGAGGCTACCGCAATGTCTTACTGCAGTGCAGCAAACGATGGATCCTGCTCGCTCGAGGAAACTGCGCTCGATGTCCACAAGAACTTGACAAGGGTTATCCCTAACTCCAGATCTGAGCTTCCTTTCCCCGCACTGGTCTTCAGCCAGCCCGAGTTTTACAATCCCTGAAGATCGTTGACCGATAGGTATGATTGTCCCGTCGTTTTGCAGCGCTTGGTTCTTCCGTGACGCGCGATCCCGCCGTCATTCGGAGGGCCAAGCAGAACCTGCGTCTGGGGGGACTATCGGGATACTGTTTTGCCCTCAGACCCGCTGTGGCCAAGACTCTCCCAGCATTCGGACCAAAAAGCATCGATGCACTAAACTGTGATGTATATCGATCGCCGAAGGTAAACAGCTGGCCTACTGCAGGGATCCCCGACAGTCAAATATTGACCCTGTCCTGATGAGGTTGGCACTACTGCTGTAGTCGCAGCACACTATCCCTACATCAACGGAAGACGGCATCGTCCCACACAACGATTTGCGCTGGTACGCCATGATCAGGTGCCATAATATCTGGTGTCCGCTGACGTCGACATCTGTGCGCCCTTCACTGACTCTGTGAATGGATTTGAAGCGAGAAGTCGGAATCTGCACCCGCTCTGAGATTCGCGGCTCTTACTATGGGTTGGCCTTGGGACATTTCCGCTACCTAAGAGCTGAAACCTGTGTTCTTTGCAGGATTGACATGACCCTCAACACCACCATTGAAGTACCTTTGTCGTCCTTCCACTGGAGAATCAACTCAAGTGGAGTGGGGCCTCATAAGGACAAATAACTACAATTTTAGTTATGATACTGGGGCTTGCCCTGTGGCCTGCGCCCGCAGTTCAAATAATATTCTCCTGGTGAGTGCTATTGTGGTGGCTTTCGACAACCTCCTGGCAGCCATCTTGTGACCGCGAGCCAACAAAGCAAGCGTATTTTACTATAGGGGCTAACGATATGATGCTTGTTGGCACCAAAGTATCGATTTATTTTGACAGCAGCTCGACTCCGCTGGAGGACGCCCAAGTTTATACGACGTGAACTGTCACATCGGCCTCTAATTGGGCTCTCTCGAAACATGACCCATGCCTCACTAGGGCAATATGCGAAGTATCCCATATCGATACAATAGAGCATTAGGTAGTATACTTGATATTCGTGGTTTACACACAGACCGGCCTTAATCCATAAGTAACGTTTACAATGATGCAGCCCTCGGCCTGCTTAAGTGTTTTCTCACGTGTCGACATGGCAGCCTGCACGGGTGAGAACCCAGGTACCTTGTTCAGTGAATTAGTGACGTGGTACTAGGGATGAGGTGGGTTCAGCTTCTGGACGACCACCTCACACTGGCAGTGCCTGACACTTAGCACCTTAGTCATCAGGGAATTTTGGCATCAAGATTGAGCAGCAAGTTATAGCGTACTTCCCCAACGTCTCTGTCTGAAGGCAGGTTTCCCGAGACCTTACTAGCAACTCGGAAGTCCACGTACCTGGTACGTCGGAGTTTACAGATTTCGGCGAAGAGAGCGAGCCTAACTCAGGACTTGGCAGCAAACCTTGTCCAAGCTTGGCTCCATGCTTATCAGCGCGAATTAGTGCTTAACTGGCACTTCCAAGCCAAACCACTTTCGGACTATAACGCGAGGCTCTCCTGCGCCTTCTGGGGCAGGGCTTGACCCTGATCGGCAGCCCCCATAGTATCTCGCGCGGCTAACCAAACACAGACGAGTCGCTGACGGTTTCGGCCATGTGAAATCTCAGGGCAAGATCAAGGTAAGAGGTCTATATAAGAGAACCACGACCTTATGGTATGTGCAGAATATCTCCATCTGTACTCTACACTCCGAAGAAGCGCATCTTAGTCTTTTATCACACCTTGAAGTCGACTTCTTTGGCAGTTTCACCACCACTTGGCAGCTATCTTCACTTCCACTTAAACACAACCTAAACTCGTCGGTCTACCCTACCAACATGCCCCTCATCACCGGCCTTGTCAAGGGCATTGGCTCCGGCATAGGTTTGGCCGCGGAGGCCATTGCCGACCATAAAGAGAGAAAACAGGCCAAAGAGCGAGGAGTGTCCCCGAACACTCCCGGCGACAGTCCGGTGTCCGAACAGTCTTACTCTTCGTCAGGCGACCTGTACGGCCCAGACACCGAGAAGCGAGGCCGCCAGCCGCGCGAGGCCGAAGACAATCCCACCTCCCCATACTATCTAGAGGACGATAAAGCCGAATGGGCATTAGATGAGGCAGCCGCGGATCTGCCGCCTCCCTCCTACGACGATTCGGCCTCGTCCACTCCCGTATCGGCCGACGAGGCGGCAAGGGCCTTTCTCAACAACCACGAAGTCGCTCCGACCCCTAACCAGAGTTATCAGCCGCTTCCCTGCCCTGTCATCCTCCCACAGCGTCGACCGAAAGACAAATCGCGAGGGTTCATCCGGGCCTACGCGCCTGTGCTTGGCGAATGTTCCGGCATCGACGAGAGAACATTCATCGACTTCCTGAACGACCTGGACCGAGCGTCGCGCGCCAGCCCAGTATTCGACGTGATCAACATGGCGTGCGTGGGAGCCGGGTTTGTGCCGAGCCCAATAGCCATGGGCGTGTCGATCGCAGTCCAAGCCGCCAGCCGCACGGCCCAGGAAGTCCAGTCGCGGTACCGCCGCAACACGTACCTCGACCAGATCAACGAGACTCTGTTCAAGCCGCGCGGGCTCTACTGCATGATCATGACCTTCAAGCCGGACAACCCGTACGAGCCCATCATGGGCATGGACGTCCGCTCGCTCTCGACCTCGCCTGAGCACCAGGCCCTGCTCAAAGCCACAGCCGTTCCGGAGTCCGGCATGTCCCGGCAAATGAAGAAGGTCCGTCTCACATCGGGCGTCAGCCAGGGCGAGCTATCCCTTCCGCAGGCCGCGCCGCTGGTCTATCCCGGTCTCGACGCGGGTCTAGCCAAACAAGAAGAGGCGGTCTCTCCTTCCCGCCTCAAGGGTCTCAAAGCCTCCGCGGGTTTCGTGTCTGACTACTTGGACCGCCGAGCCCAGGCCCGCTACGCCGGCACGAACCCGGACAGCAGGCTCGCTGTGGCTCCGCCTCCCGAGAAGAAATTCGCCTCGCGTTTCTCGGACCCCAACCACCCGGCCAACTCGGGTACCATCCTGGGTCTCGTGACCGGCGGCAAATTCGATCCAAAGGCCAAACGCCGTGGCCAGAGAGCCCAGGAGCTTGCTCGCGCCCAAGGCTATGAGTTGAGCGAGGCCGAAATCAGAAATGCCGAGATGGGCAGAGAGCCCCGGCGTCCGAAGAAGGGTCTCGTCGGCCGCATTTTGCACAAGGATATTTTGTATCTCACTGTGGTCAATTTGCCTTCCGAGGCCGAGATCAAGGACATGTTGCAGCAGTTGGAGTGCGCCAAGCAAGCAAATCGCTGGTGCTGAAATACTCAAAGCTTTTCTCGGGTGTCACGGAAACGGAGAGCAGGTTAAGGCTGCCTGTTAAGTGGCAGGGAAAGGGGACCGGCGAATCAGTGAGAGTTAACCAAACTCCTGACGTTGGTTGTCACTTGGATTATATACCTTGGGCCCGGGGCGTTATACAGATGGGCTTCGGCTTCGGCGCTTTTTTGGTTACATATACCCGCGTCCACGTCTGCGTACGGGACGATGCCACTATATTAGAATTTAAGACTTGCTACTTTTTCTTCTATATTATAGAATGAACCACACAAGAAAGCACTTGGTGCTTCCGATACCTACTGGTCTGTAGAACAGTCTCTATCCTCCCCTTCTTCACCTCTGCCTCCGTCCGATCTGTGGACAGAATAAGCTGTCGTTATCTTCGTCCGATCTGTGGATAGGGTAAGTTGTCGTTATCTCCCCTGGTACTACTTAGGTAGGTAGCAGGTAGCAGGGAGCCAGGGAGCCAGGGGCTAGGGCGTAGGTCCTGAGCACTGGGTACCAGAGTAGTGGATCCTGGCTACTGACAGTGACTCGCCTAGGAACAAGAACAATATCATTCTTTCCTCTTCACCTCTGTCCCGCCTCGTGCCTATGTCCAGTCACTCAAGTTGTTAGCCTGCCTAGGCACTAGGCACCATAGATACTGATAACCAAGGACTTCCGTTGTGGGCAACTTGTACTGGCGCTGCAGTGGTGCTGGCGCTGGCGCTGGCGCTGGTCTACAAGAGTTGTAGACAGTTATCCAGAGGATGGAATGTCGTAGGTCCACTATGTTAGGTACTACAGGGAGCAGATACCAACATCCCGCGGGTACTGGAGATGTATCATGTACCTTTGTGATGAATGGTGTTGTTGCTGTTTACTAAAAAAAAAAAAAAAAAAAAAAAAAGAGGCATATAGTGTGTGGGGTTGTGTACCAGGGCAGGGGTGTGAAAGAAAATTATTCGTTAAGTGGGCGCAGCCTTGTCAATCCCCCTTTTTGTCGCAGTGTTAAGGGTGGGCACGACCTCGGCGCAACTCACATCACCTCCACCAGTTCTTCGGCACACGGATGGTTAGCTCCCGTCAGGGCAGTAGGGCTATGGTGTACGGTGCTGTACTACAGGCCGCATCCTAGTCCTGCATCCTTCAAGGACAAGTGCACGAAGCAGAACTACACGCAAGTAAACCAAGGCTGTTCACATACTCCGCGATATTGCCTGGCTTTCGACATTTCAGCACATTGGGGGGTTTAAGACTACACGCACCCAATTAGGCAAAAACGGGCGGATAAGAGGACGGCCTTGTGTATTAGAGAATCTTAAAGTGTGTACAGCCATACCAGCAGCAGCCTGCTTGCCATGTCCTGCCTGGGTATGTTCACCTTTGGCTCAGCATGTGTTCGCGATCCAACGTTCCCTTTCCTTAGTGGGTACCAAGACCCCAAGTACAGATGTACATTCACCACCCACCCACGCACCTTGGCACTGTCCAAGTCAAATCATCGGAAACCTGTTTCTCCAAGCTCCCGTTCAGAGTTCCCGAAAGATATGCTAGCTCGCTCCAATTGCGGATGACAAAAACATGACGCCAGCTTGTATGTTTCTCTTGTACGCATGTGGAACCATCCATCCAATCGTGCATGCCTTGATGCTCAAGTTGTGTCTGCGTGCAGGCATGACTCTTATGCTGTTGAGAAGGTCAAGTTCCCCACGGCATCCCTCAAAAGAAGATCATCATCATAATCATCCACTATTCAGTATCATCGATTACGTTTACGAGCTTGAATGATCCCGAGCAATCATATCGTCCCTGCAGGATGATGGGATCATGACCGTATCTGTTGGGCGGATTCAAAAAACGCCCGTGCTTAGGGATTGTGATCTGGAATATCATATCGTCGCCGTCGAGAAGGAGAGAGACTTCGTAGTCTAAGTAATACCACTCCTGACCTGTCGAACGATTTTTCTTCTTGTCAAAGTTTCTAAAATACCTTTGAGGTATTTTAAACAGCAGAGGATCGGGCATTTCATCAATAGAATTGTTTCCCTCCAACACAATCCCGTCATCGCTCACAGTGTCGGAATAGAAAAGCCGCTCCTCGATGACGATTCCATCGTCGGTGGCTACGTCCTCAGCCATCGGACCACGCCACCCAACAACACTGGTCTTGTACTGAAGCGGGATGCTCTGTTCGAGACGGCAGAAGAACCGAGACATAAGTATCCGGGTCTTGTTGTCTTGCTCGCTGTGGTGCCAGACATCTTCGGGAAAGGCCCTAAGATCTTCCGGTTCTTCCCAGCGGCCGACGCAGTACGCCCGACGGACGATCCTCTCTGTCATCAGTCCCTTATCCGCCAGTAGGACAATTGAGCCCAGCGCGACTGTGACCTCGCATCGTTCGCCGCTTGGGAATGCCACTTTGAAGTCTCGCGTCTCAAAGCGACGCCGAATCTCCTGGCGAACGAGGATATTATTGCTCCCACCTCCTGCTAGGAGCAACTCACGCGGCATCCGCGAGACTGTACCCGAAATAACCTTATCTTCAAGTCTCTCCAGGGCTCCTTGGATGATTCCGTGGAGCTGGTCAATGTGCGTGGCGTGCGCGTCTCTGATAGCCTTGCCAGGGATATGAAGCGTATCCTTCTCAGGCATATTCCTTGCTGGGATGGCCGGTAAACCCTTGATATGGATTTTATAGGGTGGGTCGTCATTGGTACCTCGGAAGTCCTTTTTGGCCCCTTCAAACTCGGCCTCCAGTCTATCACCAAGCTGATCCCATGTCATCGGATTGCCACTGCGCTCCAGCGATCTCAAGATATTGAGCTTGTAGTCTAAGACGCTCCGCAGAAACAACACTCGATACATCGTATTGATGGTTCCACCGCCGCACCACTCCGTTCTTGGAGCCGTGAGCTGCCTGGCGCGAAATGGAGCGATGCTCAAAATTTCCCATGCGTCAAAATCTCCCGAGCCTGCACCAATATCCATAATCATGACGGGCTCACCGATCATGGATTCGTGTTGGTTCCGGAAGAGGTGAAACATCAGCGCCGCTGCAGGTTCTCCACAGACGAGCACCTTCGGGAGACCCGCTTGTTTTGCTGCCTCTTTTATCAGGAGAACTTGCTCTGGGGTCGTCGCAACGGGAAGCGGTAAGGCTATCTCGATGTTTTCCTGTGGTTTCCACGATTCATATTTGTGCGTATCAACCCATATGGGCCAGGCGAGATTTGTATGCGCTTCGGCAATGACACTAAGCACATATCGGAACATATAGCCAAGCAAATCTCGCATTAGGTCCAGTGGTCCGAAGCGGGTCTGGTGATCGTGATCTAGCCCCTGTGCGGACTGACAACGTTGGAGCTCGTTGGAGATCTTTTCAATCTGTTGCCTTGTCCTACTCCCCTCCGCTTCGCCGAACACAAGCGGCTTATATTTGCGAATAATATCGTGCTCCCGGATCTGGCCATGCTGGACTGCCCTCTTCAGATCTTGACCATACTTTGGGTGGAGCACTGCAGGACAGACGCTCTCATCCAAGACGTAGCCAACTTCAGAAGGTAGTGCGGTCTCGTTGGTTGTCCATGTGACAGGTTCCAATCTGGCAAACATGTTCGCCGGCAAAAATCCTTGCTCTCTTTCTGACTCCTCCATCACGCAAAAACCCGCTTTCGCGAATTCTGTGCCTGCGTCCAGGGCCATCAAAATGGTTTTCCGCGGTCCTGGAGATACTGTATTCCCAAGAGAGTTTCGAGGCTGAGGGTCCCTCCCTGAGGGTCGCAAATGCCGGCGAGGCCGCGATGAGGCGGCGGTCGACTCTGTTGTCAGTCTAGGAGGTTCACATGTCAGGTTTCGCCTCCGACAGCTGTCGCAAGGAGGATCTTGGGTGGTAGAGGCCGCCAATGAACAACGTCGCTGCAAGAAGGTTAGGACAGCCCTTTGGTCAAGAGCCGGGGAAACTTACGTGAGCCGACCGGCATTGTTGACAGGACGACATAATGGCCAGTAAAAGTGCGATGCTCAAGTACCTAAGTCTGACGCTGGGCTAGTGACATTGAAGAACTAGTGATGTCGAAGTAAGAGAGGTCACAACAAATTTGGACGGGAGAGAGTAGAGATAAATCTGGGAGAGAATAGCTCTCAGTGATCACGCACCGCAGAATCGATAAACAGGCTCAGGAACATAGATCTGGGGATAATGCCTAGTCAACGCTAACATAAGACAGGCAGTAAGCTATTCTTTGGCACGGTGGGATAAGGTAGTTTTGAACCAAAAAGCGTTGATGGGCAGACAGAGTGAAGATTCTAAAGGCACGCGCCTGCAGGGAACTTCAGAAAGCCGACCAGGAAGATGGAGAGACGAGAGTAGGTGGCAAGATGAGGACTCCAAGACGATAGACTGGGACTTAGGAAAAAGGAGGAAGAGAAAGCAAGAAGGAGGAGCAGATACGGTACTTATGCATTGAGGGAGTCCTGGATTAACCCCGGATACACATCGGCGCGATATATGGCGCCGACGACCATATCACGCCTTACTTTCACTTTTGAGTCCTTCTTACTTCGTTCTTCAAGTGAATCGGCGTGGCCTTTCCAGAGTGAAGAGAGAAAATTTCAAATGAGGCTGAATTTTGTTTTCAACCGGTGAATACAAACAATAGAACTTAAAGTAGTGAATATCAATATCAACCGATAGAAGTGACTATAACTTGGATGCCTACTCTTGTGTCACTCCAGCTGCCTGCGACATCACTTTCCACCATTCCAAGTGGCAGCTACCACACCTTACTGCTGCAGGAGTAATCACCCTTTCGTTTCTGGACTCGGACAGGGATACGTCATCTCAGCCTTGCCCGGTTCTCTATCTATGTACCCAGGTATTTAGAGGCACAACCAGATCCAAAATCATCTGGAATCAATCACTTACTTCTTCCCACCAACATTGACTACTGGCCAAAATAACCTGTCGGGACACTGAAGTCAGACTGCTGAGATCGTTTCGCTCGTACTGTTCTCGACCTCACTGGATCGATCATGAGGGATCTGAGGAGATGGAAGCCGGAAGATGAGACGTCGCTCAAAGACGTCCTCGACCAGGTTGTCTCACAAGGGACTACTTTACCTATGGAGGCTGCCAGAATGGTACACCAACAGTTTCAGTCACGATTAACTGAGGGTCTTGGTGACCTTACAGTAATACAGATCGCGAACAAGATCGGCGCGTTAGCCCGCTCCATCGGTCTGGAAAGTTCCAAGGACCTGCTACTTGAGTGGGAGAAAAATCGCGGTCTGCTGGACGCCGCGAAAGAGCAGGGCAACAACGCCCCGCGGAGACGCAAGAGACGGCAGCACAAGCGCCAAAAGCGGTCTACTGGTGCATCAAAGAAGTTGTCCTATGGCAGTGAAATAGAATCGGAGGCGGAGAGTCAGTCCTCTCTATCATCGACGCCCTCAGATCTCGAAAAGGAAGCCGTCCCAAAACCAACAGAGGTTCAGCAGAGCAGCAACACCACTGTCAAGCTGACGTTTCCTGCCCGTCGAGCCGGGACTGGACGAACCCAATGGGAACCCAACCCCAGCAACCGTTACGTCTTCCGCACCCTGGACAAGATACTGGAGAAAATGACCGCTGCCATCCAGAGTCTGCTCAAAGCCGTTCCAGTCGCCATTTTGACAGGACTACAGCTTACTGCCGATATCAGAGACTTAAGTACTCACCTGGTAGAAAAGAGTACGGCCACCAACGCGGACTTCGGCCGTTATTTAACTACTCTTTTTCAAGATTCGACTCTATCAGTCACGCTAATTCTCCAAGCCTACGCTGCGGCCGCCGTATACGCCTGGGTGTTTCAGCGTTTCGACTGTGACTTGGACCCGCAAATAAAGTTGTTCCTCTACACTCTTGGTCAACGTATGTCAAAAAGAAGGCCTTCTCCCAACAAGAAGATATGCTAATCTACAAGATAGATAATCCCCAGCAAGCCAGAAGCCTCGAAATCGACGTGACGCTAGATCACTTGGAACGAAAGGTCAAACCCACCCTGCCACTCCTGGCCGCAGAGTACTACCGCAAACTTCTGGAGATATTCCTAAATCTCAAAGGCCCAGACCTTCTGCCTCAAAATGCGAAGCTGCTTACGACGGAGGAGCGAGACGTACATATGAAAGACTGGCAAATCAAGGTACTTGGGGCCTTCCAAGAGGCTCTAGAACTCAGACTTAGGCTGGAGCAAAGCCAATGTCCATACACCTTCCGTTGGGCGACCCACCAGGCTCCGTTCGACAGTACCTGGATGGAATCTGCGCACGAAGATGACGCATCGAACCCTACAGAGGGCAGTGTCGTCCTTTTATGTTTACGGCCCGCTCTTCACAGCTGTGCGAGGCGTGAAGGGGAGGAGCCCTTGCTTGTGGTGCCGGCATTGGTCATGCTCGAGGGAGCTGGTCCCCCATGCCCTATCAAGATTGACTTCGGGTCCATCCGTTAGGCTTGGTTAGCCACACCCAAGTATGGGTTCGGTGTATTTGTGATGAAGTCACGGGGCGCAGAGCAGGGAGAGAGTCCAGGCATCAAAAAGGTCAGGGCATATTTCCATAGACGGCATGGACCATCCCACTTGAGAAGGACCAAACGATCCAGCTAGATCTAGAGCTCTGCAGCGCCCATCTATTCATCTGGGCCAAAGTCTGAACACTATGCTATCCACTTCTTGTCCAGTCACAGGCTTGGCCTACCTCCCGCCCATGAACTCCGGCTTGTAAGCTCGAATACCACCGCGAGACAACTCTCGCATGGCCACGGTTGCGTACTGGCTCGCGCCGAGTTGGAACTTGAGCACGGCAGCAAGCTTCGGCTCGACGTCGCTGGTGTCTGTGGGCAAGGTCGAGGTCTGATCTTGACCTTGATCTTGATCCTGCTTCTGCTCTTGGCCGGTCTCGCCGCCATCCTTCTGCTTAGCCCCACGCTCCGCTTTGATCCGCTCTAGATCCGTCTGAACGAACTGCTCGGAGTCGTTTCTGTATTCGTGCACCTGGAGGTCGTAGTCTGCGCCGATCCGAGCGAGAATCTTCCGATAGCCGCCACTTAGACTGAAGTCCCTCTGCTTGCGCCGCATGTCGTGCGGGTCAAGCCGACCGCCCGCTTCACTGCCCATAAATGTCTTGTACCACTCGCCGCTGGCATTCGCCGGGTATATCACGTCGAAGCCCGGAAGGGGCAAGACGACGTCAAAGATCGAGTACTCTCCGCTCGCGGCCTCTTCTGCCGTCAGGGCTCTGGCCCGCTCGTAGATGTCATCAGGGTCTTTTGCGCGATCATCCTGAGCTGGTTGGATGACGACTTCTCCGTCAGCATCGACAGTTGGCTCCACCTCCACAGTGGCCTCTTTGTCCTTGTGCTCCTGGACTAGAACCAGGTCTCCTTCCACGACAGTGTCGCCGTAAAGACGCCAGCGTTCGCCCACGGCCAGATTCCACACCAAAGACTGGTACGCATGGACGTACATCAGCCTCAGGTTCCGCTGTATGGCCGACAACGCGCCGAGGAAGTTCTGTGGCTGCCGGCCCAGTTCCCGGATCAGGGCCCGCTCCGCGGAGAACTTGCGGGGGATCCTGTCTAGGGCTTCGTTGACATTGCCAGTCGTCCTCCAGATGTTGATGCCCTCGGCGCGCGCACGGTCGTCTTGGCCAACCATGGTATCAGAGTCCCCAGCGTTTGCCGCGGCCAGGGCGACCGGAGAAAACTGGAGAATGCCGTTACACGCACCCTCGTAGTCCCCTTGCAGTATTTTCACTCCTACGGCATCTGTGCGAGTGGCAAAAGTGCCGAATCGTTGCAGGCCGTAATAGTTCAGAAACCCCTTTTCTCGCAGCCCTTGTAGTGATTGACCTAGATATGAGCGGGCTAAAGACACCCTGTCGGATGTGGTTGCGGCGCTTTCAGCACCCTCGATAGAGCAGTCTCTTAGCGTGACAACAAACTCGTTTCCACTCAGATCTCCGAGTTCCAGGCCGTGCTTTTGGTATTCAAAGTCTCCGACTGCCGAAAAACGCAAAATTCGGTTGAGTCCTGCCAACCGCGGAGCTTCGATGCGATAGGCACTAACTCGCTGCACCGTCACCGCTCGCCGGTCTTTGGTCCCGGCGAATTGAAACGTTTTATTTGTCGTTTTGAGCTGGTTCGAGATGAAGGATACCGCCTCTAGGGTGTCCTTGTTTTCCTTATAGAGTGTGAAGTGGAGATACTCCCCGCCGCGGTCCAACCAACCGAGCTTTCCTGGTCGGGCTTTGCCTTCGCCGTCAGGTTTGCCCCATCCCCGATTGCGGTTGTTGAGGCCTACCGCTCGCAGAACCAACGTGCCGTCCTTGTCAGTAGATGAGTCGATCTTGCCGTAGAAGATCCGCCGGATATCCTGATGGATCTGAGACCGGACACTCCGGTCTGTGGTAAATGACGTCCGGACTGTCTCATGTTCACTTGGCTTTTTCTTGGGATCCTTCAGAATAGAGGTGTACAAGGCCAGTAGTTGTTGGACAGCCTCCTCATTGAAATATTCTACAAGCTTGGCCCGGTCGTCCTCTGATACCTACTTTGCATTAGTATCGCATATACATCAACGATATTGATGCCTCACCTCTGGCCTTTCTTCTGCTGACTTGTTATCAGATACGCCCGCCGATTCCGCGACCTTCTCACTGGTCTCAACGATGGGCTTGTCGTCTTTGTGACTTGGAACGCAGTCTTGTTCTTGAGCTTCACTCTGCCTGTTTGAGCGTGTGCCTTGATTGCTGGCCATTCCACTAGTCCCTGCTGCTTTGGCGCTCAAGCTCTGCAAGTGCAAGACACGGCCGTTGGGTAGGATTTCGTTGACCATGAAGTCGGTATATCTCTTTTTGAGTATGCCATGGAATTTTCCCCGGGCCCCGCCAACAAAGGTTGTAATACCTACCTCAATCTCCCTGCCATCTTCATCACCGGGGAGGCAGGCAGTCATATTGCTAGTACCCACTTCTCCCTGGCCGATGGCTGGGTCGGAGATAGTGTGATCAGTGCCTCCAGTTCGATCGTTTGGGGCATCATCAAGTCTGGCCCGCTTCGAAGGACGCAGCTCACTCGACCGGTCCATGATTTTGTGGAGTTTTCTGAAGAGAATAAAACACCTGCGCGAAGCCAGAGTCTTCCCTGTATTATTGAATACCTAGGTAAGGTACTTTTAACCAATGCACTGTCAGTGACGCCGGAAAACTTGAACTCGAGATTCGATATGCCAAGACATGACAAGGCTATTCCCATCTGGGTCTAGCTCAGCCCCTATTCGCCCGCGCCTTGTCTCGCTGACTCTGGGTTTGGGCTTACCCCAGGTTTGTGTGTAATCTTACACTGCCCAACTTTGATGTCCGAATTTTCTGAGTTGCATGATCAGAACCCTCCCAACAGAGAACAACCTCGAAGACTCAATAATAACTCTCCAGAAAATATGAGCAAAACAGTGATGAAAAGCACTCCCGGTCGAGCACCCGAGTTGGCCACATCCCCACCCCAGTTAGGTCCAGCACACCTTCTCCCTGTCACTGGTCAGACCTGACCGCCATGTTTGTCCTTTGCGACTCTCTCCACCACAGTCCAGGGCCGCTCGAACCCTACAAATTCTTCTTCCACACGAGCACAAGTGTCTTCCCAGCCGACCTCAAAAGCGCCACTGTTGAATTTACAACACCAGATCTCCCCTGGTTTGTCATCATCAGTGCGCCAGCTTGTCTCCGGATTGAAATTAGAGGGCTGAAATTCCTCCAACAAGATTCTTAGCTGTTCCAAGGCTTGTTGCGTCCGAATCAGGATCCGCGTTCTAGAGTCTTTACCAGGATTCAGGCCTGATATACTTGGCTCGCCAAAGCCGATACTGGTGAACAAACAAGCAATCCAGTGGCGCTTCTTGTACACAACTGTACTGCTGTGACCATTTCTGCCACAGAGGTTCTTTTTTCGTTTGCTTGTCATTTCCTGGACGTAATCCTTCGGTTGTGGTGGAATCAATAGACATGTTCCGATCAGGTCGTAAGGCTTATTGGCTTGTTGACAATGCGAGCGGTAGACGGCGTAGGCCGCTGGGAATGCCTTCTTGAACTGTGCCGCAATGCCGTTTCCCCACACGCCAAGGCAGTTGACTGCATGGATCAGCACGGCGCGGTCGGGTGCGTCAAAGATATCTCCTTCTATTTCGTTCATGCTGAAACCAGGTGCTTCACCGAGGTCCTCTAGTGAGGACTCGGAACCGGATGGGTTGATCGGAGAAGGCGGGGCCTCGGGTGGAATCCACATGTAAGTATCGTGCTGACTGAGTGGTTGAATGCGATCCTCCCCGTTGACCACCTGTTGCATGCTGTAGTCTGCTTTGAAAGGCTCGCGAAACTCTTTGAGAAGCCGTGCCAGCACATTATGATAGGCCATATCCAGAAGTTCTTGCTGCTCTTTGGACTCCTCCTTGTTCCTCGAACCACTGGCGCCGCTCAACCTGAGGGTGAGCTGCAAGTATGTCTCATCCAGTTCGTCGACTGTCGTGTCATGCGGAAGACCGAGGACCTCGTACGATCGGGAGATGTCGATGTCCTTCGTTCCCCGATTCGACGCGCAGTTGCGGCATAGATCTAGTAAAGGCATTCTGCGTGGTACTGCCGGATGCGAAGCGCCCGATTTCACAGGTTGCGGGATGATTCTATCCAAGGTGATTAAGGGGTCTGAATCATAACAGGCACTCGATGAAGAAGACGAGAACGGTGGAGGCAAGGAATCGATGGTTGCGCCGTGGTTATTTAAGGAATTAGTGAACGAGACGCAACTTAAATCTGCAAGGCAGCAACGTGCAAAAGAAGTGCTGCTCGGAAAAGGCACATTACGGAAAAGAAAAGAAATCAAATGCACCCCGGATCGTATGCAAGGTAGCCGTTGCTGGAATATCACTATTCAAGAACCACAGGCTTACTAGCTACCTGGGGTGCAGCTATTCAAACAACGCATCTAACTTTGAACGTGATCAAATGTGGATAAAGGCGCGTAAAATAATAAGATTCGTGCTTGCCCATCACTTCCGGAAAAAGGCAAGAATGCTCTGCCTTCTTTTGACGCGCTTCCTACCTAGACCACTCACTTCCGTCGACTTCGTTTCTGCTGTGCCAGTGGTGCCGAAGTATTGACGTGCTGGGGTGGTGGCTCGGAAGGAGGGAAACCCTACTCTTACTCTCTCGGTAAAGGCTGGCGCGCTTGACTTTTTACCTCCTCTGCTTCTTTGGCGATGAACTGCTCTCGAGACACCCTCGTCGTCCAGCGATTGTCGCTCCAACTGTTCAATCTCTTGCAAAGCCGTCATGCCGTTTGTGGCTAAATTTTCCTCGGAAACTGCCTCGAAGCGCACAACTCCACGTGTCGGTGGAATTCGTAGCGTATCGAGCACAAAGTCTTGGATGAGGTGTGTGCTTCGTTTGTTCTTCGTCGCCGCTATTTCCGAGGGCAAAGCAGTAATGGTGAGATGGTACGCAGGCTCCGAGTTGCCGCCGAGGAGCATTGATATATCTGTAGACGCCATAGCCATGATGCAGGATGCAGGTCGTTGGTAGATTTCCGAGAGTCGAAAGGACAAATCGATGAGAAACTCTTTTTCCGATTCCAGCTGCTAAGATTAGCCGTGGTTTAACTGTCAAGAAACAGCCTGCTCTTACACAACAGTTTAGCTTGATTTCTACTAGTATCACCGAGTCCTTCGCCACCCGATCCTTTGCACTGTTTGTTGACGCGCGGTAGGCAAAGGCTTCACTGTAATATTGGCTTTTCTTCTTCGAAAGGTGTAATTTGTGCCAAGAGCGTTCGAGGCTGGCAACATCTGATAGTTGCCCTTCAGCGCTTTTTGTGAGAATCCCAAATTGGTTCGAATGTGTAAGCTCCGGCGGTGTAGATTGTGCGCGTTGCAGACGGATCATGCGCCGGGGTGCTGGTGACATTCTTCCCTTGATACGGAACAAGGTGTCCGGATTTTCACCGGTGGGAGGCGTGGGAAAGGCATTCTCGATTGTCGTTGCGTTAATTCGGCTTCTAGAAGATGGGGTTGAGGGCATAGTGGCATGGATAATGGAGACGAGTAAAAGTTTGCACTGTCTCATTCATGCGAATGCTGGGCTGCTTGTCGTCGGCATCGAAGAATATCACAGTAGTTTGTAGTGTCGGTCTTCACTTAATATGCTGGTAAGTTGTCTCATGCGGAAATTCCAAAAGGCCCATTAACAATGGCGTGGCCGTGAGTCTGCCAATGGAAATCCAAAAATCCAACGAGGGAAAGACCCTGAGGTCTGGTCACACGGCGCAGACTTGAAGATCTGGGTTCAAGCAAGCCAAAGATGCATAACAAGCTATGTTGAAACAAGAGAGGGTGATGTTGGGTGGGAGCGCAGGCAGAGCTGCAGGTTTCCGTCGTGCCTGCATTCAGCAACCACACAACTGCCACAGAGAAATTGCCAGCATGCAGTTAGTTTCCACTACAACTTGAGCTCCTGTCAAGTCAAGCCTCGAGTCCAACATCCATGGAGGAAATCGTGAGGTTAATGCAGCTTCTAGTAGTGGAAGTACGCCGAGAGACATTGCATGCTCATCGCGAATCCTGTTGGTGTTTACTGTTTTGTACTCACTGGCTTGAGGCGCGATTGCTGCTTATTTGACTCGTTATCCTTCCACCAAGCTGAACGTCTTGATTACACAGCATAGAGCTCTCCAACCTCAGTGAGCAGTCATCAGAAGGAACGCTGAAACTCCGGCTCGAGCGTGGCATTAGGACAGTACTCTCCACTGAATCGTGAGTGACGGTTCAATTTTCAGACTTGAAGTTTGGGGGCTGGGATTGATGTTTGTAATGTTTGTGACGTTTGCCCCATTTGCAGCTCATACCTAGGTACTATTTTGCCTTTGTCTGCGGCTTTTCTCAGCCTCAACCACCATCTCTATGCATGAATCCAACGCCATATCAAGGATATAAAGGTGTTCTGCTTGTTGCTGTGCTCAAAAAGCTAACAACTTGCAGTGCATGCGCGTCCGGCGAGATTCTACGCACCCTCTACGCCCAACGCTATTCCGGAGCAATGAGCCTTCTGTGGGTCACGCAGCGTGCTACATTGGGCGCCCTGTTCGTAGCGCCGACGAGCGTGTCATGTTTCGAAAACGATCTGAGGTCTCGAGGTAACACTAACAGCTTTTTGTTCACGGCTCCAAGAAACCCTTTGCCAGGCGTTTGGAGCAAAGTCTGGAGTAACATGCCAGGAGGATCGGCAGCAATAGGTCCTGATAGGACGTTGTTGCATGCTCTGGATCTCCCGTTTATGTTTGACGACTCAAAGTCATTCAAATCGTTTCAAGCTTGCATCGAAGCAACAGAACGTTGGGACAGCGAATTCCTTTTCCCGGCCATCAAAATTGTTCTTCAGCAGATTTTCAAATACAATGGCACACCGCCAATTTCCTCACTGCCATCGCTTACTTTGTCCATCGATACCACTGCAGGGACTAAGATGTGTGGATGATGTCGCTCCGTACAACGTTCGGTTCCATCATGTGGAGGTGCGACAGGGATTGCTCAACGGCGCTCAACAGCAGCATTGTCTAATGTGGTACACCTCTGCGAGCTTGCAAACTCAGAGCTTTGGCCTTCGTGACCGACCACACCCGGGGACATGGGGATGAGTCCTCGCCAACGGGCCCAAGCAACCCCTTGCGTTCCTGGCGTTCGAAATCGGGTTTGGGAGATATGGTCTCCGACACAGTGTGGAAGAAACCCCCTCAAACACTGCAGTCTGGAGAAGGTTCTCACTCTTGAAGGTTTGTGACTCTCACGGGTAAGAAGCCTTCGGAGACATTGTGGTTCGGGAGCAAGGAACCTGATTTAGTGCATAGCAGCAGTGAGGTATGAGCGCATACGCGCACAGTTCGGCCTGAGAAGGACAGAGTACCCTGGTATCGCACAACTCTTCCGTACCCCTAAATTTCTGGATACAAACACTTCTGCTGGAGCAAGAGAAGATGAACATATGCTACTGGCCTGAACTCTACCCGTAGTACTAGGAGTGAGGTAGTAGTAGAGCTATAATAAGTTGGGGGTCTCTATGTGACAAAATAGGCACCCTACGTGCCAAGCATTATAAAGACGTCGAGGACCGTCTTTCGGTCTCGACTAGCGTCGTACGCTATCGTATAACCCCTAGAAAGTATATAGTCTAACGAGACCCTAGGCCCCGTTAAAATAGAATAAGTTCTCCGTAAAATTATATTTAGTAGCGACGACGAGATAGTTCTCTATCTTAAACTAGAGTTCGTAAGAACTTCTACGCTCTCTTAAAAAGAAAAGAAGCGTAGTCGATCGTCGAAAAAACCGATACTCTTTTATACGAAGTCGATTAAAGATAAACAAAATCGCCTTAATATATAGCGAAACTAATTAATAAGAAAATTTTCTAGCTTAAAGCTCGTCTTCTATACTTAACGAATTTCTTCTAGTTTCGTAGCGAAAACTTACGAGAATTATACTCTTAAAACGACGAGTAGTAATAAAAATTTCTTATTAAGAAAGATAAATTATAGTAGTAAGTAGTAACTTCTTCTTCTAAAAATTTTAGTCTCGCTACTCTTAGATACTCTTAGTTATAAACGATAGCTAGCGAAATAACTAAAATATAGTAATAACGACTACTTTAATATTCTCGATTATATTCTATCGATCTAGATACTATAAACGATAATATCGTTAAAGAGCTCGACGCGTTAATAGAGAAAAAGATATTACTACTAGAACGAACTCTTTATTAGAATCTTATCTAAATTATACTAGTAGAAACTAGATAATTATCTAGATTTATCTAGATTTATTTATATTATCGTAGACGATAGAAAATAATAGATCGATTAAAGAAAGATATATAATAAGGTCTCTCGAGAGATAGAGTACTATTTAGCTAGGGACGGTCTTAAATATTAAGAGCTAGTTATAAAGTACTTTTACTAAACGAGATAGAAGCTTCTATAAAGAATATATTCTTCTCGAGATTACTTATCTTTCTTTTATTATATATTATCTCTTATTTATTTCTTACTTATATTTTATAAACTATATCTAGAAGCTCTTCTATACTAAATATTATATAAATACTCTCTTAACTCTAGTAATAGTAGTATTAGAAATCGATATTTTAATAAAAGAAGCTAATTTATAGAGAATATATAGACTTCTAGAAGAGAATTATCTTAGAAATCTAGAAAGAACTATAGCGGCTCTTACCGACTATCTACGATATTATAGAATTCTCGAAATCTTTACTTTAATATCTATAAATAGTCTATTAAGAATTATTCTCTTATCTATAGACTAGATAAACGTATCTAAACTCTTATTTAGATAGTAGTATTTATCGTTAGATTTATTCTAAGATATTAGCGAGATAGAGCTCGAAAAGCCTCTAAAATATAAGAGTTATCGAAATAATAACGCGATACGAGTTTAGCTAATCTATATTAAAAGGTAATTAGATACGAAAAAAGTCGTTAATAAATATTCTTTAATAGACTATAAATATATTACTTTAGTAACTTTCTACTTCGAAGATAATATCTTAATATAGTAGAATCTTATATATTAAGATATAAAATATAGTTTCGGAATCGATCTACTCCTAATTAACTAGAAGATATAAAAGAAAGTATTCTAGATAGCGTTCGGCGACGTTAGAATATAGAAGTAATATTAAGACGAGTTCGACTCTCTTAAGTAAATAGAAATAGTATAAGAGTTTCGATAAAAGATTAAAACTCTTCGACTATATCTCGACTTTTACTCTAGTAACGCCGAATATCTACTTATTTTTAAACGAGAGCTTAGAATAACTATTCGAAATTAAATAGAACTTCTTCTAGATACTATACTTCTCTAAAATTATAGAGATTACGCTCTTTTTATAAATAAAAGTAAAAGAGAGATATAAACTAATATATATAGAATAGCTTCTCTTTAAGATCGCTTAAGAAGATTTTTCTTAAGAAAATCTTCTTAATCTTCTCGAACTACTTAACTAGATTATAAGAACGCTAATAGTAATATCGAGATAGTCCTTAACGATCTTCGACTAGAATTCTTCTCGTCTATTAAGACTAAAATCTCGCGTAGTTATAGAAATAGATATAGATTCTTAAGTAGTTTTCGTTAGAAGTATTAAGATAATAGTCTCTACTTCGATTATAAAGAAGTTAACTATTAAAAGAAAAATTACTCTAACTCGAAGAAGTCTATAAAACGAGACTATTAAAGAAAAGAGAAGAATCGCTAGATAGTAGAGCGTCTAGCGACGATAAAGAAGTTATAGACTCTTTAAAGACTATCGATATAAGCTTATTAGATCCTAATCTCTCTTTCGATAATCTAATAGATATTACTATTAATATAATTAAAGTCTTTAATTATAACTTAAACTATATCTAGAGATATAATATCGCTAGCGAGTTACTAGAATAATATAGTAACTCTTATTTTATTATAGTTCTTCTTAATATAGACTTCGATATCTTCTACGTCTTAAGAAGAGTCGCTAAGCGACTAGATAAGAACTATAAAATTATCTAGAGATTATCTCTTTAAGTACGTCTTACTAATAGTAAGACGACTCTCTTTAATTAAGCTATTATAATAGACTTAACTATCGATAACTTTTAAGCTTAAATAATACTTCGTATTTTAGATTAGAATATATATAATATTATTCTTAGACTTAACTAGCTAAAGAAATATAGCGCTTTTTAGGATTTTAGTTACTTACGTATAACGATATATAATAGGACTAAGAAATTAATTTCGATACTTCTCTAACTCTTTCGAACTATTAACTATAAAGATATTAAAGAGACTAGATTAAATCTACTTAGCTTTCGAAAGACTAAGAAGACGATTTCTAAACTATTTATACTCGACTAGACTTTTATCTTATATCTTATATAAGAATAGAGTCCTAGCGATAAAGTAATCTCTTTAATATCTAGAATTAAGAATAGGCGTTTTAGGCGTATCCTTAAAAGATTTAAAATAGTATTTCGAGAAGAACTATCTACTAAGTTTCTAACGAAGTAGAACATTAAGTACGAAATCGATATAGATAATATTAAGTCTATTAACTTACTCTACTACTCTTTATTAAAAGAATATCGAGATAAATAAAATTAATAAATTTATACTTTACTAGAATAGAGTCTAATTTAACTCTTAGAAAGTCTATAGAGTTTCTCTATACTCTTTATATCTAAATCTAGAGATAAATAGCGAATATATATCGACTATCGTCTTCTTAATAATATTACTATTAAGGATATCTACTCTTTATTCTAGATCTAGGACTATCTTAATACTATTAAGATCGCTTAATAGCTTTCGAAGACTAATCTTATCTAAGAATACTACTAGATCTAGATAGGAAAGATATTTATCGAAAAGACTATCTTTAATATATAATTCGATAAGTATAAGTTCTTAGCTATACTATTTAGACTTACTAACGCCTCTTTAACGTTTTAAAGAATTATAAACGATATTCTACGAGAATTTATTAGTAAGTTTATAATTATCTACTTAGACGATATCGTTATCTATTTATAGATCGAAGAAGAATACGAACGCTATCTTAAATAGATATTTAAGGTACTATACGACTATAAACTATATACGAAGCTATTAAAGTATATTATTAGTATTTAATAGCTTAAATTCTATAAGTATATAGTAGATAATAAAGAGTATTAATCTACGTCTA